TCTGTTTCTTTTAACTGGTGCACTGAGTCCATTTACATTAATGGTTATAACTGTTATATGTTGGTTTATAGTTGATGTTATCTTTCTGCTGTTGCATCTTTATCTTTCTGTTTTGTTTAATTGTCTGCTTTGCTTAGTGGTTTTTTCCTAAGTGTATCTAAGCTGTCATTCAGTATTCTTTGCAGGGTTGGCTTGGTGATCATGAAGTTCTTCAGCTGTTCCTTGTCATGGAAGTATCTTATTTCTATCCATTTTGAAGGACAGTTTTTCAGGGTACATCAGTCTAGGTTGAAAATCATTTTCCTTTAGGATCTGAAATACTTCAGTCCATGCTCTTCTTGACTTCATTGTGTTGAGAAGTCTCCTGTGATTCTGATAGGCTTTCCTTTATAAGTGATCTGTCTTTTCTCTCTGACAGTTTTTAGTATTCTATTCTTATGTTGGATTTCTGGGATGGTGATTAAAATATGCCTAGGTGTAGCTTTATTTTGGTTATGGCTATTTGGAGTTCTAGATGCTTCACTGATCCTGATGTCAGTTTCGATTCTCATGTTTGGGAAATTTTCAGCTATTACTTCTCTAAATATCCTCTTGACATCCTTTATGCTGTCTCCTTCTTTTTCATTTATCCCTATCAATCTTATGTTGTTTTTCTTTGCATCATCTTGCAGCTGTTGAATTGTTATTTCCTGATTCCTTGTTATTTTTAAAAGATCTTTCCTTTCCTGTTCACTAGCTGCAATCTTGTCTTCAAGGTCTGAAATTCTATCTTCACTTTCATTGAGGTGGTTTTACAACTTTCAATGGAATTTTTGATTTACTGTATATCTCTTTGCATCTGCTTCATGTATTCTGTTTGTTTCTTATATTGTTCATCCAGGAATTCTACCTTTTTGTTTAGTTCCTCCAATTTTTTAACTGTGTCTTCTTTAGATATGTTCAGCATCTCTTTCATTTCTTTTATCATTTTTTCTTTTACCTGGGAGATTATTTCTGAATTCCTTTAAAGCTTCCTGGAGTTGCTTGTTCATTTCAGTTGTTATTATTTCAGGTGTATGACATATATTTTCTTCTATGTACATAGCTCCTAAGGTTTCTTAGGATGGGTTGGAGGCTTGAGATTGTATTTTGGTCTTTCGTTTTGTCATTTTCCTATATTTCCGTGTTTTAAGTGTTATTCCAAGGCTTCCCCTGGGCCTGTTGGAAATCCTCTTCTATGCTCTGAGCTTCTGGGACTCCGGCCACCCAGTTCCCCAGATTGAGAGAGGGTCACTGGGTGTGGGGCAGGCAGGCTCAAGCCCTGCTGAGCTGGCTCAGTGTGGCAGGAAGCAGTAAAGTTCTCTGCTGGTGGGAGCTATGATCTTAAACTCCCTCCCAGGGCTTGGGATTGTTTGGGGACACTCATTCCAGGCCTCCCAGCCTCCAGAGTGGAAGGCGCAGGCAGGCAGGCCCAAATCCCCAGAGCTGGCCAAGCATGGCTGGTGGAAAGTTGGTGCAGGCAGGCCTAAACCCTGCTGAGCTGGTTCAGTGCCGCAGGAAGCCCTATTTTAGAGAATGTCTTATGTGCAGCTGAGAAGAATGTGTATTCTGATGATGCTGGGTGAAATATTTTGAAAACATGTATTAAGTGCATTTGTTTACAGGTTTGGTTCAGTTCTGATATTTCTTTGCTGCTTTCTTTGTCTAGTTGATCTATATCTTTGTGACAATGAGGTACTGAAGTCTTCTGTTTCAATTATGTTACTGCTTTTTTGATTTTTATGTCTATTAACAATTGTCTTATATAGTTGAGTGCTCCTGTATTTGGTGCATACACTTTTATGATTGTTATCTCTTCCCTTTGAAGTTTTCTGCCATTACTTCTGTACAGTTTTTTTAAAAAATGGCATTTGCGCTGTCTCTTTCTCATTGAGTCCAATCAATCTTATGCTATTTTTCTTTGCTTTATCTTGTAGCTATTGCATTGATTTTTCATGATCTCTTGATATTTTTAAGATATCTTTCTTTGCATGATCACTAGCTGCAATTCTGTCTTCAAGAACCAATTGTATCTTCTCTTTCATTCAGCCTGTTGCATACACTTTCAATGGAGGTTTTCATGTCTTTGATTTCTGTTTGGATCTGTTTCATGGATTCCATTTCTTTCCTATGTTGAGAACTTTTGTTTCCATCACTCTTCTAAGCTCATCTATTCTTTTATATGTGTCCTCATTAATATCTTTGATTGTAAGCATCATTTCCTTTTGTATCTGAGACATTATTTTCTCTATAGCCTTTTCCATTTGTTTTTTCACTTCTGTTGTTATCAGCTCAGGTAGTTCCAGTGTTTCACTTCCAATTTGTCCATCTCATTGAGTTCTGGTCTTATTGAGTTTTGGGTAGGTTGGAGGCTTGGGACTGCATTTTGCTTCTGTGTCTTGTGATTTTGTATTTTCTCTTTTTTATTTAATTTTGTTTTCTATGTGAATGCTTGCTGATTTCTTATGATATATAGCTTTTCACTAGGATTAAGGCTTACCTAGGAGATGTCTGTTCTTCAGGGATGTTCTTTAGATGTAGGTGATTCTTTACAGCTATCCCAAGAACTTACTTTCTCAATTTGTAAATGATGCAAAATTAATTTTTGGCTCAGCTCCCAATTCGTTGGTATTGAACTATGGTGATGATTATGACCTCATACAGTCACAGTGTCATCATACAGGGGATAAAAACTGTTCATAACATGTATGACATCCTGGCTACATATACAATAGTACAGTGATCATTAGCAACAGTGTCAAGTACAGCTTAACCACTGACAAACCAGTAACCATTAACCTGCTTCTACCTCCATCCACAGGAGCAAACTCTAAGGTTATATAATAAAATCAAACATATATTGTGCCCTTGTGCGCAGTGACTTTGCCCTTAGTGGAGTTATTTTACCCTTCTGTGGGAGTGAACAAGGGGTGTTAAGATGGGTAGCAGATAGGATAGAGTGATAATTGAGGTCAGATATAGTAGAGTGGAGGCTGGAGGTCAAAGTATGATCACCTGAGTTTGGGGAAACTGGAGGACACAGGAGGGAAAGCATAGAATGCAAAAGAGTAGTTAGAAAGGGCAGAGACAGGTTATTCCCTTGAAAGTTTAAATTCAAGTAGTAGTTGAGGAAAGAGAGAAAGAGGATCAATAGAAGAAAATAAAAGAGGAAGGTAAGAAACCTAAACAGTAAAAAAAGAAGAGAATGAAAAAGAAAAAAGAGAAGAAAGCAAGAAAAGGAAGCCCAGAGAAAGAGAAGAGAGAGAAAAATTCTCAAATAGAAAAATAACCATAGAATACAAAACAAAACAAGATGACATCCAACTAGACAAGAAAGGGATAGCTAATCACACAAGCAAGTAGTAGTAAAATACCTCCAGTGCCCACGTGAGATCCCTGAAATGTGCTGGGTATGGAGCTGATCTTCACCTCTGAATGTGGGGGCTGGAAATGGTCTTCAGTTGGTGGAGTTTTCCAAAGTCCAACTGCTGACTTCTTTCTGCTGTTTAAGATGCTTCCACATTGCTGGCCTCACTTATTACTCTGTCCTCTGAAGGTGTCTGTGCACTCATGGACCCACTCCTGACTGTTTTCCTGGGTTTTGGGGTTCTGGTAGTTCCATCCAGCAAACATGTGTGTCCTTACGCTCTTATTGCAGGCCCTGCTGTCCCAGGGCAATGGAGGAATGCAGAGAATGGACTAAGACCTTTCTTGAAGGCCCCGCTGTTCAGGGGACAATCTAACTGTGCTTTCATGGCCAATTTTTTCTGTATCTTGCAAACACTAGATGGCACACAAAACTCTTTCTACACTGATTCATATCTGATTTTCTAGAAACACTGACTCTTTGGAATATTCATCCATCTGCCTATCTATCTATCTATCTATCTATCTATCTATCTATCTATCAGCTTTGCCCCAAAGGATGCTCTGCTCTAATTTGTCTTCCTGGAAGACATCTGTTTCCCCTGTAAAATGCAGCATTGGCCTCTCTACCCTCTGAGGTCTTCTGTGCCACTGAGCCCTGGCCTAAGCAGCCCTGCTCTGGACTGCACTGTGCCTCTGCAGTTCCCATGTTGTCCTGGGAATGTTTATATCTGTGACCCCCCCCCCCAAAGACTGTGAACTCCACCAGATCAACATCTGTGTCAAGTCACTTTTATATTCTCTGTATCTCACACATATCTACTGAGTAAGTGTAAGAATGACTTGAATAAAGGAAAAGATACAATCGATTTGTACAGTTTTGGCTTTCTAGGATGGATGCTCTCAGTTTTTCTTTTCTTTTTTTTTTTTAGCACCAGGGATGAAACTGATGACCTCACACTTGACAGGCAGATGCTTACTCTGCAGACCTAAACCCCCGGCCCCAGCTTGTACAATTTTGAAGAGACAATCAAATAGTGATGATGGTAAGTTGGGTAGCTGGTATCAGGGACTGAAAACTCTCTTCAGGGTCTGTGAGGAAGTGTTTTTAGCAACACACATGTTTTTCTTTAACTATTGATGAGAATGTGAAGTGGAATAGACTTTCAGGGGACAAACTTGTGGTACTAGTTGAAACGCATTTCCTCTTTTGACCCAAGGAGCCCACTTCTAAGTACTTAAGTAGGGAGTTATGGATGCATGCAAAGGCTTTGTTGCAAGGCTATTATAATGCCTTTCATAATATAAAAAGAATAGAAACACTTAGAATAAGCAGAAATTCAGCAGAAATGGCTCATTCATGTAGTGGAAGTATAAATGAATAAATGACACTGGAAAGTGAAATGGACATGTAAAATGAGAATAATAAAAACATTAAAGAAAAACATTAACCCATACTGTTTTGGGGGAAAATTATCTGAGATAGCATATAGAAAGTTCTCATTATGGTCTGGGTCAGTCTAGGTATGCAAGAAATATGAGCTGTTAGTGTTGTTAACCTAGTCACTCTTATGGATGGGATGCACAAAGAGCCCTTAGGAGCAACCAGCACAAACCGTGGGTTCCTGGAGTTCTGGAGTGGAGAACAGTGAAGACTGGTTAAATGTGAGCTGTGCAAGGCTATTGTTCATGATGCAAACAGTTTTCTTCACAGCCTGCCCTGGCAGGAGAGCGCCTAACTTCACAATCTTATTGGGTGGATCTAGGACTGATATCTGTGGAACAAGAGATTAGGAAGGAGTCATCAGTAAATGAAAAAAATAAATGTTAATGATACATCTAACACAGTGAGGCAATGGTGGCTCCCTCTCTCATACAGATCTAACTTCATGTTGGATGGGCATCTGTTCACCCAACATTCATGCACATAAAATGCTTTCTTGGTTATTTTTCTTTTGTTGAGACAAAATACCTGACTCCCGAAGTGAAGCAAAGGAAGGTTTATTTCTTACAGTTTTGGGAGTTTCAGTCCATCCTCAGCAGGCTCCAAAGAAGGATGGCATGGTGGGGCTGCCATTTAGGGCCACCACAAACAGTAAGAGTCAACAGAGCAAAAGAGCAAAGACACACCTTCTTCCTGTCCTTACACGGTACGTCAGCTCTGCCCCTGGGCAAGTATAGCACTCACATCACCAATCTCAGCACTAGACAACAAACCAATAACAAACACTAGATTAAGCCATATTCAAGATTGCATGACTCTTGGAGGGGCCATCCAAACACAAACCGTAACAAATGCTCACTAAATTCATCACAAAATGTACATAATTAAAACTGATTAAGAAAGAGGGAAGAAAAGCTCAGAGCACCTTGACAACATATTGCAGGAGGTTAAAACTAGACTAGGGCCTCAGGGAGGCCTTCTTGAAGATGGTACACTTACTTGACAGCCAAAGGAGGTCAGGGTATAGTCAGTGTTGGGCAGCATGGGCAGAGAGTGGGGAACACTGCAGGAGGAAGAGATGGCCTGTGATAGAGGGAGCAGCCTGTGGCTTGGAGATAATGCTGAGAGGAATTTGGAGAGGCGATCAAGACCTCTTGCAAGGTCTTTTGGGCCACAGTTGGGCAAGAGGGGAGAGAGAGAGGGCTTTGTTCTGGGAGAAACAGGAGTGACCTAATCTATATGGCTAGAGTGCTCTGTGAAGACTACAAGACAGAAAGAGAAAGCATGAGATGCAGATAGATTTGGTTGAGGTGGTGGCAGCAGAGGTGGAGAGTAGATATATGGCAAAATCTTCACTTCCCTGGTCAACATGTTGATCTGGATGGGTATTGGGGAACAGGCTGTGTAAAGATTAAGTTGTTGACCACAGTGCTGTCTGGCTGCATTGGAAAAGCTCATATTTACAGTCTTTGAAGGCAAAATAAAGCTGCACCTGAGGACATTTGGCTGTCACTCCAATTCCAGTGCAATAAACTGCCAACCTTAGAGATAAGATTGTTCTCTTAATCAGCGAGATTTACTGCTTGGACTGTCTTGTTCTAACGTCTGGAGACCTTGCTCATCTTCACACCTTCCATCTCAGCTGTTTCCTGCATTTTCCTACATGCCCCTATTGCTTTGTTGAAAACCCAATAAATAGTAGAAGTCCAGAGAGAAGTCATTGTCTTAGTTCTGAGAGTGTTCTGACTCTCCACAAACCATATTGCATTTTGTTTTTTATTTGAACCTTTTTCTGTATGCTCACCTATAAGATTGGGAGTTTGGCCAGCTCCTGATAGATGGGGTCAAGGCCAGGTCAAACCTTATCTTCAGGATGGCACTGACCTACAATAAGCAGCACCTACTGGCCACTATCACTTGATCATCGACCATCTTCAACTATCTTCCAGTCCACATGTTTCTATTTTCTATAAAAAGGCAAGAGAGTCTCTCTACTTGACCAGTGAGAGCCTGAAGGTCTGAGAACATGTTTCAGTTACCAGTACACAATAGATGCTGAATAAACAAGTGAAAGGACAAACAAATGAGGGAGTTAGTGGCACGAGGAGGCTCTGTCTGTCCTGAGCCCATCAAGGGGTAGTATCCTTTTGCTCTTATAGTTTAAAAGGAAGGCTTCCAGGAATGTAGTACTCTTTAATTCTCTGCTGGCTGCTGAAATGTTTCATGCATTCTTGAGAATCTTGGGAAGTTTTCAGTCTTCCCAAGCCTTCTATTACAATATAAATGCTCCTGCCAGAACACTTTAAACCTTGACCAGACACTAGGAAGGAAGAGATGAGCAGTAGGTCAGGGAGGTTTCTATCTGGAGATCTTGGATAGAAGGAATCTTTGAATATAATCTTGGGATTCACAATTAGCTGGAGAATGTTAATCAGTGAGGATGTTAAAATGTTTTAAAGCTGAAACCTATGTCTGTACACATTGCCTAAAAATGTCTACTAGGCTTGCAAAGAAAACAGGAACTAAAGTGGGAGGAGGAAGGTGTGCTCGGGATACTTCCTTTGTAAACTCAAATTTCTCCAGGAAGGTGAAGGTGTTCCTCCAGTGTTTGTGGTACCCATTGTCATGGTTTATGTCAGTGGCTCCTGGCCTCATGCATTTGCATTATGCATTTATGATTGATACATTGTCTAAGAGCTTGGATTGATGATGTCAGTGCTACACTCACATAGGGGTGAAGCCAGCATACAATGTAATGGCAGGAAGAAGGTGTGTCTCTCTCTTGTGGGTTTCCACTTTGCAGTTTGCATTTGCCATGAACTGCGGCCCTGCCATGCCGCCCTGCCTTGGAGCCAACTGAGTATGGACTGAAACCTCCAAAAACTGTAAGAAATAAACCTTTCCTTTCCCATCTTGGGCATCAGGTATTTTGTCTCAGCAATGAGTAAAAAGTAACTAAGACACCCATATTCCTGAGATAGTGAATTTTGGAGCTGAATAACAGCTACGATTTACTTGAGTCTGATTTGACAATTCCCCTCTTTGTGAAATTAGGGTTACCATCTTAGTGGGTCTGGTTGACCTCTGATAGAGCAACCCCAAAGTTGAAGACATGGAAAGGGAAGAGAGCAGTGCGGACTCAGGCTGACAAAGGAGGCTAGAAGAGCAGGAAGGGGACCCACCCTGAGGGCCTCCCTTATAATCGCTTACCTTCATTTCAGTGCCTTTTCCTTTGATTTCGACTGTTTGCTGAGATAGTGCATTGATTTCAAAGGGGATGAGTTCTTGGTAGTTGATACTTTCTCGAGGATAAAATGTGATTGGAATCTCCAGTGTCTTTCCTGGCTTTATCACATCAGCACGGAAGCTGACCTCAAGGTGGCTGGTGTTGGTGTATAAACAATCTATGCTGGGGAAAGTCAAGAAGGGCCATCAACTCTGAGAAGGTTGATCTAGAGGGACTGATACATCCCTTTATCTCTCTGGACTGGGTATGATAGGTCACCTGCCCATCTGTCCTAAAGTCAGAGAAATCACTGAAGAACTGAAAGGGATGGCAACAGTGATCAGTTCACACTCCAGGCACACTGAATTATTTACCCTAAATTACAGCCTGAGATCCAGGCAGAACCAGGTCTCATGCTAAGACTCATGCCAAATGCTCTTTTCACTCTGTGGAATCTCTATTTCTTGATCTTGCATCCCATGTTTGGAAAGGAGTGTGTTCTAGAGTCATGCAGACAGGAATCTGGACCCCGATTCTATTGTTAACTAGCCATATAGTCTAGGAAAAGTTCCTCAACCCAGTGGGTTTCTGTTTCCTTATCTATAATCTGGGGGCAATGATATTTTATGGGGTGGTTGTTAAGAGTAAATAAAATAGAATGGCTAAAGTAGTCATACACAAGGCATGGAGAAAACATTCCACAAAGTGAGCTATTGCACAACTAGAAGGCATCTTGAAAGAGCATGTTTAGCCCACTCTACCCATGGGGAGGAAGGCAAGGAGAACTCTGCAGTATGACCTTTCCTCATCTGCCTGACAAGTATTCAGAGACAGTGTCTAGCTAGGTCAATGTATGAAGCAAATGTCTTCAACAAAGTAAGAGTGAGATTACATTAAACCATATAAGAAAACATATAAGTAGGTAAGATTTTAATTAATATTTAAAGTTATATGACATTCATATTTCAATACTCAAGATAATAATAATCACAATAGGGTGGAAGCTAACAATAATTGAGCATTTTCTATGCTTCAGGTACTAAATACTAGACTAATTTAGTCTCCTAATAGTCTTTTTTTTTTTTTTTTGGTCTTTTTCATTTTTATCGGTACCAGGGATCAAACTCACGACTGCCTGCTTGTAAGGCAGGTGCTTATGCCGCTGAGCTAAATCCCCAGCCCCTAGTCTCCTAATAGTCTTATACAAGAAGTACTATTCTGACCCCTACCCCTGCATTTTGGGCAAGCATACAGAGACTCAGAATTTTAAAAATCTGCCCAGTGACTTGGGAGGTTTAGCTCAGTGATGCAGCACTTGCCTGGGTTCTATTCCTAGCAGTGAAAACAATTGCCCAAGACCACACAGCTAAGGAAGAACTGAAATTTGAACTTAGATCTGTGCTAGGGTAGTCACTAGACACATGTGAATATTAAAATTAAATAATAATTCAGTTCCTAAGTCTTACTGGCCACGTTTCAAGTGCCCCATAGTCATCTCTAGCTATCACCCACCACATTGGAAGATGCAGAAAAGTAAAACTTTTGTCATTGCAGAAAGTGCTCTATAAACTGGCATAGAGAGCTTCGAATGAACACAGATCTGTGAGCCTATGAGATTTTGGCTCATTAGGTCTTGGATGAAGACCAGAAACCTTGACTGAAACCTAGATTCGAATCAGAAGATCTAGGCTCAGTACACACCTGATATTTCCAGCAGAGAAATTTAAAATTCTCTAAACCTCAGTTTCCATATCTGTTACATGAGGAAAATAAATGGAAGCCACAGAACTTCCCATGAGATCATTTGGTATTCCCCTCTGCACATGAACTGCTCATGGCTATCCCAATATTAGTATTACTGATGAAGATGGCGACCCAGGATTCATGTTCAACTATGTTTGACTGTTTTCTATAATCCCTCTCTTTAGGTCTTGGCAGGACCACACCTGTATGAAGTCTGTAGGACTAGAATGGGCTGCAGAATCATCTGGATACTATGGGAAACTTCCTTACCTCATAGGTGTATCTTCCTTGTTGGTGATGACCAGAATTTGTTTGTAAGAGGGCATTCCTGGTTGGTAGATGAAGCAGGTCCCAAAGTTGTAGCTGGTGAAGGAGAAATCGATGGCTGGACTCACGCCACTGCCTATGATGCTGCACATAAACGTCGGGCCATAGCTGATCTGCGGGGAGGACACGGCAGGGAATGGTGATGAGGAGAAGTGGGAGAGAGGGTACTTACATCCTCACATTAAAGAGGAGAACAATTTGGCATCAATGCAGTCTTATGCATGCTAAACATGCAATCTACCATTGTGCTGTACTTCAATCTCAATGTGTTTTAAATAGCTGCTTTTGGTATTTGCCTTATAACACCAACATTTGGGCTTTATTGGGAAAATTTTTTTGATTGTTATTGCCTTACACATAGAAACAACATGGCAGAAGCACTTGGGCAGTGGAAGGCTGCTCACATCAAGGCAGCCAGGAAGCAGAGAGAAGGGAGAAGCTAAAGTGGGATGTACACCCTTTCAGGTCATGACCTTAGTGACCTGGCTCCTCTGGCCAGGCCCTGCTGTCCAAAAGCAGGTCAGCTATTGTGTTTCCATAATTCAATCACCTTTCACAATTTCTGCCTATGAGCACGTGAGGCCTTTGGGAATATTCTTGATCTAAACTATAATACCATGAACAAGAGAAATCATGGAAACCAGAACTGCAAATAAGGGGGACTACTGTATTGTTACTTATCCATTTATACATGACCACTGTTCAGCTAGTTTACTGGTTGAACAGAGAGTTCCTTAAATGCCTGGAACCAACTGGTGTCTCAACATTTACCAAGGGGCTCTGTGTGTATGTGGTAGGGCATGACAACCAGAGGGCAGCTGCCAACTCTGCTTTACTGTCCATTTTTTGCCTTCACAGAATCTACAAGCCTGTTTACAGTGTTACACCCTTAAGCTACACATGATATGTGTACACATGATATGTGATATACAAGCAGTGCATGACTGTCAACACTCCAGGGAAGATGTTAGAAATTTTCATGTGATCATTGGTCATCTAATTTTCAAGTCTTTTCTTGTGCACTTTTGGGTCAGCTTCTTATTTATCCCCAAGGTCACTGCTACCTCAGGCAGCTGTCATATTAAACAATTGTCATAGACTGTTTCTGACACATGCCCCAAGGGAAAAGGCTGTTCATACCGGGCAGATTCTACATCAGGTCAAATAAAAGCAAGCCCTGTTGAATGAGCTTGTCGTGAGTAGAGGTTTCCACTGCATTTCTAGACAGGGCAAACCATGACGATGATTTCATGATGGGGCTTTGGGAGAGTTCAAAACCTGTTTTGCTCTCTGTGGTGGCTGATAGTTACTGGCTGTGCTTGGACTGGAGCTGATGGTTTTCAAGGATATTACAGAGCTCTGGAAATGGGTTGGGAGGAGGACAAATTAAAGAATTACAAAACTCACTCTCTATTTTTCTTGAATAAAAGCCCCTAGGATTGTTGCAAATTTATGGTTCATTTCAGAGTTCTGGAAAAGGAGATGCTGACAGTGTTATTACTGCTCCTGAAGAACAGCTGTTCAGGGTTCATGGATCTTGGAAACCATTTTATATGTTCTCTCTCTGCCATTCTCAACCCCATTTATTTTCATCTTTGAATATTTCAGTACGTAGGAAGCCTATTGCTTTTCAATTAGTATTTCCTCCCCAGGCACCTCAAACATGATTCTGGGGCTGTCTCCAACACAACCACCCTGCAGGAGCCTCTAGATGGGTTACAAAAATACAGAACTCTCAGGAGAATTAACTTCTCAAGGCAGCATGCTGTGAGTGCTTTCAGCATTTGGACAGTGTTAACAGTCTCACCTTGATTTTGAGTTGCAGGCCTTTTAAGACACACTTCTGAAGTGGCTGGAAAGACAGAGTAGCCTGTTCACTCTGCCCTGTATCCACGTTGCTATCAGTGGGTGAAAATTCCAAGTACTGTAACAGGGCTTTGGGTCCAGAAAGTTCTGCCTGGAAGTTGAAGCTGAATTTTCCGGTGTTTATAAAGTTGAATTCACACTGGACAGATTCATTTAACTCCACCTAAGAGACAGAACAGAGCAGTGAATGCAAAACAATTCTCTTTTCTGGGGAAAAAAAAATACCCTTTGAGAAATAAAGATGGTGGATGATATTGGTGAACTGCATGTTACTGGTTTAATCTAGTCAGATATTCCAGCAACAGCTACTAAGTGCTGGTTTTCTTCTATGTTGAGAATAAGATGTCAATTTAATGTCTAGTCCTCTATTGCCTGTCGGTAGTCAGATATCCTTCCTGTGTGTTTAGTAGAAAATTTTGCCTCTCCATATCATCTTCTCGCCAGGACATAAAGTAAGAAAATATACAAATCACAACATCTACATTTTGCGGATGGGACTGTTCCTGGCACGTTTCTGTTCTGGTCTCGCTGGTTTTGGAGACAGAAAGACTCAGCTCATACGCACTTGTACCACCTCCCCAAGTGAAGCGTGGACACTGGGGGAGACAGCAAGGCCCTTTTATGCATTCACCTCATAGAAGTTGATGATGTTGGTCTGGTTGGGTGTCAAGAGAGTGATGCAGCCAGTACTGTCCCTGCACTTGACCTCTGCATTCATGGAATAGCTCTCAGCCTTGATGTTTAACGTCAGAGGCTGGGCTTTCTTTTTCACATTGCAGATCAAATTAAAGTTCACATCTCCTTCCTGCTTTGGTGTGAAGAAAATTTCAATTGGGATCCTGGTCAGGGAATAAGGCAGCAGATTAGGTGACTAAACTAACCAGATAAAACCTGCTAAAAACTGTCAGCACACTGAATTAGCAGGTGTACTATGAACAAAAGGCATAAAAAAAGACTTTCCAAATTATGGTAAGTTTTTGAAGATTTACCAGACAAGGATAGACATTGCTCTGTGACTTCATACATACAGCAGACAGCAAGGAAATGACTACAAATATGAGAGAAAATATTGAGAACAAGGACTTAAAAATTCTCAGTGCTTCCCTGGTAAGCAGCTGTGATGTGGCAGGCTGTGGCCGCCCCAGGGGGAGAACCACCAGCAACTCCTGAGATCTGTGCCATGTTGGAACATAGGGAGCTGGGAAACCAAGCAACCAGCTCGCCTCCCTGCTAAGCATTAGTGAGCCTACCAGCGCATGGGCTGAGGATCAAACATTCTCCCCTCCCCCCTACCCCATTAGCAGATGGGAGCCAGAGATCTGAGCATCTCTTGGGAGGATGACCATTTGCAATATAGCAAATGGGGGGATTTCCTTCTGCCATCTCTTTGAAGGCAAATATTTTTACCACTGTTTTGCTTTGTTATGATTAATGGTATCACTCTGTTTAATATTCTGTTTTGACAAGTTCTATAATGTTCTGTATTTCGTTTTATTTTTCTATATCTGATTGAAAGAGCAACTGTTGTGAAGATAACGAGATATACTGTGGTACCTATTACTGCTATCCAGGTAACCTGCTGTGATGTTCTGTACCAATTTCACTACACTGTCTAAATTGGCTTTTTCCTGTCTTGTTCTGTTGTATTTTATTACCTTCAAAATGATAAAAAATTAAAACAAATTCTCAGTGCTCCATAATTCATAAGAAAATGAACACCAGGAAGTGGGACAGACATGAGATTTTTAGTATATAATTCTTAGATTTGGAAGAGATTTTATAAACGGGGCACCCTAGTACCTCCTCCTGGTAGGCAGGCCTGGATCCCGTTATGCCAGGGCTTCATTTGTCTTTACCTGGACTGTGGTGGAATCCATCCTTCCATGGGGCTCACAACCAGGTTATTGTTGAAACCTTCAGAATATCGGGAGTTGTCCTGGAAGGCAAAATTGAAGCCCTGCTCCTCCTTGTTGATGATCTGCACGTTCTCCTTGGCTTCTCTGCCTGGAGAGGACACACCTGCTCTCAGTGGAAGCCTTTTGCCTGCTTGCTGAAGTCCCTCAGCAGATACCGCACCACAGGCAAGAGGAAGCCTTCTTACAAGAAATCCCCCACTTTTTTCCTCTCCTTGTCCCAAGCCCTCAGCTTACTTCTTTCTTTTTGCTCTTTAAGTGACCCTCCTCCATTCAGAGACTTCTTCCTTCTAGAACTTCATCAGTTCCCATCTGCTATTGGGTAGCTGCTCTAGCCTGGTCACAGTTCCCCTGGGATTCTGGGGCCACTGTTTTCTTCCTTTGCTCTTTCAGACCCAGGAGTTGTCATACCTTCCTGAATTTGTTAATATGGGCTTTAGTTTCCCTGATTTATTCCTTAATTGCCCACATCTCTGTAAATAATCCCTGTGTTGAGTTCTTTTGAATTTGACCTTGGGCATGCTATGAGTTTCCTGCCTACATTCTTAGCTAATATATCTCCTTTCATTATGGTGTTTCCTGTGACTACTGAAGAACATGTATTTTGCTACATAACTATTAGGATCCTTCTCTTCTCTTCTCAGTCTTTTTGGGATTAGAGTCATTAGACTGACAAAATTTTAAGTATTAGCATGTCCCAAATATAAGCATAGGACATACTTATGCTGAAATGCTACAATTATCTGTGGTTAAAATTTAATTGAGCACCGTATATTTTATCTGGCAACCCTAGTTTGGGTTCTAATTGGAATGTGATTAACTTTGCATTTAATTTTTGGGAGAGCTATAAAATGTTCAGAGCATATTTGGAGACAATTTTAATATGATTCAGTAATTTTCTTTATGTAGATAATTTGTTTCTGCATTTATCCCAATACTGTGTTTAGCCAGTATTAAATTGAAAGTTTTTTGTTTCTGTTTCTATGTGTTTTTTTGTTTGTTTTATGAGACAGGGTCTTGCTTCTCACTATGTAGTACAGGCTGGCCTTGAACTCACTCTGTAGCCCAGGCTGACCTTGAACTGGTGATCCTCCTGTCTGGGAGTGCTGTGATTACCCACATGCACCACAACACCCAGCTCTCAATGCTTTTATTATTATTATTATTTTTGGTACTGGGGATTGAACTCATGAGTGTGTGCTTGCAAGGCAGGCACTTATGCCGCTGAGCTAAATCCCTGGCAATGCTTTTATTATTAAATGGGAAGAAATTCTTATTTTTTTAAATGTTTGTGTTATATTCACTCACCTTGCTAAATTATCTTTATCCTAGGAGTTTTTCTCTTGAGTCTTTTTAGGTTTTATGTGTATAAAATCATCAACAACAGAAAATAATGTAATTTTGTCTCTTTTCCCTCATGTTGCTTAATTTTTGCTAAGATCTCTTAAGAAATTGTCCAATAATAATGGTGATAAAAAGTATCTTTGCCTAATTCCACATTTTAATTGAGGTAGTTTAGTGGTTTACTACAGGGCATTTACCTTGATTTTGGTTAATCTTCTTTAGTTTTCTTCATCAATTCCTGTTTTATTATTGGGGTGTTATTTTGGGGTAATATCTGATGAATTTTAGCAATGATTTTTCAGTATATTAATATATTCATATGGTTGTTTTTCTTTAATCTTTTGATGCAATGACTGTATTGAAATGGACGCCCTTGCTTTCCTGGATTAAACTCTTTGTCTTGTTGTTATTATGCTATGTATCTCATTCATTTATTCAAAACCTTAATGAATAAACCCCTCATGTGGACCAGTATAAGGAATGTTTGGAAATGATACACACCGAATGCACATCCAACTGTTAACATTGGTTTTCTTTGACGGAAAGAGAAAGATGAAAGGACAAAAAGGGAAAAATTTAATTTTTCTTATAATCAGTTTCTTGATTGACTATATAGATGCTATTTTATGAATAAAAAGTCTAATGAATAATTTTAAAATCCTCTAGCTTTTGTTGTGTTTTATACACACGTACACACACACCCTACATCAGTGTGAGAGATGCACAGGGTTACAAGGGATGTGAAAATCATTTCTTTCATATCCTCCAGGTTGCTGTTCAAATGACACTTTCCCAATGCTAATGCATCCCTTATTCTCCTTGCCCTGATGTGCTTTTCTCTAAAGCACTTACCAACATTTGGTGTACTATGTTTTTTACTTCTTTTTTGGTAGCTTATTTCCTCTTACTAGAATGCAAATATCATGAGGCTTTGTAGTTTTTTTTTCTGTTTGTTTGTTTTGAGACAAGGTCTAGATACATAGTCCTGGCTGGCCTTGAACTTGCTATGGAGTTTAGGCTGGTCTCAAACTTGCAATCTTCCTGCCTCAGTCTCCCAAGTGCTGGGATTACAGGAGTGTGTCATCATGCCCAGCTGATTTTATGCTTTATCTAAGTGCATTTCCAATACATGGAAAAATCCTTGGGCCAGACGTGGGGTTCAGTCATATTTGTTAAAACTATGAAAAAATGGAAGAGAAATCTGACCACTGTGGCACAGCATGAGAAATAAATATATGGAGCACAGGAACTGAGTTTGGAGTGTGCAGATCTGACGTGAGGCACTGTAACTGAAGAAAGTCAATGCTGGCACTAAAGGACTCTTCCTGTAGGATCCTTAACAAAGCTCCTAAATTTCTTTCGGTTATCTGCCTTTAAAAAATATTTTATGGAAAGTAGGTTGAAAAGTAAATATATTATGGCTTTCTGAAAATTGATAGAGGCCCTCTAACATGTTTCTGGAAGGGACCAGGCAAAGTTCTCCATCCAAGTCTGCTCCCAAAAGTCTGCTTTTGGTGATCTCACCCAGCTCAAGCCAATGCTAAATATAAACTGTGAGGGCAGCCTTACCAATGAGGAGAGCATGGAAGTTGAGGTGTGACTTATTCAGAGAGATGACAGGCTCAGTCGCTCTACCCACCAGCAGGAAAGGCACTGAGATATTATGTTCAGGGATTAAGAAAGTCCATAAGGCCTCTGTGATGTCCAGATGGGAAGGTGTGAACTGGAACACAATCTAGGAAGACAGTTCAGAACAGAGTAGTGAGAGGCATTCCTACTTACTTAGTCCTTGTACTCCTGAAGATCGTCGGCATGAGGGTCATAATAGCTGACATCTCCTAGCTAGTGCTACCTTTCTATAATCTCTGTAAAGGCACAGAGGTATGACTGTGCCAGCAATGTCAATGTGTTTGCTCTGCCCACATATTTTTTAAAGGAGTGTACTCCATATATAGTTTCTGCTGGTTAAGCTGCCATATTCTATGCTGTCTTTGGATGGCATGGCTGTACCACAGTAGATTGGACTAGAGAGTTGGCACCCGTCCCAAAGAAAGATTGTCCAATTGCTTGTCAAAATATGGCACACAGCTCAACTCAATATGATTGGCACAGTAATCAGATTTCTTTCTGAGAAGTTCAGATTAAAATCAAGTGGCTAGGTTAGCTGGCAGTGAAGTTGAAGGTGAAAGATGCCATGAGGGTGAGCTGGGCCATGGCATACCATCACCCACTTGCTAAGTAAAGTTACAAAGCAACTGAAACATAAATAGATGCAGAACATCTAGAAGGAGTCCAATATCAATAGCTTCTCCAGGTCTTTTTTCCCTTTGAATCTCTCTGTAACTGATCAATCTGGATCCAATGCAAAAACAACTGAATTCGGCCAGAAAGGAACCAGACAGGGTGACATGCACGGTCTTTGACAATTCCAGGATGATGCAGGGAGGCATTTTGGAGATGTATCACTTCAACAGCACTGTCATCCAAGGGTCAGCATGATCCTGGATGCTGGCTTCTGCAGCTTGCCTCTCTAAGAACTGGACATCATCTTTGACACAATTCTGGGCTGTCGTGGGGCCACATCCAGGTAGGACCATGGCTATGGTAGCCCTACCTCCTGGAATGGTCATTCTGAATTAGATGGCCTAGGTGCTGACAATATGCAAAAGTCAAAATCAGGAGAGAGTTTACAGATATGTTGCATTTGGTTTGGGAAATATGAAAAATATTTAATTAGCTACCAACATGTAGAAAAATATTTAACTAGCTACCAACATGTAGAAAAATATTTAACTAGCTACCAACATGTAGAAAAATATTTAACTAGCTACAAACATGTAGAAAAATATTTAAGTAGCTACCAACATGTAGGGAGATCCACATAGGATTGTGGAATTTTGGCCTCTTCAGAAAAGTTTGGGAGAATAGGTCAGCCTGTGCCTACTTGTATGTACGGTGATCATTGCCAGACAAGAGTGGGGCCAGCAGGCCTTGGCACCCAGCATTCCTTACCATTATCTTCTCTGCCTGCTTTGTTCATTTGGGTGAGTTTCCGGAAGGTACCCAAATTCACAATTTTTGTTTCATGGGTTTATATCTGAGAAGTTTTCTTTAAGAACTCATTCGACATGAAGTCCATGGACTTAATTTGGCTACCAAGTTCAAACCGAAGTCTGACCTCCAACCTTATATCCCTGTAGAAGCTCTGAGGGCTAAGCCACTGGACATGATTCAGATTTTCTGTTTTCCCCTTTGTCCTGGCCAAGTAAAAACCTGTCATCATCCTTTCACTTTTGTTAGCCCCTTGGACAAAGATAACTCCTTGTTTCCTGTTACTGTATGGATCCCAAAGGCTCCAGGCCTTTTTAGCTTTTTCCTCTTTGCTACTTGAATATTCTCAATGAAAAGAACAATTGCAAATTCTAAAGCTCTCTTTTTCCATAGGCAGCCAAGATGAACTGGGTCTGTCTGGTTATCAGGACTGACCATTATGCAGGGCAGCCACTCACCGCGGACTTGTTCATTGATACGCCCTTAGGCAGCCCTCCCCACTCTGCTTGCTCTCTGTGTACACTTGCTAAGCAGAGATGGCTTGAGGGGACCCCATGTGCACATACTTCAGCTTTCTTTTCAGGGTGGATGGATCCCTTCTCTGTAAGGCATGCAAAGGCTGAAGGGTTCTGGAGACTTTCACATTCTTCAGAGATCCAGCAGAAGGAGTAGCTATCATTGGTTGGGTTCAGGATCGTGAAAGTCCTGGACAAAGGGAAAGAGTTGACAATGGGGGTTACAGAGGGGACAGTGGAGATGAAAGAAAACTTTCCTAGAACCTAATCCTAGTGGAACCTCCCACTGAGAACCATAGAGTTGTTCTAAGCACTTTGTTACTGCAGAATTGAAAACTTCATCTTATCTCAGGGTCTAACGTATGCTTAAGCTGATGCTTTACTGTCAGTGGTAGTCAGGAATTAAACCTTTGTATAGACCCAGTTTTATCCACTATCAAAACTAATTCACAAAATTCAGTTTCCTTCATGTAACAATCCTCTAAAGTCAACTCTCTAAAATGCAGATCTACTTCCAGAATATCAAGTCTGCTTCTAGGGAATTAGTCTAGCTTGCTTTTCTGAATTATTCCACTGAGTTCCAAAGGACTGATTGATATGAATCCAGCCAAAGCAAAATTGACACCACTCACTTGAGATTCTTTCCTCCTATGCCCACAGCGTTGAATTCAATCACCCTGGTGTTTGGGTCCAAAGGCGCTGTGCCAGATGCTCGGAGGTCTGAGTTATGCTGATGTTCACGGATGTAGTCTGAGTCTCTCAGGTCAAAATGGCAGATGGACAAGAAGCTCTGCCCTTTTGTTACCAGGACAGGGCCTTGCTCTCCAGGTGGTAGATTGGGGATCCTAAGGGATAAGGTAATTATTATGTTTTGTTTTGTAACTGGTGTTACTTTTTTGGTTGGTGGAGTGAATTTTATATCCATCAGAATGTGAACTCTGGGTTCAGAGGGTTGGATTGTCTTGTTCAACATCACCAGTATCTTGACTAACACATGACACACAGTATTTTTTAATTATTAAATGGATGAATGGGCTGAGTATGGAGGCATGCATTTGGGCTCATTCTGCATACCCAAGTATGGCAGCAAGTTACTTTCTCCATTAGTGGGGAGAGATCTATCTTCCTGATGCAAAACAAGCTCAGTGTACCCTCTGAGCCCTCTCATACACATTTAGTGGGTACACAAAGGGGCTTGGAGATCTTCAAAAAGGTGAATAGATGTTAGAAGACTCTCAGCCCCAGGACTACGCTGGGGTGATAAGGGATCCATGCAGTGTACTGCAAGAGTCTGGGAGGCTCTGAAAGTTCATATATATCTCTACTAAACTAGACTATGGTTTAAGAATTTCTCCATAAGAGGAATGTTCCCCTTGGAGCTTTCCTGGAAGTGGATACTACATCAGGGAGTTTCGTTGTCAGATATGTGGAATGAGTTTTTCTCTCACTGGGTCTGGGTACCACATATTCTGCACCTACTGCTCCCAGGCCCACTGACTCTAAACCTCTTCCACCATCTAGTGCTCATTTTGTGCCAGGCATTGTTCTAAGCTCGCTGCTTAAGTTAATTCATTTAATCTTCCAGAGCATTCTACAAGGTGGGTACCGATATTTGCATTTTACATGTGGAGAAACTTAGTCTCAGGGAAACTACAAGAGAAGTTGTTCAAATTCATGCTTGTCCAAGGACTGGGAGCCACGTAGCTGCCTGCCATTCTGTTTAGTGGAATTCTGAATGCAGCCAGAAAGGGGCAAGGAGGGAAGAGAAGCATCTGGAGAGGGTTGATGATCAGAACTGAGAGCCAAGTCTCTTGTCCTCAAAAGGCAGACCTCTTTCAATCTCTCCAATGGGACAAGTGGCAGTACAGGGCTGTGGAGGGGTCAAGGGCCAAAAGGAATGATGGCAGCCGTGGAACAGAAGAGGGGATAAGAGCTTTGCCTTTGCAAAGATGGAGGTTCTGGAAAACACGTTTCCTTACTGGCAGACAAGATTGCTCTCGAAGAATCCAGTGTCCAGTGGGGAGAATTTCACTTTGATCTTCTGAGTCTTCCCCACAGGCACAATGCCTGAGGAGGGCTCCACAGAGAAGGGTGATAAGGAACTATCAGGCCAGTGGTCCATGCCGCTGTCCACGGTGCTGATTGTGACCTGACTAATTTGCTCTTTTTGAGAAAAACCTGGGAAAGGGGAGAGACAGAACAGGTGAAAGCTCGTAGTTGCAGTGAGAGGGGAGGTGGGAGGCTCATTTACAAGCCTCCCAGGACCCTCTGTGGGGTCTGTGGGCTCACTTCTGTAGGAGGTACACTCAACCTTGGACATTAGAGGTAAGGAATCAGTTTTGTCTCACAGATGACTGATGAAAAATATTTTAATGACTCCATCCTGTTTCCAAGTTTGTTTTCTTTTAGCTTAAGGGAGGTCTGTCAAGAAGGTGTTCATACAGACCTTCTGCCCTTGAATAATGAGCTGTGAACAAAGTCTTTGAATAATTACTGTTCTAAAGTAGGGATTTATAATCTGGGGAGCCATGGATAAAGATCCATTAGAAAAGTGTGGAGAATGCCAGCATTGAAATAATAACAAATACTGTATTGGCTCCCTAAGGTTTAGGCCCTTTTCTAGTGTGTTGTATGTATCAACTGCAAACTTGAGCATAGGTGTGTATTTTCTTGGGAAAATGGTTCATAGCTTTCAATAATGTTTCTAAGGGGTATATGATTTCCCAGAAAATTAAGAACTAAAGTAAAAATATTTCTAGTGGCTAGTGAGATGGAAAATTGGCCTAGTAGAGGTTCAGGGTCCAGGATTCAGGTGAGGGGAGAGGTCAAATTTTCAGTTTCTGAAGACACCAGGGGCTCTTTGCTATGCTTTTCCTTAGCTATGTTGGAGGTCATCTGAGCTGTGTTATTTTTCCTATTAATAAGGCCTTTTAACTAAAGGCCACACCCTGGGTTTTACCTGGCATTGCATTTACCTTGGTTTCCTAGCTTGGCAAAGCTGACTGCCTTTGTAGCATCATCTGAGCCCCAGTTGAATTCTAGCTGCACATTTCCAGAATTAACCAGGTCAAACCTGCAAATTGATCAGGAACAGACTTCAGGAATGTGCTGCAGGTGAATTTTATCCTGCCTACATATCATCTAGTGTTTATTAAAGTCAAGTCACTTTCTTAAAAATTCTTGTTGCTGATTAATTTTCCATTGCGAACATCTATCACATTTTCTTTATCCACTCATTGCCAGTAAATACCTAGGTTGATTCCATATATGTGCTACTGTAAATTCTACACAAAAACCAAGGCAATACAAGTATCTCTTTGATAAGCTGATTTAATTTCTTTTGGATATATACCTAGAGGTGGGTTATCTAGATCATATAGTAGAAATATTTTTTTTGATGAACTTCCATGTTATTTCCTATAATCCCCTCATTTGCCACCGAATAGATAGAACTGGAGCACATAGATGATATAAACTAGAAACACAAATACTCAGTATTCTCTTTCATAGGTAGAAGCTAAAAAAAGTTAATTTCAAGCTAGATCAGAATAGAACAGTGATTCCTAAAGGTTGGGAATGGCGGTGGTGATGAGGCAGATAGAAAGAGTTTGGATAACAGCTACCAAAATACACTCATAGGGTGAATAAGTTCTAGTGCTCTATTGCTCAGTAGGATGAGTACAGTTTGCAACAATCTCTTGTACTCTTTATGAAGAAGACAGGAGTTTGAAGTTCCATGCACTACGGATATGGAGACTCTAGTTACCTCGAGTCAATCACAACATATTGTACACATGTATTAAATGTCAGTGAACCCCCTAAATGTGTACTGCTCTTATAATTATCATTATTACAGTTAGAGTACAGTTAACTAAAAAGAAAAAGATAAAAATAAAAAATACTTTTAATAGATAAGTTTTAAGCAAATTTATCTGAATTCATGAGTTTGATATATCAGTTATATCCTTTTCTAAAACTTATCAAATATACACACAGCTATTAAAAATAAAAACATGTCGCTATTCAGAAACAATGTCCCTGTGAGGAGAAGCCATTTGACCCTGGCTTGCCACACCTTTTCTGGCTGAATAAGACATTAGGATTTCAGTTGTTTTTGGATTTAAAGTCTGAATCAGCAGAGGTTTTTCTTGCCTTGTGTTTCTCTGCTGTGAGATAAATAAAAGAGACAAAGGATTTTTCTACATTCATTATTGTCTTTAATCACAGCAACAGCATAAAGATAATGTTTTGATGTAGGAAATGATAATATCAGAAAAACAACACACACGTGTCCTTCCTGGTTTTAGGGGAGTTGTAAAAGTAGGGAGCTTGATTTTTTGTTTATATATGTGGTGCTGGGGAGGGGATCCACAGTTGTGCTCATGTTATACAAGCACTCTACCAGTGAGCTATGTCTCCAGCTCTGGAGTCAGGAGTTTGAATGAGGGTAGAGGGTGGCGTGCAGAGACTAGGTTTCCATGATCTAATCCAGGTCAACCATGCAGGTATGCCTGGAATCAAGTGCTTTAACTTCTGTAGCAAACACTCAAGTCTGCTTTGCAATGCAAAAGTAACACAGGCAACACATACAAGAATGAGCACAGTTGTGTGCCCGCCAAACACTATTTACAAAAACCAGGCCACCAGCAAACCCTTGCTTTAGGTGAAATGGCTGTCAGCAGAAGATCACACTTCCTGCCTTCTGTCTGTTGGCTCTATAATAATTTATGAGGACATTTAAAATACAACAGATGCAAAGTGAGTTGAATGAGATAATAACTAATTTCTACAAAGAACAGTCTTTGGTTTGGTTTTGACTTTGTTTTTGCCCAGAAGGGCTTTTATTTCCATTTCTTCACTTGCCCTTCAAAATTCAACTGGTGATCACCTTGTCTGGGACACATTCTGTCTTTCCCACATCATGATCTTTAGTCTTTAGAAACTCTTTTTCATGCACATGGAGTGATGCTGTGACTGACAATTCACCATTCCTACTGATTACCCTTCCCCACCTCCAGACTGGGAGCTCGTGGAGAACATCCTGGGTTTCTTGCTTTGGAATATAGGTAAATCTCCTCTCTTTCTTGAGGACAAATTTAATTCTAAATTATCTTTTTAGATCTGTTTCCTTGAAGACCCAATAAAGTAGAAAGGCCAGCTGTGTTATTAGGCAATATTATTTAAATTTTTTTTCTTGTCTTTTTGAGACAGGATCTCACTGTGCAGTGCAGGCTGGCCTTGAGCTCACTTTGTAGCTCTGGCTGGTCTCAAACTCACAATGACTCTCCTGCCTCAGCCTCCCGAATGCTGGGATTGCAGCTGCGAGCCACCATGCCCAGTACAGGCAATATTATTAATAATAAAAATGAATTGAATTGGTAAGTTTCATGTGGACTGGGAAGAACAATTACCTGAAGAGAAGTCACTGCTTTGGGGTTCTCTGAGTGTAGTAACTCTTAGGACTGGGTGTGTTCCTTTCAGGGATCTCGGGAGTTCTCTGGGGTTGTTATGGGAAGTGATGGGTTCTGTTGGGCAGAGGGTTTCTCAGCTAGGATGGACCCCATCATCACTAAGGTGGATCATATCTGCACTGTTGTAGGGGAGCTAATAAGAATAGTTCCTGAGTGGCTGTGTGGAATAATGCAAGTGCTATTTCTACTTAAGACCACCTGATGCCACCTTCTTGGTAAACTCGTTCCTGGCCTCTATCTTGATTGCTCAAATGTGAACTTTCAGAAGCTTTGTGGGTCTGAGTGTTTATTGGACCTTAAGTGACATTCTAGTGCATGCTACCCAAATATGATGGCTGCTATACCAGCTTATCACCTGTTATAGGTGCTGAATAGATGTTTGATAAATGAGTTAATGAAGAAATGGTTTTTGATAACTCACTCAAACACTCGAGTCTGGTGAACCAGTGTTTCCTTAAAGCACACGTCATTCTTTTGGCATTGGTATGAAGCATAATTCACATTGGCACTGATCTGAATCTGTAGCTCTCGGTAGTTTTCTTCTATTATTGAGTGGACGGGCTCAGGATCTGTCTCTATCACCTGTAAAAAGACAGCTGTGTCCTCAGTGATGCCAAGCCAGCTGCCTTACTAGGATAATGGGGGATAACTATTAGGCAATATTATTTAAAATTTTTTTCTTGTCTTTTTGAGACAGAATCTACTCACACAGATTAATACCAACTCACAAACTGGAGATCTGGAATAAATGATTAAGACAAACCTATAACGACTCACAGAATCAACAGAAAGAAATTGGATAAAAAGAAATTGCTGACAACATTAGGATTTAATGAGCTAGGTGTGCTCCAAAGAAGAAAGAGGAAAGAATATCATAAAGATAGGAGTAAATATTAATGAAACATAAAACAAATCTAAAATGGAGAGGGCCAATAAAATTGTCTGAAAATATTTCAAAACTTTTGGTAAGACTGATCAAGAACAGAAGAGAAAAACACAAACAACCAATCTCAGAAACCAAAAGGGGTGTCATTATTAGCTCTACAGATCTAAGCAGAAAATACTATAAATGATGCTATAAAAATACACATGAAAAATTGGAAAAATTCTAGAAAAATAATAAAATTCATGAAAGAACAAATAAAGAACAGAGTTCCATGACTATTAAAATACAATAAAAAATCATAAAGAGAAACCCAAAGAACCTTATTACTACTAAAGAAACTGAATAAAGAAGACCTAACAACTAGAGAGATATATTTTGTTAGTTGAAAAGACAATAGAAGATTATGGAATAGTCAGGACAAATTAATATGAAATGTTTATTCCTAAACTAAACTTATTTTATAGCTGCAATCCAATTCCAACCAAGTTTCCATGAGGGGATATCTCATCTCATCTATCTATTACCTGTCTATCTATCTCAATCAATCAGCCAATAAATATAAGAGGATCAAGAATGACCAAAATATTTCAGAATAAAACTGCACAGAGGAGGAGCTTCCCTCCAAATATCATGATGGATTATAAAGGTGCGGAAATTAAGGCAGTGTAAAACAGGCACAGGGATAGACAAATTGACAGTGAAACAGAGTAGAGCGAGCAGAAATACCTAGGCATATATAAAATTTGGATATATGTTGCTAGACTGTAAAAGATCATTGGAGAACAAAAAGAGTAAATAAGAGAGTTGGCAAGACATTATCTGGGTGAAAAATATGAAATTAGATCCTTGCCTTATATCATATATATAGTACAGGTGTTCTAAGTGCTTAAATATCAAAAGCAAAGCTCTTAAACTTAAAAATGGAAGTGAATGACTTTCTGGGAATGAAGGATTTTAAAAATAAGACAATAAGTAATAAACATGAGACTGATAAATTTGATTATATTAAAATTAACATGTATAAATTTGGTGAGGATATTTGCAGAAAAATAATGCAAACAAAAGTTTATTAAAAATAAAATAACTCATCTGAAGCACAAGCTTCATAATTGAAAAGTGGGTAAAAGGCACAAAAAGGCACTCATATAAGAGAAAATCTGCTTAACCTTATTGGTATTTAGGGAAATGCAAGTTAGGCCCATAGTGAGACAATTTCCCATTCATTCAATGACACAAATAAAAATGTCTAATGGTGCCAAGTACCAGAGAAGATAAAAATCCATAAGATCTCTTACCTAGCGGAGTATAAACTGCTACACCTGGCCATTACTTTGGAAAGTTGAACATTCTCACTTATCCTATAATGAACAACTCCACCTCGAGAAATACTGTATAAACTCTCACAAATTAACACCATGTGACATGTACAGCAATGCCATCAACACTAATGCTCATTGAAACTGTCCATGATAGCAAAACTCCAAATAATTTTCAAAGAGGGATAGATAAATAATAATGAAATTTCACATAAACAGTAAATTGATACAGTTTAGCACATGCAGTAATATGAATGATCAGAAGCATTAAACTTTTTAAAAAACTGAGCTAAAAGCTACAACTAAAATATGCATTTTAGAATGCATTAAGTTAAGAAAGAAACAAAAATAAAAAAACAGAGGGCATGAACCAGACAAGATTCAAGATAGCCATCACCTTTGGTACAGTGGAAGAGAGACAGAATGGTTAGAATCACACAGGTAGCCAAGTTTTACATGCACTATTCTTGTTAAATATATGTTTCCCTCTGTTATTAAAAAGAAACTAATGAAGGGATAAATAAAACAGGGGCCTGGGTGGACTAAGATGAGATTCTTCTATGAAGCAAAGATTGTGACTAATCAGATTCTGGAGACCTGATGGCAAAAGATCACTTAAAGAGCAGTTATGGCATTTCTGAAGAAAAAGGTGGTCTGGTGTATATATATATAAATTTTGTGTATGCCCAGATCATTTCTGGCCTACGTAGAGCTTAAGCTAATGCTCTACCAACAAAAATGGGTGTCCCTGTGATTATGTGTAGTAAGGATGGAGAGGCATCTATGGGAGCTCAGCTTGTCTCTTTTAAAATCAAGGTCAGAAGAATGGGAACACTTCCCATTTTCCATGACAGAGGATGAGAGCCTGAACTTGAGAGCAGTAGCTTCTGGGCATAACAAGCTGGGTCACATTTATGCTGATGTCCCTACTTACTTTTCGTTTTGTAGTGAGGGCTCCTGGTGTGTTTCGGGGCACATCCACCCACTTGACTGTGCGCATGCGGTCATCCCAGTCAGGGACCTGGTCTTCAGGGAGCTGAAACATGATCTTGGAGAGCTTGCACTTGATGTTCATCTTCTTCAGAGTGACAGGCACCTCAGACTTCATGGTCAGCACTATGTTCTTAGCACAGCCAGGGTGGAGGTGGCCTATCTAGGGAAGAGCTTGGTATTAGTACTTGTAAGAATTCAATTTCAAGGACTCTTCATATGCAATAATGACATTCCAGAGAAGGGTAAAGGTACAAGTCTTGGCAAAAAAAAAAAAAAAAAAAAAAGGAATCACCCAAACCTGTATATGCAGATTAAGTTAAATATATATGAGGTCCTTAAAAGTGTAATCATATAACAAGTACAACCAATAATTACCAAACTGTTACTTGCTTCAGGCCTAATTCTAAGATTTATACAATTCTGTTCATCCCTAGTATTAGAGGTACAGCTATCACTCTCATTTGATAGACAATGAAACTTGTGAATTGCTTTCATTAATATTGGAAGATCTGGATGCAAACTTGGACAGTATGGCTCCAAATGCACACATAACCGCCTTACACTTAGTCAGTATGGGCTACACAAATTATGATGCATGAACAGAGTATATTAGAGTTCTTAGAATATGATCTAGCAATCTTTGAGGGCCCCAAGACCTTTGCGGAGTTATTTCACTGTAATACAAAGATGCTATTTGACTTTTTTGCTCAATTTCTCATGAGTGTACAGTAGAAGTTACATGAGATAAGGTTTCTAGAGGTTGCATAGATATTGTGTCAAATGGAATACAAACTCAGATATTTGAATCCAGATGACTATTAAGCCAGACATTAAAGAGTTTTTTAAAAATGTCATCTTTCTCAATTTTTAAAAATATTACTATTTTCATAAAATATGGTTTTTACATTAGCAGGTAGTGGATTATTGTATTTTAAAATAAAAATTCATGTTTTAAAATATTCTGAGTTAATTTCTAATATGGCAAATACTGATAGACATAACCTATATACACAAAACTTGTTTGGGGGTTTTCAAAAATGTTTAAGAGGGCTGGGGATATGGCTCAGTGGTAGAATTCTTGCCTTGTAAGTGCAAGACCCTGGGTTCAGTCCTAAGCACCACCAAAAAAATGATGTTTAAGATTGTAAAGGAGTCCTGAGACCAGAGTTTGAGGGGGTTAAGAACACCAATATAAAGGAAATCCAGTTTAGACTGCAAAATAAAATCATTTGTTGTACTGTGTACAAAGACACATATACGTATGCCCTCATATGTCCACATACATGACAGCCCTATCACATTCCTGACACTTTCCACATTATCCCTCTTCTGGAAAGGAGAAAGGAAAGTTTAGAATTTCCAACACACATATGTTGAGACCATACCGTGTCTCTTCCCTTAAAGGTCAAATCTGGATACCACTAGTGTTTACCTTGGAGGATTAAATGAATTAAGCTTGAAACTATATGCACTCTGTTTATAGTAAATACTATTCAGGGATGGATTTGGGCCATACTGGGGTTGGAAAGATTAAAGTGAAGTTATCCATCCAAGAAACCAACTTTAATCTTTAATCAAGAGTTTGAAGGTGACATAGGAGGGTTTCCAAGCTTCCTGGCTTCATCTTCCTAAAGTTCTACATTTGAGCACACTTGGAGGCTGTGTGCAAATAGAGCAGGAGGCAGCAAATATATTTGGGTGTCCCTAGGTCCTGAGAACCATAAACTGTCTTGCAAACAGCAACTGGTGGCTAGAGGCCAGAACATGGTAAAATAGTGTCCTGAACCTTATTCAATGTTGAGCTTTGGTCAGCAATTTATAAAATGTGTATATTAAGAAGATAAAAGTCAGATGATAAGAGGACTAAAAACAGAGTTAAATAGATTTTAATATGTTGAAAGATTTCTGAAGGTTTTTTTCTTGATACCAGGAATTGAATTCATGACTTCATTCTTGCCTGGTGGGTGCTGTACCACTGAGCTTAAATCCCTGACTCCTGAAGGCATGATTAACTTTTTAAATATATTTTTTAATTAAGTAAGCTTATTGATACATTTTAGGTATGCACAATGATTACATTCATCGTATAGAATTTGTACCTGTACATGATATATCTTGATTCTTTCTCTCCAACTATTCTCTTACCTTTTAGAGGTTAACCTTTAAGAGAAAGCATGGTTAATCTTTAAGAGAAAGATGTAACTTGTGATGTTTTCTAAAATGTCTGCTGTACACAGGACCCACCATCCTTCCCTTAGCTTTTGGTGAACTATTTTTGGTACCGGCGATTGAACTCACAAGCTTGTGCTTGCCAGTCAGGCATTTATGCTGCTGAGCTAAATCCCTGGCCCTGGTGAACCATTTTTGAAGGACTAAAATGCTCTAAAGAACACACATGTAGGAAACCCAGGCCCACGCTTTGGGACAGGAGAGCTGGGTTGCATTCATCCATTCAGGCCTCCTCAGGATTCCTCATCTCACACAAGATTAAATATCACATGGTTTCTCTTTCCTGAGACACCAAGAGTAAAAGTAAAGAGCAAAATTAAATGTAGACCCTAGGAAGTAGGGAGATAGATTATTCTCAAAGGGGAGTGGTAATCAAGAGATGAGGGAGTGGAAAAGAGAAGAAATACAAGATGAAAAAAAAAAAAGAATTGGGATGTGTAACGTACATGTCCTAACTCCACATGAGTAATGGAAACATTGCGCACTACAAACATGTACTAACAAATAAGAAAGGCCGGGGATCAAGAGATGGGTAGAGGGGGGATAAAGGGAAGGGAAAGGAGATGGAAAAAGGAACTGAGTTGTGTTTTGTACATGTGCTAACTCTCCACAAGGAATGTAAACATGTATTACACACATGTACTAATAAACTAAAATAAAATTCATCAATAAAAATTCTTCATCTTCAGCCTAGTAATAATCTTGGCAGATTGCATTCTCTGCTCATCCTTTTTAGACCTGGAGTGGATGTGAACAGCATCCTTTGGTACCAGGTCTGAATGCCATGTTTCCTGAGCTGCCTCCCATCTTGGGATGCATCCATTTCATTCCATGCACCCACGGTAATGGGTCGATATGAGACTGGGGTTGGTTGAGGCCTACAGGAGTCCAGAACACAGTGAAAGGACTTCACTTACCTGTGGGGAGAAAGAAACGGTAGCCAAAAGTGGCCATTCGAACCGTACCACATTCCCTTGACTGTGGTTAGTGATTGTGAAGCTTGCGGTATAGCTGTTTCCAATGTGGCAGTCCCCAAACTGGATGTGGTCCATAAGAGCAGCTAGGAGTTAGAAGCAAAGGCTGGTTGAATCTTCCATGACTGTCTTGGAAGCCCTGCTTCCTTCAAGAGGCAGAAACTGTCAGACATTGTGCCTCACTTTTAGACAAACTTTCCTTGTCTGGATGGTTATATTTGAAAAACTTGGAATGCCTGGTTAGCAAGACTTTTTACCATAGGAAAATTTACTTATCCATTCATGTGCCCATGCATGCTTGCATCCATCCATCCACCCATCTATCAATGCATTTATGCATCCATGCATCCATCCATCTATCCATCTATCCATGCATCCATCCATCTATCCATGCATCCATCTATCCATCCATACAGCCATCTACCTATCTATCCATCTATCCATACATCCACCCAACTATCCATCTATCTATGTATCTACCCATTTATCCATCTGTCCATGCATCCATACATCCATGCCTCTATCCATGCTCCATCCATTCTTTATCCATGCATCCATGCATGCAGTCATCCATCTATCCATCAATGCATCCATTCATTCCTTCATTCACTCTGGCCCTCACTTACACTTGTATAAGAGAAAATATAGGTCTCCAACTTCATTTGTTTGGTAAAACAGTACAGTTAAGGGTTAGATTGACAGATAAAATATAGTTCAATGTGAATTACAGATAAACAATGAAACAAATTTAAGATAAGCATGTCCTGTGCAATTTTGGGGGCACACTTATCCTAAAGATTATTTGCAGTTTATCTGAAATTTAAATTTACTGGGGACTCTTGTATTCTGGCAGTCCCATAATAGATATGAAATCTGATTTTTGAACTTGGGTTTACTATTGGTTGTTCTTTAATTCCTGATACTGGAAAGATGTTGCTATCTAGCGTCAAATAAAGGTGAAAAATCAAGTGCGTAAGGAGTGATGATTTCAACCCACATTCTATAGAGTCCCTAATTGTACATTCCAGGACTGTAATTAAGCTCCTAGAAAAGTCTAGAGCCTGTGTTTATAACTCACTTTATGGGAACCAATGACACAATGAGCACACTCAACAAATGCTTTTTTGATAATAAGAATGAAGTAAATTTTTTCCTACTCCAAAGAATATGATCAGTAAACAAAGCCTCAGTGCCTGAGAGAATACAGAGCAGCATGTCTTAGGCTTTAGGATACACACAGATCATCTGCGTCCTGGTTAAAAAGCAAATGCTAATCAGTGGGTCAGGGTGGGCCTGAAATTCCCATTTCTAACATCCCAGGCGATGTTGATACAGTACTCACTCTCAAGATGTTGAGTATGTGGAGAATGACATTCTGGAGGTAGTATGGTTAGATAATGCTAATACAGCCAATCAAAAGATAGGCAGGGAAAACTACATGAAAGCATTAGTTCACTTATTAGCTGAACTATAATATTAATATCCAGCTAGAATCTTGCTAAAAGCAGAGACTTCCTTAAGAAACTCTGCAACTCCAGGACTTAGTGTAGTGCCTGGCATGTGTACACTAATGCTCAGGAAAGGTTCACTGATTGAGCATGAACGAATGGGAGGATGGAGGCAGAGACCAAGCTGGGCATGATGAGCATACAGTGGGGAAGAGAAAATTCATTCCTAAACTCTCAGGACGCTAAGGCTGTTATTTAATTTCACCCTCATTTAAAATGGCCCAAGAGCCTGCCACTTTCCCCACCTGCCAGCAAGTTATCCATGGTGTCTTCCTCGGTGACCTCTATGATCTCAGAAATATTTGAGGCCTCTTCGTTGGTGGAAGCCACCAGCCCACGGATGTTGTCCAAGGTGATGTCGTCCTTGTAGCCCTCTCCCACCAGGTGGATGAGGGTCTCCTCATACTGGTTGTCAATCACTGACAGATGAATGATGCCTGTCACTCTCCCAACTTTGTGGGAATGGAAACAGACATCGAATTCAGCTGTGTTTCCAGGAGAAACAATCAGGGAAGCCGTGTGAGCTTTTATTGCTGCAGAAATAAAGAAGATATCATTTAGTATCAGTTTAAAGAAATAAGCATCCATAAAGAGCCTGGCTGAAGACAAAGCAGCCCAGGTATGGGAAGGAGTTTTAGCTAAAGGTGACTGGTGATGAAAGTGAGCATCCCATTGGGCCCCAAGAAGTCCCAACAAACCAGCTACCGAAACCCATTGCCTTTCACTGACCTTTTTCTTCTGGTTTGTTTTCCTCAATGATATAGATGTAGGAGGTGGTGGGCCTCCCTTTCAGGGAGAAGACTCCTAGTTGGTCTCGCAGGTCCACATGCACCTGTTGGCAGAAGGAAAGCAGAGTTGAGTGTTGAGCTCACAGTCTACTCAGGAGTTTTGAGTCTGGCGTGTGATACTTTTTTAGGAAGGACCCCAAACCATTGTCCGTAGTATTCACTTTTCTGAGTTTCTAGAGGTATAATAAATATTAGTTCTAGAGTGGACAAAAAAATTTTCATTCATCCACGTCAGTCTTAATTTATTTGAGGAACTAGAGGTCCAAAGAGTATAGGTGACTTTCCAAATTCTATCAGGGTTTTCATGGGTGGGAATTCCTAAAAGCCAGCACCTCCTAGATATTGTGGATTTGTCACCTAGAGTCATGGTAAGTATCCTGCCAAGATAAGGGAAAAACACGTGGGCTTCTGACCTATTTCAAGGGAAAAAAGTAGTTTCTAGTTCATCAGAAGAAAGTTAAGAGTAGAGTCTGATATTAGGTGAGGTAAATCAGCAGAATTTTTAGAACGTAATGATACTGGTACCATCCCAAGCAAGCTTGAATACTATGAAAAATGTGGTATGAAGGAAAGAGAAACGGTGATATTACATAAGAAGCTTCTGAGATGACAGATTATACACTTAGAGATTAATAAGAAGTCATCTGTAGGAATTATATATAAAGTTATTTATATAAAATATTTATATAAATGGGTGGGAATTTTAAACCTTGCTCCTGGAAGAGAGTTTAAGTAGAAATTCTCTCCAAAGTTCATATTTGGGATTAATAGGCAAAAATTGTTAAGAAAAATTACCAAACAGCAGCAGGCAGGCAGGAACTCACCATACTAGATGTTAAAACATTTAAAAAGTCACAGTAATGGTAGCAGTATAAAGTAATGGTAAGCTGGCAACACTGGACTCAAGGGAACGAAAAAGGCTAGAGTTAATACAGAAAAACTTAAAAATATTACAGAGCTAAGAAGACAAAGAGTACCAGATCAAGGGATGTGAGTGTGGGAACCCAGGGAAAGGGAGGAAGGGATAGAGGAGGGGAGGGAGGGAACGAGAGAGGGAGAAGGAGAGAGAGAGAGAGAGAGAGAGAGAGAGAGAGAGAGAGAGAGATTGAGATTTTCAATATATCAAACTGGCATCCCAGAAAGAGAGAGGAGAGAAAGGAACAGAAGCCATGCTTAAAGACATGTCTAAGGATTTTGTAAGGTCAATTTGAAATCAATCCACAGAAACAAGAGGTCTGTGAATTACAAGGACAGATTAAAAGAAACCCATATCTAGACTTACTAAAAAACTTCACAAAACAAACTCCAAGGGAAAACATTAAAGACAGTCAGAAAAACCACAACACTGTCTTAAAAACAATATTTTAAAGTTATAGTTGATCTCTCTGCAGGTACAATGGAGCCAAGAACACCTGGGAAAACAATCTCCCATTGCTGAGAGAAAACAACTGCCAAGTAAGAGCCCTCTAGCCAGCAAAAATTACATAAAAAAGGAGGAGGAAGGCTGAGGATGGAGCTCAGTTCAGTCCCAGTAAACCCTTGCAGTAAAAAAAATAAAAATAAAGATTTCAAATAAAAATGGAGAGAATCCATGACTAGCATCTCACATTAAGGAAATAAAGAGTATTTTTCTGTCATCAGGGAAAGGGTCTCAGGAAACTGGAAATGCAGGAATGGAAAGCAATAAAAATGACAAATATATGGGTACCTCTAGAACAGCCTGCACTATAAAAACAGTAATAATAATGTCTACGAGAATTTGAAACATACATAGACTCCAAGTCCTTCCATGGTTTTTCCTATTCTCTAGACCTCCATTTTTATTTCCCTCCATTCTTCCCCCTCTCACAGAGCTGGAGCTGACCAGTTTGTGAGTCAGGCTTTTGCTTCTGGTGACTGGAGTTTTTCGCTCCTCAGGATGTGTGTAGTTCCATGCCTACTTGCTGAAACCCAGTATCCTCAACCCCCACTCTAGCATCATCGACAGTGAATTTTCCTTTGTGTTCTGAGTAGAAATAAATCATTCCCAGAAGTCCTAGTCTTATGCATGACACATAATTTATTAAATTTTTAATAAAATAAAACATAAATTCAATAATTGAGCCCCAAATCCCTGTAGATATTGCATCTCTCATCCTAATGAAGTTTCTCCCCCCTCCCCATTACAAATGTAGTATTCATTGAAGGGAAAAAAAGGAAAAATAATTAAGATGCTAAGAATATATAACATCCTCCTCTCCCAGGACATGATTGTGCACTGCTTCACAAGTGAATAGTAGTGTTCTGTGTGACAGGATTTCCTGCCTTCCAAGGGAGCAGAGAATGTGCCAGATTCCCCTCTGTGTGGCCCTCACACACAGGTTAATGTCTGAGGATTGTTAAAGAAGTCCTCAACCACTGGGGAATGGCAGGGACCCCAACATCCGAGTCTAAGTAGAGCCATTTTCCTCCCTCTCCACCCACGCTTCACCCTCAGCAATACCTGGGCAGGAATGGCACCATTGTTCTTGAGGATGAGAGGCAATTTCTCTGAATGACCAAGCAGAAGCCTCTTGAAGAGGAGCAAAGGGTTTCCATGTTGGTTATAGAGAATTGGCTTCACGACGGTCACTCGAGGGAGAGTCCCCTCACCAACAATATCAAACACGAGGCCCCGATTTCTGGCCACGTTACTGTAGGGAACAGGAAGACCCAGGCTTGTTAGCCTGGCATGGCAGGAGTGGCATCCCATACGTAGCAGTCCCCAGTCTATTTGGCACCAGGGACCAGTTTCATGGGACATTTTTCTACAGATGTGTGTGTGTGTGTGTGTGTGTTTCAGGATGATTCAAAGGACTGCATGATTGAGATTCTTTGTATATTCAGCTCACAATAGGGTTCCAGCTCCTATAAACTTGAGTCATTTGTAGGAAAATGAGTGCACCTGATACGCATCTTAAGAGAAATAAATCAGACACTCAATCCTGAATATTGCATAGTTTCTCTTGTATGAGAAATTAAAAAATATAAAGAGTAAAATAAAAGACAGTAGGAAGTAAGGAGACAGATATTTAGCATATGGGAAGGGAATCAAGAGATGGCAGTGGAAATGAGATCCAAAAGAAAGGGGAACTGTGATGTGTTATAGACATGTACCAAGTTCCTATGAGGAATGTGATCATTGTATGCTATAACCATGTCATACATAGACAGAGATGGAGGGAAGTGGGGGGAGGAAAAAGAAAGGGAGTAAAAATAGAATTAAGATGTGTCATGTACACGTACCAACAAGGAATGTAATTACTTATGTACTATGAATATGCACCAATAACAATAATTTAAAAAATCTAATGAGGCTGGTCTGACAGGAAGTAGAGCTCAGGCAGTGATGTGAGCCATGGAGAGCAGCTGTAAATACGAAGAAGTTTTTCTGGGTCAAGGCTGCTTCTCTCCTGCTGTGTGGCCTGGTTCCTAACAGGCCATGGACAGATACTGGCCGATGGCTTGTGGGTTAGGGATCCCTGCCATAGACAGTGTGGGGCTGTAGTCCTGAGAGAGGCACAGTACCTGGGCAAGCCATCCAAGGTAGCCTCCAAGACACACTGGTAACTCTGCATGGCTTGTGGGGTAAACAACACTGTGGCGAAGGCATTTGAGCGACTGGCTACGCACATCTTGTTGGGTTCCACTTCAAAGATGTCAGTGATGCGGGCAACAGGCTGGAAAGCAGGAGCAAACCAGAGCATGTTAGCTGCTTTGCACTGATGCTGGGGCATGTTGCTCTGCTCTCCTGCCCTGTTGTAAACTCTCTCTCCTCTAGTTCTTTGGCTGAAGGTGTTAGTTTCTTTTCTTTTTCAAGTGGATTTCCTTCAAGACCAGGGAGGAGGAGATCATTTGAGGTCTGCAAACCCTGTGAAAGAAGTCTTTCTTTGCAAATAAGGCTTTCTCACTTCTTATAGCAGAGAATAATGATTGGATGTCACAGGGCCTGAGAGTAACCACAGAAGAGCTTAGATGGTCTCCCTCCCCTTACCTTCTTGTGCTGACACTCTTTGGGGAAAGCCCATTCTCTCTGCAGCTCAGGATGAAACCAACCCTCCTTGGGGCCCTCCCCACTGGCATCAGGCATCAACAATACCCCTCTAAGACATGATGACCACGTGGGGCCAAATTCCACCTTCAGGCAAAGAATAGAAGCAGCCCTTCAGGCAGTATTTGCAATACATTTAATTAGAAATTAGGGGGGATAGAAGCCCATTAATTAAGTCCTTTGTCATGCTGTCCTGGATTTTTCTGTTCCTGTGTGAGGCGAGGATTCAAGAGGGAAGGAATTTAGAGTCTAGCATCCTTAGAGATGTGCACTTATTATTTACTTGAACATAGATGAAGCTGAGCCTCAAGTCTAGCTGTATATTCCCAAGCTCTGGGACCTCAGGGAAGCGTAGAGTTCTTCTGAGTATCAGTTTCCCTAACTGTGGAAGAGGATAATAATACAAAGTCTGAAAGTTGTTGGGAAAGTGAAATGCGGCAGTAACTGTAAGTCACTTCTGTCACTCTGGAGTGGGCTCAACAACTGTATTATCCTCGTGGCCAGACATCCCCTAAATCTGACAGTATTAAAATTGAGCCAGTGTGTCAAGGAGTGACTCATCTTAAGCTAAACTTCTCAGTGCTCAGACTAGTGCAGACACTGTATGGTGGATGAAGGAGGTTCTCCTTCGTATACATCAGCTCAGTCCAGGGTGACATTGCTACCATACACAGCCTACAGCCTATGGCCTCTCAGAACTTCCAGCAGGGCTGGAGAACCGGATAAAGTTTTTCTGGGTACAGGGGCTCCCCAGGGTTCTCCAACCATGCTGGGTTGGGGTCAACTGGAGCCTCTCACCTTGTTAGAGAGGGGCTTAACTACGAGGTTGACGTCACAGGGAATCTTGCCCACGTTGCTGATCTTAAACCGAGCCTTGGCCTGATGGCCCACCAGGATATTGCAGAAGATGAACTTGTTCTCGTCCTCCACAAACAGCCCCCCACTCTCTGTGGTCTCCAGGATGTGTTGCAGGTTGAGACTGGTGCAGATGTGGTGCTCCTCAAATATTGAGGCATAGTTGTCGGTCACAAAGGCTGGGGAGGGGAAGGAAGGTGGTGAGATGGTGCTGGCTGCCAGATGCCTGCTGTTCTTAATCTGGGCGTTTGGACTCGGAAAGCATTAACAGAGGAAGGGCAGGGAAATCCCCTCAAGGGCTGGGAGAGATGGGGTGAATTTGGTTATTTCTTTCTCTTTTGCACTATCTTTACAAAAGTTTGCCACATCTCCATCAGTCTCTTCCTGCCAATGGCAAGAAGTGGTGAGATCGAGATGGAGCGGGGTGGGCTTAGGAGGAAGGTGGCCCTTGGCCTGCTTCGACTGGAGGCTCCAGAGAAGTAGAGTTCTCTCTGTGCCTTAGCCGAACGCTTGCTGGGTTAAAACTTCAGAGTTCTCAGTTACTGGGTATTTTTCTCTGTGCATGAGTAACCCACAGAGTGGCTTAAGCATTTGTAGGATTCATTGTTCCTAGGTCCTGCACCACATCCAGTGCCACTGAGATTCTCAGATAAGTAATACTTTATACCTGAGAATGCAGGACTGGGCCCAGGAAAGCTAGCAATTTGCACTGGCATACCTTCTATGTGATTATAAGGCTTTAAGGAAAAATATGGCTACGACCTTAGAGGAAGTTCTAAGGTCTGAAGCATGCAACCAGCCTTATTTCCTAGACATCCTTTAGAAGAATTTGCCCAAAGAGGGAGAGGTGTTACAAATGTAGGTCTTTCAGGGTGTGGTCCAGGCTGAGTGGCAGTACCTGGTAGGCAGGCTTCAGCAAGCAGAGTATAAGGAATGCCAGCCGGATACTCTCTGGGGTCTCGGTCGGAGATATCGATGGCTAAAAACTCCTCACACTTTCCCACGGGGTCAGCCACACAATCAACGGTGATAATCTGCTGTCCTCCGGGAGAAACGGAGCCGAACCCAGGGTACACGGTGAACATACCATGGGAAAAGCGGGCCTGTAGGACAGGGTGGGGGAGACAGGGTCACCAGAGCCAGAGCAAAGCCTGGGGGTCTGGCTGGTGCAGGGCCCTCAGTGCTTGCTTTCTGCACTTTCCTTCTGAGCCCAGAGGTAAGGCACTCCCTGCGGAGCCCAGCATTTAAGGAAACAGACGTCGTGGAACACTTACTCAGTGCAAGAGTCTTGCAGAAGAGGGATGCAGATTAGACTGTGATTACAAGATTATGGACTTCTGAGTCAGATACTCTTGGGTTAGAATCCAAGCCTGGTGACACACAAAGTATCTGACCTTGGGCAAATGACTTCTCTAGGTCTCTGTTTTTATATTTTAAAGTGGGACAAAAAGCTCCTGATCTCAGAGCAGCTGGAGGGTTAAATGAAAAAGTATACAGGAAGCAGAGAGCATAGCTTCCAGTACAGGGTTAGGCTAAGAAAATGGAATATTAGTGTAGGGGAAATGACTGGATGTCTGTCCTTGGCGTCCTTGGCTCTGTGCCTTCGTGCTCGAAGTTCACAAGGTAACCAGAGTCGGTGCTGAGGATGCACTGCCCTGAGATCAGGAGGAATTGTCTCTGCCAGCCCAGGCTCTGTCCTCATCTTTCCCAGAACATGTGCTGCAGTGCTGTAGCTCCGCCATCCAAGTTTTCTCGGAAATATAAAACCCAGGGAAGAATGCTTTTGTGGTTCTTCGGCTGCACTGTGAATCGGGGCACACACAGATGAGACTTCCTGTGCTCTGCAGGAGCTTTCTTGAGTCTTGGGGGACCAGGTCCTAGGGTTCTGTTGGTTCTTGCTACCTAGTGGTGAGTGGTGAAGTCACTTTTGTAGTGTGAGTGTGAGTGTTCTCACTGGACTCACACTCTTAGCAGCTGGGTTTGTGTAGGTCTTCTGGATGGGTCCAGGAAATTGGCAGGAACTGGTGAGGTGGCTGAAATCCTTGCTGTACTGATAGTGGTGCATGTTACTGTGAGGAGCTTCACTTCTCTCCTGGGCTTGATAACCAGTGCTCCCCTCCCAGAGATGCACAGCTAGCATACCCTCCTCTGGTTCTCAGGCTCCTCCTTCCTCTTGCTGTTTTAAAATTCTGCCAACGGACAGTTTGACTTGGGGTGTGCTTCTTTAGAGCACCCACTGTGCTATCCCTGGAAGCTAGCACAGTGGTGGGCGGGGATCTAGTTCTGATGGGCAGATTGTGCCCCCTTCTCTTGGAGACACATTCCTCCCCTGGCCTGTGCTCTCTCTCCTAGCCAATCCCCTTGGGGGTGTAGTACTACTGCATTAGGAAGGTGATTTATTCTGATCATCCTCAGACACCAACTCCACATCCTTTAGAATGTCAGGAACTTCCCTAAATTGTCACCATGGCTGCTGAAGGTGGCCAGAAGGGGTGGCACACTACACTCCTTTAGCAGGTCTTGGTGTGGAAAAGTGTGACTGTACAGCCATACTTGGAGGTTGCTATTAACTTAGTCACTGTCTCCTGAGTACCTGCTACATACGCTACTCCTGGATAAGACATTCAGAGGAGGGCTTCTCTCTAGGCTTCTGTCAAACGATGCTTGGGGAAGATTTTTAAGGCATTGGGGGAGCTCATGAATGTTTTAAAGCAAAGGAAGGCATCCAAATTAAAAGTTGTAATGCTTCAATTTAAAATAAAAGTGAGTTTTCAATATAATTACTTAGGCCGGGCACAGTGGTGCATGCCTGTAATCCTAGCACTTGGAGGCTGAGGCAGGAGGATTTCTGGGATTCCAAGGCCAGCCTGGGCTACAAAGTTTAAGGGCAACGTGAATTGCATAGTGAAACTTTGTCTCAAAAAGACAAAAAACAAAACCAAACCCAAACCCTAAGCCAAAACCACACACACACACACACACACACACACACACGTATACATATATAAAAAATTACTTCATATTTCTGCCATAGTAGATTCAAAGCCTGTTACCTTTGGGAGGTGTTTGATGGCCAGTGCTAATTGGAGGGTGGCCTTATTGGATGTCTTGAGCAAGAAAAGGCACTCACCTGGCTTGTGATGTTTGTTTCTTTCTGAACTGAGTCTGAGAACTTGGCTGACTTAGTCTTGAGGAAGTTTTCGCTTTCCCGGTTTCTTGTGGGTCTAAAGTGGCCGGTTCTGATTAAAGAAGCAAGAGCACAACCTGAGGTTTTGATAAGGACCTGAGATAAAGTCTGTTTGTCTGCTTACAAGGTCGTTCCTCTTTGGCATTGTAGGGGCCTGTCTTTGCCCAACAGGGTAGAAGAGTAGCATAGTAGGCTTAGTAATCACCAATCAAAAACATGGAACAAAGGTAAGGAACTACAGTAATTATGAAATATGACTCATACGGACATTGAAAATTACTATTAGAGAAATACTCTGTTTTGTAAGTGCACCCCAGAAGTCCATGTAATAGGTGCTTGGGCACCAGGGTGGCACTATTAGGAGTCCTGAAGTTGTTGGAGGTGTGCCTTCAATAGGCTGTGTGAACCCCAGCCCCTCCCCTCTCCTCCCCTCCCCTTCCCTTCCCTTCCTTCCTCTCCCCTTCCCTTCCTTCTCTTTCCTTTCCTTCTCTCTCCTGCCCTCCCCTCCTCTCTCTTCTTCTTTCCTCTCCTCCATCCCTCTCTCTGTCTTAAAAAAATCTAACCTTTGTGTACGCATTTTTTTTTTTTTTGAGATGTGGTCTTATTATGTTGCTCAGCCTGGCCTTGAACTCATGATCCTCCTGCCTCAGCTTCCTGTGTGGCACACATCCCAGGTGCACATTACTGCACCCAGCTTTTCTTTTTTTCTCGTTCACTTCCTGGCTGTGAGGGGAACAGTTTTGCTCCGCCAAGGGCACTGGCCACGAAGCGCTGCCTCTTCACAGGCCACAGCAACAAGCAACTGCTTACAGAAGGGAACATCCGAAATTGTGAGCCAAAGTGATCCTTTTTTATCAAGTGCCTATCTGAGGTATTATAATGACAGAAGCCTTGGGCTGGGGGTTTAGCTTCGTGGTGTAAGTGCCTGCCTGGCAAGTGCAAGGTTGTAAGTTTGATCAAAAGCTCATTGACAAAAAGGAAGTAACTTTTAGATACTTACTTGAGTTCTCTGGAAAGCAGTGCATAGGAAATTATTTAGATATATCAAATGTTTTACCTGATTTCATTTAAAAATGAAATGGTAAATAAATTAAATTTTCTCTCCTTTCTTCATATTTACAGTCATGATACTTAGTATAAATAATAATTCAAATATAGGTGTTGATCATTTCATTTCACTTGAAACCAGTTTACCCAATAATTGTTTTGTATAGAGACCCACTTTTTAAAAACTATTCAAATATATTTGGGGTGCATCTTAAATTTTCAAGAATTTTATATACTTGAACATTCATTGATTTAATTACCAGAATATCTGAAATCCAAGCCCGTTTTGTGTGTTTTGGATAAATTTGTGTAAGCTAAAATTAAAATAAGCTAAAATAAAAAAACAATGTAAGCAAAATAGAGTTAAGTTACAAGGATAACTATAAACATTACTAAATTATAAAATGAATTATAAAATGTTAGCTTAAAGTTAAATTGGGAAGAAAGAAATCTTAGACATTGTAACTTCAAATTTCTTAATATGTCCAGATTTTACTAATAGCGAAAAAGGATAGCCTTAAAAATATAAAACAATTATGAACAAGGTTGAGTTATGCCTGATTTAACTCAAAGTTAAAACTGAGTCAGAAATACCTTGACAATGGGTCGATCCATTCTTTATTTGCTCTCAAAGACTAAGACAATCAAATGGAAGCCTAAAGAACTCAGAGGTGAATTGTTTTGGGGGGTACTGAGTGAAAACCACCTTTAGAAGAACACGGTTTTGCTGTTGGAACAACTCTTAGGGCAGCTGCTGTGATACAGTGCCTTCATCAGGACAACACAGCAACAGGCCCTGGTAGACTGAAGACATCACCCTAATTCTCTTGTCTACATTTCGAGGGTGCTCTTTCCACTCCCCATTGTGAAGAACAACTCTACTTTCTTTGGATTTAGCTTACTGCTATAGTAGTCTCTCGATATCCTACAGAATGTTAGCAAAACACTCACTAGTAAACCTCTTAGCATATCAGAGGCACCAGGAACACGACAGAATCTCATTTGGAAGACATTACATTTGGAGCATATCCTGTACTTGATAGCAATTAGAAAATATATGAGATCTGGGGTGGGAAGATGTGAGTCCATGACCAAGGTCTCTGGTGATTTCCTCCATAATCCTGGATGAGCCATTTCTAAGCTTTAGTGGCATCTCTCACAAAAGAGGACTGGGTGGATTTGGGTACAATGCATGAATCTCTTTGTAGGACACAAAGCACAAGTGAGCAAGGGATGGCGTGAGTTAAGGGATGTCTTACCCTTTCTTTTGATGAATGGGGCTCTCCCCCGTCAGCCTGTAGAGGGCGTACTTGAAGTCCGTGACACCTTGGTTTTCTATGCTGATGGTGGAGCTCTTGCGAGTGCCGCTCAGCAAAGCCCCGAAGTTGATGATGGAGGAGGGGCTGATGTTGAATTTGGAATACGTTGCGGTCACAGATATCTTAATTGGGATGCTGGCAATGATCTCACCCCCTTCTGCAAGATTAGGTTCAATAATCTAGAAACGGAAGGATTGGGAAGATGTCAGCCACCGGTCAAGGTACAGTGATTGTCTTCTTCATGATCAACTTTCATCACTGCTGTCAGGCTGGCTTCTTTATTTCATTGTTTCTATGTCATTTTCTCTATGTTGTGTTATTGCATCAGCCATAATATAAGCAAATATTAACAGAGATGCTACTGTTACCAGTTTGGTCAGGGCTGAATTTGAGCCCTGGAGTGCCACGTAGAGTATAAGAAAGCCCATAAAAATGGAAAAATGAGTTTATTCAAAATTTGCCCAATTTGGAAGGGCACTGAATTTGGCCTCTTCTAATGCACAGAGGTACTTCAACTTACACAAAGAATAGAACAAATAGAATGAAAGTTAAGAAATACGTATAGGAAGATGTGGCCCAGGGGGCTGGAATCCTCTTTGGAGCCAGGCTGAGGAGCAGCAGTTTATGCTGTCAGCATGAGGAAGCTGGAGAAGCAGTTTATCTCTAAAACAAAAGTCCCGATTTTTAAAGATCCACTGTGACCTCTTGGCTACATTGCCATGGAGCAGCCAGAGGTCCACAGGGTCCACTCTGTCTCCTGTTTCCAGTTCCTCTCTCGTGGGCACCATCACACAGCCTCCTCGTCTCTGTGGCTTCCCAAAGAGCCGGGGTACATTTCCTCTCACTCTGACTGCTCGCTTCCCCCCTGACCTAGCAGGGCCTGCTAGCGGGGGACAAACTCCGGCACGTCCCATCTGGTTGCTGTTCAGGGCTCGCTCCCCACACCCCCGGAGCATGGATGAACTGACACGCTCTCCTCTTTGCAGCAAGAGGCCCCCAGTCCTGCCACCCAGTCAGCTCTCACCTGGCAGCGCAGAATGGGCTGCTGCTCAATCTTCACTTCCTTTCTTGCACGAAAGAATACCTGGACATTTGTGGGCTTGTCTGTTGCAGACAGTGAACCCCTCTGGGGTATGACTGAGATCATAGAACTGACATTGTTTGTCAGAATCCCTACAGAGTCCACAAGAAAGCTGCAAGAGAAAAATTAAAAGGCCAGCTTAATTTACTATCAAAGAAACCTAAGACCCTAGGGGGAGAGTCTAGACCCGTAAGGGCCTGCTGTGTCTTTGGTCTTAACTACGCTGCTGGGCAAGGTCCACTGTGCTTTGTACAGTGAACTACAGGACTGATCGGGCCAGGATTTGATGTTTGAGGCAGACAGAGACATCTATCTTCTGTCCTTTGTGGGAGAGCTCTGTTCAACAGGGACACTTAATATTGGGGACATATCAACCAGTTTACTCTCCTGTTTCTCTTTTTATCTCTGAGATGGAACATGGCACAGAGAGAGAAGAGAGTGGCACAGAAGCCAGGGAGCCTAAGGGAAGAAGGCCAGGGCAGAGGCCATGGCACAAAGGCACAGGAAGTGGAACACACACTCAACAGGGATGAGAAGAGCCACCCAGAGGAGTGGACTCATGACAATTTATATGGCAGTGGGACACCGGAGTTGCAGTGGGGGGTCTGATGGTCACTGCTGCTCCAGGAGACCTGGCGGCTCAGTTGCTGCAGGAGTGGTACCTGTGCTTCTTACCTGCCTGCAGAGTCTTTGGTGACTGCCTGTTCCAACCAAAGGTAGTCTCCGCCCCAGGCCATGTGCAAAAGCACAGCTAAAGCCTGTGTCCCCGTCTGATACAAAATTCACAAATGGGTACGACTCTGTTCTGTACTAATTCCAAAGTGAAAGTGGCTTTCTTCTGGTTTGCTTGACCTTTATTTATATTTAATTTGATTTACAGTTGTCACTGTTTCTAATGAGTGATAGTATGGAGGTAGGACTTTTCTACTCTCAATGTTCTTTTAGCTGAAATAAAATGATCACGAACGCCCCAAATTTCTACCAAGTCTGCAAAGGGAAGTCCCTTTGTCATTTGAAAATTGTCATAGAGGATGCTAGGACCTCTTCTTTGTCTGCCAAGCAGGACCGTGATCTCCCTGATAACTTCCTCCCTCTCCCCCACTCTGGCCACTCTTTTCTGTCTGAGCAAGCTCTCTACCTAGGGCTTTATTTTTAATCTCAGGGAATGAGCACAAATCACAGCTGTAATCTATCAAGCCACTACTTGGGTTCTATAACCCAGTGATTCTTAAAATGAGAAGCAAGCAAAACGAACTGAAAAATAATTTTTCCACATCATATCTTAGGCAGAAATCTCTCTTGTGGAATGGATCAGAGCTGGAAGTAAGGCAGGACAGCTTGAAGCCAGGGCACCTGCCAGGCCTTGTCCCCTCCAGTCTCTCCTTCCATCCTAGACCCATGTGCCTTCAGGTACATTCAGAGGCCTGACAAGGTAGGTCCCTGGTTGAGCTGCAGAGTTGAGAGCAGTATGATAACCTCTGTTTCCAGCTGTTGGGATTCTGTTCATTGAAAACCAAGGGAGGCCAAAAGCAGAAACAGTTCTTAAGATTTTCTTGCTTCATTAGAAAAAAAGTCCCCAGACTGTTGTGGCTGCTCATGGCCACGAGAGGATGTGGACTGCCACACGCCGACGGCTCAGCTTACCTGAACATGATTTCATACTTCCCGCGGTTCTTCAGTTGAAGGGGCTGCTTCAGGTCCTCCATGACCTTCACAATCCCGAAGTCCAGGCCTCCTTCAGCTCCTGCAGAGCCCAGGGCCAGGGCCAGGGATGGGAGTGAGTGGGCGTGGGAGCTGGAGCAGGGGAACCTCCCGCTGAAGCTCACAGGGAAAACTTGGGGGCTGGAAGAGCACCTTATAACTGAATGGGCGTGATCTGCCCTCCGTTCAGTCTCCCTCTGCCTTCCTCCCTGTCTTTTCATCAGCTAAAGCTTCACATATTAAAGGATTTTGTACAAAGTATACAATTTACAGAGTTGTGATAATACATGCAAATTTATGTTATTTTATTTAGCACTTAATGGCATAACTATTTCCCCAGATTATTATTATTTTTTGAGGTAAAGGTCTTGCTACTCAGTTCAGGCTGGTCTTGGGCTCACTCTGTAGCCCAGGCTGGCCTCAAACTTACAGCAATCCTCCTGCCTCAGCCTCTGGAGTTCTGGAATTTCAGGCATTTGCCACCTTGTCCAGCTTCCCCAAGTCATTAAAACTCCTTCCAAATATGATCTTAGTGGCCACCCCATGATTGACAGTATTACGCCTACAATAACATTGTTGCTTTATTGATAGATATTTAGGTTATCTCTAACTTTTCATGATTATAAATAGTACTGCAATAAAGATCATTGCCTACAAAACTAATGACATCTAATTTAATATGTAGCTCCCCATGGTTGAAAGAGAGTTATAATTTAGGTGCTAGAATACCACGATGGGCAGAATGATACTTCTTCCTCAAGGTAACTCATCCTGACCCCTGGGACTTGGAGGATAGGCCCCTTCATGAGGCAATGGAAAATGAAGACAGATGGAATTGAGTTTGCTAATCAACTGCACTTAAAATATGGAGATTAACATGGATGATGCTGGTGGCCAAATATAATCACAGGGTTCTTAAAAGCAGAAGAAGAGCAGAAGTTGCAAGTGTGAGAAGAGTTGGTTCAATAGTAGTGGCTTGCATTGCTTTCAACCAGAAAATGTGGGGCAATCCCATAAGGCAGTGATAGAGAAATAATACAAGAGGAAGTGACATGTTCACCATCAACTACTCAGATGAGGAGTTCTGCAAATTTTGCATTTATGATCACCCCTTGCTATCTCTAGTTGAAGAGATTAGAATTAGCAGTAGTGTTACTGACTTTGCTCTGAAGTTGCATTACTATTTACCAAAACTAACCTCCCCAACATCCACCATAGTACTCTAACACGCTAACCCTCCTTTATATAGAACTATACTACACAGAAGATACAATTTCTAAACATTCTTTTCCCAGAAGGAGAAGGTGATATCCAGACCTTTGGGGAAGGTGATGTCCAGGGCAATGTCATAGGATTCTGCAAAGATCAGGATAGTTTCAATCTGCACAACTCCAATGAGATTGTCTGCATCTAAAACCTGTCAGGATAAGACAATTGTTCAGTGAAAGCAAGACCCATGAGATATTCAGAGCCTGAAATCTGTGACACGCTGTGGGGGAACAGGAGGGGATACTTTGGGGATGTGTTCAGCTCGTTATGGTAGAATCAGTGCTCCTCCTGGTGCTCTGTGGGGATGCTGGGGCAGATAGGGATGGGGAAGAGCTACATTTTCACCTGTCCTTTTACTGAGTTTAATGTTTCATGAGATTGTCCCTGCATTCCTGGAGTCTGGGCTGAAAAGACACTACAGGAAGGTGTTTTTGGAACTCTTAAATCAAGTAAACTTGAAGAGCAGTTTTCTGATACTTGAAGGAGAGACCTTTTGCATGTAAGGCATCCTGCTTGTCTCATTTTAGAAACCTGAATATTTCTGTTCTCTGTGACTCAGGCTGTGGAAAAAGTACTAGATTTTTCATAAAAATAGTGTTTAATATTTCTCTTTGGGAAATTTCAAAGATTCTGTGAACGTGGTTGTCATTAGACCTACAGAGGGACTCTAGTTGCTCAGTGACCTTGTTGAGGGCATTCCCCTCTTACTGCTTGGGATCCCCCCTTACTGTCCTGAGGAGCCCCTGGACTGGTGAGAACTGTCATCTGCATCTGACTGTGGACTTCAGAGATGAACCAGGAGGTCATAAAGGGCCTGATTGTCAAGAAAGGCGGTGCTGGGCTGTGGGAGCCTCCAGTTGAACCACTAAATCATCAGTTCGCCATTGCATATGAGTTGGGTGTCAAGAACCCAAGAATGTGAAACTTGAGGCTCTCACCAGACCCAAGTTTTAATTCAGAATTTCTACCTTTTCTTTTTTACTACTGAGGAGTGAATCCAGGGCCTTTTCAACTGGTATGCATACCCAGATTGTTTTAATTTTTTTGTTTTGAGGCAGCATGTTGTTAGATTGCCTAGGCTGGGCTTGAACTCCAGGAGAGCTGGAATTTCAGGGATGAAATTCCTCCACACCAGGCTTTCCTCTCTTCTTTCAACATACCTTTGCTATGTTCCACAGAGCAAACTGGGCTGACTTGAGGTTGATTTTTTCCCTTTTGCTCTTTACCCTGAGTGAATTAATATAGGACCTTTAAGGCATCGAGCCCCCAGGGAATTATTTTGTTTGCTTTGCTTCTCCATTAGGGGAGGTAAGGTAATTGAGGGCAATGGGAAGGACAATTGAAGAAGTGCACAAATAAATTCACTAGAGTACTTTCCACAGGGATGAGAAAGCAAGGTATCTGTAGACGCTGAAGGAGATAATCTGAGAAAGAGAAGCTGTAATTCACTTTGGGTTCATAAATGTCTGAGATTCATCCTGCCTTGTGTGAATCCTGATTAACCTGCTGTTTGGCTGGGACACAAGGGTGATCCTGAAAGTTGTTAAAATATAGATATGCTTCTGCTATTTGATAACTGTTGTTATGATGATTTCTCTAAGGCCCCCTTTACTGGCTACCTCCTGTACCTCCTGACCAAGGGAACCCCTCAATTACCCATGATCCAGCATCTGAAGGATGAAGCTGGTATATCCCAGACCCTACCCCAGCCATGAAGACTTCACAGAGACCAATCTATAAATGTAACACGGTCTTTAGGTTTCACATATATTTGTAGATTGAATGAATCTATCAGTGTACGTTATTCAGTTATCTGAAGGGCTGTCATAGACAGGGGTAAAGTAAGAGAGATTAAATATGTTTACTGGCCCCCAATTGGATTTACACATGCAAGTTATATGTGCAGATTGGATATTAGCTTAAGGAAGAATTTACAGACTTATATAAATGAAGATCAGGTTGCTATGAAGTGGCTGTAGGTTTTCTATTTCTGGAGATATTCAGAGAGAAGCTTGGATGATGCTTTAAATACTACAGAATCAACTCAAGCATTAAAAGCCAAGGACAGGACCCTGTGCACATGCAAGTCACCACTGGGACTCTCCTATTGGTAGCCAGCATAGGTGAGGAGAAGCAGTTAGCCTAACCTCTGGGTTACGAGAAACCCATGTGTTGGACCCATCCCCCTACACTATGAATAGGTAGTAAATGTAGGAAGCTCCTGGGGCCCTACAACTTGCTTGTCCAGAGGAACCCAGGAAAATGTCAAGATAGAGGAGCAAAAAGAAATCTCTGGCCTCCAGCCCAAACAGAACAAGTCTGGGGAGACATGGACATGAAAGAAAGTAAAAGTCACACACCTGAAGTTTCTGGGATCATGTAAACTTATGTAAAGAAACTATTTCATGAGGCTGGAAAGAAATCAGATCAGAAATAATATCTTGGGTAAAAGAAGAAATGACAAACATAATAAAAGGGTTGCTGAGCATATCTAGAGAAGACATAAATTTAAAAAAAGGATTATAGGAGAATGAGGGAAACCTTGAGTGAACAATAGAGAGAAAAATTGGAATGCATGAAACAGGCTCTAAGAGATATCCAGGAAATTAAAAACTCCATTGAAAGCTGGCAGAATCACTTGAAAGAAACTGAAGATAGACTTTCAGATCTTGAAGACAGGATGGCAACTAGTGATCATGAAAGGACAGATTTCTTAAAAATAATAAGGAAACAGGAAATAACAATTCAACAGCTGCAAGATGATTCAAAGAAAAAATATTTAAGAGTGATAGTTGTGACTTCCGGGAGAACATGGTGGATAGATAGCAGCAGCTTTGGAGGTTCTCTGAGAAACCACACTTAAAATCCAGGAATGGTGCCAAGTGAGAAATCCTAAGCAAGAGGAAGATATACTTTGCTGACCCAGGAACGAACTAAACTAAGAGAAACCAACTGGAAAAGCAATCCCAAACAGATAAGGTCTCAGCGCAGAAGCTGGACTCCGTGCCACTGGAGGCTGTGATTTGAATTTCCTGCAGCCACTGCTGCATCCCAATCGGCACGGCAAGAAGAGAGATGTGAAAGCTCTGAGAGTGGGAAGCAGTGAATGGAGTTGAGAGTGGGACTGGCCAGGAGCCCTGCATCGACCTGTGGTGAGTGAGTGGATCGGGGACCCTTCCATAGAGTAGGAGGCTTCAGCAAAGGACATACTGGGACTGGGCGGGCTGGCTGGGACAGGATGCTGCAGTGACTTCAGTCACATATTCCCTTCTCAAGTGGGATTGGTGGGGAGTGCCTGGCCTGCGTGACGCTGCTGACTAAGACCCAGTAGGCTAGCCCAAACCAGGTCCCAGTGCCTGGAGGTGCACCCTAGCAGTGAAGCCTTCGGTAGGTTGACCTGGAGGGGCGGGCCCAGCATAGGCTGCCCAGGTCTGTGTCTCCCTAGTACACTGCAGTGAGAGGGAACACCTAGCTGGCGCAATTCAAGCAAACTGCAACCAACAAAGAAAGAAACTGGGCCTCCTATATATGCTTGTATAAAAGGAACAAAAAATATGGGAAGAGGGAGCAACAAGAAAGGGTCCTCGGCCTCCAATCCTGAGAAACATGCAGTATCAGACACGGCACCAATAGACATAAAGTGCTATGTCCAGAGCCTCATAGACGAGTTCAGGAATGAAGTTATTAACGACCTGAAGCAAGATATAAGTAGAATAGTTAGAGAAATGCTAAGCACCACCCAAGAAAAAACAGATGGTAGAATGGAAGAACAGAAAAAAAGGGGAGAATTGTTTGATGAGAAAATAGAGAAAACATAGAATACGTGAAGCAGGTTCAAAGAGATTACCAGGAAACTAAAAACTCTATTGAAAACTGGCATAACAGCTTGAAAGAAACTAAGGATAGATTATCTGAACTGGAGGGCAGATTTGTAATATGGGAGCATGCAATGAAAAACTAAAAAACCAAACAGCAACAATTCAAAGGCTAGAAGATGATAAGAGGATCTATAACTTAAGAATTAAGAACATAAAAGAAGCAGTAGGGACACAAACAAATGGACTACAAAAGCTATTCACAGAAATAATCCAAGAGAATTTCCCTAATTTAGCAAATGGTAAAGATACTCAGATGTATGAGGCATACAGAACCCCAGCAACCTACAACCCAAACAGAGCTACACCCAGACACATAATAATCAAAATTCCAGAAATCCAATATAAGAACAGAATATTAAAAACCGTCAGAGACAAGAAACAGATCACTTACAAGGGAACACCCATCAGAATTACAGCAGACTTCTCGGCACAAACCATCAAATCATGAAGAGCGTGGGGGGAAGTAATTCAAGCTTTGAAAGATAATATCCTGATATATCCTGCACAACTGTCCCTAGAAATTGATGGAAAAACAAGGTGCTTCCAGGATAAAAAGGAACTATGGGGATTTGCAACCACCAATTCAACTCTACAGAGAATACTGCAGGATATTCTAAAAAAGGAAAATACTAAGATTCCAGAAATAGTGGCAGAGAAGCCACAATGAATGGAGCAGAAAGCAAAATGAAGAAGACAAACTGACAACAAATGACAGAAAAAGAGCTCAACAGAAATGAGGCAGAGAAGATCGGATGGTAGGAACAGCTATTTTGGAGCAAACAAGACATCATAATAGCTAGTGCTGATTTAGTATCATCTTGTTTTGAAGTCCCATCAAACATGTATTCTTCTGTCTCCATCGGTCTTAAAAGGTTGTATCTTATTGGATTTTATTATATATGAGAATATAAGTAAAAACTTTTATAGACAAGGAGATTATACAGAAACTATTGTTCATTTTCTGTGTTGATTCTAAATACCCTGTAATACTGTCATTTGCCTGAGTGGTTTTACATTGTTTTGATATATTTGATGCTATAGTATACAAAGTTATACTCAAAGATTTCAAGGAAAGAGACAATATGGTAGCTACTTTTATGTCGGGATTATCTTGTGGTGAAACACTATTTTGCTTAAATGGTTATGTTTTGACCTGCGCTGTTCTGTTGTTATGCCCTCTTTTATCTCAATCCCTTTTTAAAAAATTATTTACTTTTTTCTTTTTATCTTTTTAATTAAGAGAAAAATAAAAAATAGCAGGATACATTATAGTAACCTACTTTGATTTCCTATTAACTTGATTTGAAACCCTGTATAACCCTCACCATCTTGTTTTGACTGATTTTCCTCTATTCTGCTTTGCTTGATAGTACCAAGTTCAAAAGTATAGGCAAAACTGTGGAGACAATAAGAATCATTATGACGCCCATTCCGGTTGACTATTATCTTCTTTTAAAGTCCTGTAATGTCTCCAATGCTTTGGTTTTATTTTTTACTGTTTTGTTCAATTTTATTATAACTGGCAATTCTTCTAAAATAGCAAGAGGCAGTATGGTAACCATTGTTGATAACCTTGTATTTTGTTTTTACATTATCTATTATGTCCATCCTTTTGATTTGACTGACTCTGTTCTGATATGTCACATTTGGTTTTACTTTTTTCAAAAAAAGTAATAAGAACTGTGGGAGTAATAAAACCCAAAATGTGTAATTGTCATTGTACAAAAGAGAAGAAAAGAAAGTGCTCTAAAGGTTATAACTGCATGTATATTGAAGTGTGTAAGATAGAAAACCATATTAATGAGTTTTTTTGGATCACTGACAAAACTGTTTGCACTCTTACTGTTTTAAAGTCCACTTTATATGCTTCAATTTTGTAACTTGAACAACTATATCTAAGATGAGAACATGTAATCTATTAACTAGTGATTTCTTACTGTTTATCTTTTAAATTTTGTATTACTCGTACCCTTTTTCTGTTTTTTTCTTTTTCTCCTTAAATAAAAAAAGAGTGATAGTTGTAAGCAAAAAAGCAGGCATCAATACAAATGACATAAAGAGACCATTTACAGAAGTAAATAGTCTTCCTAAGCATGGGAAAAGGATCTGACATACAGATAAGTGAGGCATACAGAACTCCAACTGGACATAAGCAAAATAAATCTACACTCAGACATATAATAATCAAGATTCCAGAAATTCAACACAAGAACAAAATAGAGAAAAGAAACAAATCACCTATAAACCCATCAGAATCATGACCCATCAGAATCATGACAGACTTAACACAAACCACCAAGTCAAGAAGAGGCTGGAGTGAAGTATTTCAAGTTCTGAAAGAAAACAACTTCCAACCCAGACTGATGAACCCTGCAAAACTATCTTCCAAAATTAATGAAGAAACAAGATGCTTCCATGACAAAGAACAACTGAAGGAATTCACGGTCACCAATTCAACACTACAACGAGTATGAAGGATAGTTTAGAGGGAGATAAAAATGACCCTGGTCCTAGGAACAGCAGCAGAGTGGGACTGCTGAGTGGGGGCAGACAATTGAATGGAGGGGAAAAGTAGGAGCCAATGGCAGGAAAAAGGCATAACAGGGATGAACACACACTGGACATAACCATAACACACTGGACATAACCATTAATGTAGATGGCTTCAATTCACCAATGAAAATAACCACAGGCAGAGTGGATCAAGAAACAAGATCCATCAATATGCAGTATACAAGAAACACTTTAACTTGAAAAAAATTTCATAGATTGAAAGTCAGAGGAGAGAAAGCAATGCTCCATGTGACAGGGAATCAGAAAAAGTCAGGGGTAGCTTGCCCTTCAACCACAGAACAGATAAGGAAGATATGGCATTTTTAAAAATAATGGAACGGGGTTGGGGATTTAGCTCAGCGGCATAAGCACCTGCCTTGCAAGCAGGCAGTTGTGAGTTCGATCCCTGGTACTGATAAAAAAAAAAAGTTAAAAAAATAAAAATAATGGAACACTACTCTGCTATAAAGAAGGATAATCACGAGGTCACTTGTTGGTGAATGGATGTAATTTGTGATCATGCTCTTGGGTGAATTAGTTTGGACTCACATGGGTGAATATCATGGTGTCTCCCTAGTATAAAAAACTGAAGGAGTTGGTGGAATCCAGAATGTACAATAGATATTGTGAAAGTAAAAGAGGAGGAAACATCTAAAAAGGGAAGGTGGTACCATGGTTAATTTCCTATTATTTTGTTTAAAAATTCTGTATCATTTTCATTGTTTTGTTTTGATTGATCTTATTCTGTTTTTTTTAAGTTTGATTTTATTATATCTGATGGCATGGGCAGCTATTTCACAGATAATAAGATATTGTATTATAGCCATTGATGTGTTTTGGAGTCCTGTATCACTTTCACTGCTTTGTTTTGATTGATTTTATTCTGTTCTATTTTATTTTATTTTATTATGTCTGATGGTATGGGCAGATATTTTGAAGATAACAAGGGGCATTATGGGAGCCCTTGTTATTTCCTATTCTTGTTTTGAAGTCCTGTATTGCTTTCACTGTTTTGTTTCCATTTGCTGTATTCTGTTTGGTTTTATTCTCTTAAAATAAAAAGATTTAAAAAAGTTAATGACATCCATTTGTTCATTCATTCATTCATCAGCTTCTACTTGAGCTACTACTACTTCCAGGCTTGTGCTGGACTCTGGTGATGGGATGGTGTGGGGCTGGTGAGATTATAATTCTCCAAAGGCATGACTACTTCTTGTCCTGGAACCTTGATCATAACCCTATTCAGGGAAAAACGTCTTTGTAGATGTAATTAAATCAAAGGTGACAAGATGAGTCATCCTAAATCAATTGGTGGGCTTAAAATTAAATGACCAGGACCCTCATGGATGACAAAGTCTGTGGATGCTCCAGCTCCTCATATAAAACAGGGGTAGCATTGCGTACAATCCACACCATCCTTCTTCAAATGATCTCTAGCTTACTGGTAACACTAATACAATGTGAATGCAACAGCGATGGTTGTTACACTGCATTGCTTATAGAATAAGACAAGAACAAAAGGTCTACGTTTGTCCACAACAAACACAATTTTCCTTGAAATATTTTCAACCTATGGCTGGTTGAGATTGCTGGATGCAGAACCCACAGTTACAGAGGTTCTGCTGCATCCTCATGAGAGATTTAGAAGAAGACAGACAGGAGAAGGCCTGTGGAGGCAACATCTAGAGCAGTGGTGGTGAATCTACGGAATGTGTGTTATTTGTCTTTCTTTTAAGACAAAAGGTGTTAATGTGTGAATTGTTTTTTCTAAATGAAAACCTCAGCATTCAGGTTTGGCACATTCAGTGTTGGCACTTTTCGATAAATAAGTGGGTTTTGGGTGGCAGTTTTTGCACTTCTCCCTAAAAGTTTTGCATCTGGTTGAGTGATGCAACCAGAAGGCAAAGGACTCATGAGCCACCAGAAGCTGGAAGGGTCAAGGAAAGGTTCTTCCTTAAAGCCTTTAGAGGGAGTAGACCCCGCCACAACTTTGATCTCTAACTTTCGGTCTTCGGAACTGTGAAAGCCTGAGGACTGTTGTTTTGAGCTGTTTGTGGTTATTCATTACACCAGCCTAGGACCCAAACAGAGACAGTGAATAAACCAGCAGAGATACTGCCGTGAAAGAGTTCCTATTAGAAAGGAAAGAAAGAGGCAGAGTAATGTCAGAAAGGCTGGTGCTCTGAAGGACGGAGACCGTCAGTGACTGCACACACCAGTGACTCCCTGAGCAGGATGCTTAGGGAAGCCCAGTTGATGTTCTGTCCATCTTAAAGCGGTGCTAACTCCCCACTGAGTGCAGGGACAGACTCCCAGCAGGGGTGCAGAAATGTCAGGGGCCCGAGGCAGAAAAGAGCTCAGAAAGCATGGTGGGGGCAGTCAGTAAGGGTGAGGGGGAAATGGGATGCAGGCACAAAGTCAGAAAGAGCCTCCGAAGCAGGTGAGCACCTCTGGCATTATTTTTACTCCTGTGGGAAACCAGTAAGTACTTTAAGAAAGGAGAGTGGCCTGAGTTACCATTGCAAAGATCTTTCTGGACACTCGTGGGGATGTAGCAAGGGAAGCCAGTTAAAAAACTTCTGCAGAAGTCCAGGTGAGAGAGGGAAAAAGTGGCCTAGCAGAGGGTGGTGGCAGCAGTGCAGAAAAAGTAGTAGACAGAATGGAGACAGAACTGGCAGGACTTATTCAGGACGAGGCTGAAAGAGTCTCTGTCAGGAGCGGAAGGAGATGGAGGATGATTCTCTGGTGTCTGTTGGAAGCAATGGGAGGGTGATATTTATTGAAATAGGAATCTGACGGGTGAGCAGGACTGCAGTGTGGTCAGGAATCTACTGTTTACCTGGTTACAGTGACACAGCAGCTGGACATTGCAGGTGTGTACAGAGCAAGATATTACAGGCTGGGGACATCAAAAGGGGATCTTATGGGAGCACGTGACAGCGACACTGGCCGTGTCTGTGTCTCTGTGTGTGAACCCAGTGTACATAGGTTTCAAGACCGAGTCTGCAGATGTGTGGTGCCTCACCTCCAGCCGAAAGGGCTTCTTGATGTTGGCAGGTTTGGAGGGCTGGAAGTGCACGTGCAGGCTGTACTCTGCCGCGGCGGGGATGAGTCCCTGCGTCACGGACAACGTGAAGTCTTCGCCCAGGTGCTCCAGACTGGTGACCCTCCAGGCCACGGGCAGGGGCGTGACATTGCGGAGGACAACTGCTCGGGATTCTCTTCTGGAGAAATCAAAAGAAGTTCTGTGAGTGTCAAGCCTGTTTTCAAAGTCATGGTTTCTCTTGTGTGTGTGGGTGTGTGGGTTAAAAGCTCCTCAACCTTTCTCTTCTGTGTGTTTTATTTAGGTCTCTTAGCTTGTGGGGCTGGGCTAATTTGCATGATCTAATTTTTTTATGTACAACTTAGTCCAAATTATTCCAGATTACATGACACAGTTTAAAACTTACAGAAAAGTTGTAAGAACTGCTCTTACCTCTTTATCCAGATTGTGTTTTTGTCTCACCCTCTTTGCTTTGTGTTCACAGACACACATTTCCTCTCATATCTGTTATTTTTTTCAGAACCATTTGAAATTATATTAGAGACAATCATGTTCTTTTATCTTTAAACATTTCAGTGCGTATTTCCTTAGTACAAGAACGCTTATTAAGTCAAGGGGATTTAACTTTGATATAAGACTACTACTTCACTCAGATTTTATCTTTATCCCAATGACTTTTTTATGACTACTTATTTTTTCCTAGTCAAGGATTCAATGTAGGACTACAGATTGAATTTAACTGTTATATCTACTTACAGTCCTTGGGAAAATTTCTTCTGCCTTTCTTTGTGTATTTTGACTTCGGTATTTTGAAGGGCACAGGTCAGTTAATTTTCATTTTTTTTTTCTCTAAGTATTTACTGCCCTGAGAGTGAGGGAACCATACTCCTGCTTCATTAAGAAAACCACCCTAATAATTCAGAACCTTTCTACATTTTTAAGCAGTAACTGGATGTCGAACCCAGAGCCTAGAACACTTTAGCCACTAGTTAGGTGCTGGATGGCAGAGTCTCATTCCCAATTTATGCCGTGACTTGGGAGTGAACAGTCCGGCAGCTCTGGCTTCTTCCCACTGGTTCGCACAAAGTGCTTCTCTGAGCAGAGTATGCTGGCTCTTCACTTGAACCTTTCTTTTCTGATCATTTTCCCCTTGTGTGTTTCAGGGAGCTATCTTGGCTGTTAGAATGCTTAATAAGCTCAATATGCTCATTAATTCTCTTGGCAAGAATCTAGCCTTCCACTCGCTTGCTTACAACAGTGGTAACAGCATGCTGGGTAACACTGCAGACTGTCCCACTTTGCCATGGTAACCTCTGTGTAGCTTTCCTTTTTGATTGGCACCCATTGCCTCCAAGTCTAAAATATCACCCTTTTGATAGATTTGCATTTATGTGGCCAAAGGACCAACCTCATGTTTTCCAAAAGGTTTAGAAAATATATACATTCTCCTCTTTCTCTGTCATTTTGGCAAATTACTGGAAGATGACTTTCCTGGCTGAAAGGAAGCCAGACTGTATCTTAATTTGGGTTTGTGTGACATGCCTTCATGCTTATATCTAGTACAAGCATTTTTGGTGGGTACTGCAGTTGCTGGTGTGGTCTCAGTGCATCATAACAAGAGTCCCATGATGTCAGTTTGCCTGCAATTAGTGATGTTAGGTTGTTTAAGGTAATGCCCACCTGATTTCTCCACTGTGGATTTACTATTTTTTCCTTGATAATTAATATGTATTTTGTGGGAGAGATACATTGAGACTATGTAAATATCCTATCCCTGATCAAATTTTTATTTGCTAATATTAGCATCTATCGATCATGACTTAACTCCATTAATCTGTCCAAAGTTATTAGTTGGTAATCTATAGTCAAGAAGAGCATTCCATTCTGTCTCATGTATTTACTTATTCATTTACTTATTTAAGTAAACAGATTCATGATTTGTACCTTATTCAATAGGTTATAGTCCATTACTAGCATTATTTACTTTGATGTTCAAACTCCCCCAGATTTAGCTGATGGAAGCCCCTTTGTGTTGGCTCCATGGTCCCCGTCCTCTAAGCACATTTCTAACTTTATGGTGCAATGAAAGATTTCCAGCTCATCTGACACTTCTGCACCTTCTCTGCCCCACCCTCCCACGGTTCTTCACCATGGAGCCTGGTCCTTGCGTGGAGAATGATATTTACAAACCAAGATCCAGATGTCAAGATGTGCTTGTTGTTACTGGTCTATCATTATTTCTAGGACCTCCTAGCTTCATTCTTCAACATTGAGACCTGGGTATGATTTAATTACATTGTGGTCAGAAAATATACTTCTGTCACCTTCAGTACTGAGGACTGAACCCAGAGACTCCCCTCTAAGATACAATACTGAGATCTTTTTAAAAAATTGTATTTTGAGATAAGGTCTTTGCGAGTTGACCAGGCTGGGCTTGAACTTGCAATCTTTCTCCTTTCTACACTTTGTAAGATTTTAATTAGTTAAAATTTAATGAGATATATATTATGGCTTAATATAAGCCATAAATATACTTGAAATAAATATTTATTTATAGTTGATGGGCATATTTAAATTTTAATTAGGTCAAAGTAACAGTATTTTTGATCTTTTCCACAATGAGTTTTTAAAATTAATTATTTTTTATTTTTTAAAATTTTACTTTACAGAGAATAAAACCAAACAAAATAAAACAGAATAAAGCCAATAAAAAAACAATGCAAGTGATACAGGATATCAAAACAGGATAATAGGAAATCAACAATGGCTACCATTATCCCTTTTGTTATCTTCAAAATTGCTTCCTATACCATCAGACATAATAAAGCCAAACAAAACAGAACAGAATGAAATCAATCAAAACAGAACATTAAGCAAAACAAAATAATAAAACAATAAAACAAAACAGTGTGAACAATATTGAATTTCACAAACAAGGCAGAAGAAAATTTCCCCTATTTGCTATATTGCATATTGTTATCCTCTTAATGGAACTCAGACTACTGGCCTCAGGTTTGCAAAGTCGATCAAACAATACAAGCATTCAGTTGTTTTTGTACCTTAGTTCCCATCAACTCTGGCTCATAGGAGCAGTAAACTGGCTTGTTTCCCCTCCTGGACCTCATGTGGCTTGCACCAGTTCACTGAAACGGTGCATCGATTTCTTGTGACTCCTCCCAGGCCCAGCATAGCTTCCACTGACTCACAGGGAGGGCAAATTGGCTCCATAATGAGTTTTTCAACAAGCTGTTCTATCAATTTTTCAGAAAAGGGTATTAATATTCCCGACTATCACCTCGGATTTATCTATTTATCCCCATGGTTCTATTGGCTCTTGTTGCATGTGTTTTGAATCTTTCCTTTGTATTAACGTCTTTATCACTGTGAAATGTGTTCATTTGTAATCTTTAATAATATTTGTTAATGTCTTGAAGTGTATTCTGTCTTGCTTTTTCATCTGTTCCTTCTATTCTCATTTCTTTCTTCCATTTTTATGTATCTGTGTGGTTTAATAAAAATAATTTTAATATATTATTTTGCTTTAAAGACTTTTTAGTTGTAATGCTTAGGTGGAATGGTTTCAAGACTCTGGTTTGTGATACATACCTTCCTGATTATATGGAGATAGATGAGCCTTAAAAATGAAGAAGGCAGGTGATTGGGTCTAATTTCCTTGTAAATGTGAAGTTAGGTGGATCTGATGGTGGATAGATTTGTGTGGAATGTCAGCAGATGTTCCTGATTTAGGATTTATCATGTATATAAACTCAACCCTGGATTTATAGAAATGAACTTTCTAGAAAATTTCATATGAGTGAGGCGACCACCTGGTATACTTTGAGCATTTCTTGTAATTGTAGACATCAGATATAACTTGTATTAATCTCATAAAGTCTCAATTAAGTATTAAAATATTTATGCAAGTTTTTCTTTTCCTGATGTATATATTTTTTGAGGGGGAGTGAACTCTATATAATTCGTATTCAATTTTACCTGCTGAGTAAAGTTACCTAAAATCCTTACTCAGTGGTTGAGCTATTTACTAATCTGGGCCAGAAAACACATGCTGATGTGGCAAAGAAGGACCTGAGTGGTCATAATGTTGGTCCCAGACATATTTCTTTCTCTGTGCCTTTAATTTTTGTATCATTGAAACTGTTAGTAAAGCTTCATCCGAGGTAGAATCATTTATTTCTGTGGGTTTGATTTAGCAGTTCGGTCATCTGTGCTAGCATTTTTTTTTTAACCAGTTGAGCTAGGGATTACTGTCTGTCTATCTACCTGTCTATCTATCTATCTATCTATCTATCTATCTATCTATCTATCTATGTATCTATTGTCTATCATCTATCTGGTTAGCTATTTAGTTATTTCTATGTGTCTACAGTGGTACATGAATTCATGGATGCTTTTGTTTGCAGATGATTTGGTTCACAGACAGAAGCATGTGACAAAAATTTTGTTTTATTTGCAAACTCTGAATTGGATGATGAACATGACCTCGGCCATCTTTCCAACATGAACACAAACATGGCCATCTTTTCCAGAATCATGGAATGAATCAAGTTCATGCACCAGAGCACCACAGTATCTCCTTAGTTTCCTAGTTTACCTAGAATTAATATTGTATCACTTAATGTAAAATGCAATATGCCTCCGATAATAGTCACTTCTTTTATTGTCCACTATTCATTTCTGTGGTACTGTCAGTGCTCACCTATCTATATACACACTCATCTATACACCTTGATAATCCCATAATATGGTATCAATGTGTTTGTTTATAACAATAGTCTTTTAATTAAATAAAATAAAGTGAAGTATTTTATATTTGGCCACACATCTAAAATTTTTAATACTTTTCATTATTTCCTACACCTCTAAGTTTTTATCTGATGTCATTTTCCTTCAGCTTAAAGCACTTCCCTTAAAATTTCTTATAATGTAGAAATGCTGGCAGTAAATGACCCTAGTTTTATTTATCCAGTATTCTCTCTCCAGTAAGGAAGGATATTTTTGTTGCTATAGAATTTTGGCTTGATAATAGTTTCTTTTAGCACATTGTACTATCTCTGCCTCCTTTGCAACCCATGAGAAGTCAGTCAAAATATATCTCATTTTCCCTTGGCTGCTTTCAAGATTCTTCTCTTTATCTCGGGTTGTAAGTAGGTGTTATGTATTTTGGCTTGACTTTCTTTCTTGGTTATTAATCTATCATGCATCTATCATAGATGGATATAGGTGGCCCATTAAAAAACTGAACTTTACAGAGGTTAACTGACGGCTTCGAAGTCACAGGTTTAGTGGCAAGACAGCTATAACTCCATTTATCCAGCTTAAGGCAGTTTAAGCGTCTTAGAATGGCGAGTTGATGCTTTACCATCAAATACGGGAACATTTTATCCACTTTTTGGGACCAGTTGCTCTCTTTTTCTTGTTGGATTTCAATACACATCATTATATTGCTTGATGTGGCGACATCATTTACTGGAGTCCTGCTCATTTTTTCTCTTTTTCTTCTTCTTCTTTTTTAAAAATCTTTTTGAGACAGGGGTTCACAATGCAGTTCAGGCTGGCCTTGAACTCATTTTGTAGCCCTGGCTGACACTGAACCCTTAGGGATCCTCCTGCCTCAGCCTCCCAAGTGTTGAGATTAGAGGCATGTGCCACCATGCGTGAATTTTCTCTCTATTCTTAAACTGAATAATTACATTAAATTTATCTTCAAATTCATTGATTCTTTCTTTTTCTGTCTCCAAACTGCTGATAGTTCATTCTGTAAAATTTTCAGCTCAAGTATCATATGTTTCCCTTCTAAAATATTTACTTAGTGCTTTTAAAAAACAGTTTCCATTTCTTTTACTGGCTTTTCAATCTATTAACTCACATTTATCTTGTCCTAATGTTTCATTATGAATTTGAATGTAGTTATAATAGGTGATTTAATGTCATGGTGTCAGTTAATTCCAAAATCATGGTCATCTTTGGGTCATTTTGTATTCATCATTTGACAACAGTTTACGTAAAATAAATGGCTTTGGATTATGCAATTAGTTGTTCTTAGTTGTTTACCTGCTTGTTTTCCTTCTCAGACTGGAGGCTCCTCAGAGGCTGAGATGGCTCCCTCTACACTGTGACAGGTGTGCGGTTAATACCCACAGAACAGGGTTGAAGCTAAGCCAAATATCTTTGATTTCATGCAGAAAAATCCCCTTCCTCACTCCCATTGTGAAGCAAGTGTCCTATCTTGCTCATTTGTGCTTTAAAAGGGCAACATGCCTTTTTGGGCAAGCCGGGTCTATGCCAGGAAGAAAAAAGTCAGCATCTCCTGAGACTCCACATTGCTGGGGGTTGGAGGACCAACTGCGAAATCAACCAGCCAGCCTTCCTGGTAAGCTGTGCAAACTGCGCACGCTCCAGGGAGAGAAAAGCCAGCACCTCCTGTGAGCCTACTGGCATGCGGGCTGAGGATCAAACACTGTCCTCTCCCTCCCTCCTCCCCCTTAGCAACCAGATGGTTCTGGGGACAGCCTGAGTTGATAGCAAATAATGTACATAAAACAACCAGATGCTTGTATTGTTGGGTTGATTATGCTGACCTGGAGCCAGAGGTCTGAGCATTTCTTGTGAGGATGATCGTATGCAATATAGCAAATATGGGGATTTCCTTCTGTCTTGTCTTTGCAGTCCAATATTGTTTTCACTGTTTTGCTTTGTTCTGATTAATCGTTTTGTTTTATTCAATATTCTATTTTTATTGGTTTTATAGTGTTCTGTTTTGGTTTGATTTTGCTATACCTGATGGAATGGACAACTATTGTGAAGATAACAAGACATACTATGGTACCTATTATTGTTTCCCTGGTATCCTGCTCTGAAGTTCTGTACCAATTTCACTGCATTGTTCTTATGGGCGTGGTTCTGTCTTGTTTTGTTGGATTTTACTATCTTAAACAAAAGAAGGGCAACATGCCTTTTTGTTACTAGGAATCAAACTCATGACCTTGCGCTTGCCAGGCAGGTGCTGCGTTGCTGAGCTATATCACCAGCAACAAGCCTAAAAAGCAGCTTTTCAGGGGATTTAGCTCAGTGGCATGAGCACCTGCTTGGCAAGTGAGAGGTTGCGAGTTTGATCCTTAGTACAAAAAAAAGCTTTTCAATGTGAAAGCCTAGAATCACCAACAGTGAAGTTTCAGCTGGGACAGGGAACTAGGCTGGAGAGGTGTCTGGCGGAAAACTGTAACCCACTGACTCAGGACTGCCATCATGAGGTTTGTCATTTGATGTGTGAACATGATCTAATCACCACGTTTCTAAAGAAGGAGACAATGGGATAGTGTCAATTACCTGACAGTAATATGCTATATTAGTAGAATGTGTTTTACTTTTACAAATGACATAGGTATAATTGGTATCATTCACCCCTCATGGTCTATGAAGAAACTGAAGCTGAGAGAGGTGAATTCCTGGCTTCAGATTCACAGATAAAGTGGTAAGACGTGGCCACATCTTAGTCCACCTGCCTGACAGTCACGGCTGCCTGTGGTACAGACTTCTCTGGAAGTGGAGTCAGACAAAGCTTTCTGGTTACTTTGGTTATCATTCAGTTCTCTGGTCAGTGTTTATCAGGGAAGGGGCCCGGTAGTGAAGACTGAGGAGTGCGGGACACCTATCATGACGAGCTTATTCTCCAGCAGCATCATGAATGAATATATAATTTCCAGATAGGTCTAGCATTCTCTGTGATCTAATTTCTAGAGCAGAGATTCTTATGCTTTTAGGGACTAGACAACTTTGAGAGTGTGAAGAAAGCTAGTCCTGAGAAAATTAAAAATACACACATTGTTTGACAGTTGACCTTAGGGGGGTTTACTTCATTTCATGGGGATTCTACTGAAATCCATGCCCTGAACCCAACATAACAACTGGTGACCATAATGGGGTCATTAACTATCTGGTTTTGTATGCAAACAAGATGTTTCCTAGGATACAGAAATTCCAGTACTAAACTTAGAAAAGTCAAAAGCAAATTAGGATGAGAGGCTACCTAGAACTAAATGTCCTTTAAATTTCATTCCGGTCCTAACATCATTTAGAACTCTGACCTGTGCAGCAAGAGCCGATCAAAATGCAGTTGCCTGGGTTCCAGCTCTAATTCTGGGCGAATTCCCTGGCAGCTCAGTCTGAAGATAGCTGGCTCTGGGTTCTCCTTGATGCAGCAGACAATGTTGTCCTCAAAGACTCCGATTCCAGTAGGGTAGGCCCAGATAGTTAGTATCTGCAGGGAAAAATCAAAGGGAAGTGCAGTTTCCTGACCACGCCAAGGCCTCTGATTTCCCAAGTACTCTTGTCCTGGTAGACCTGTTCCAGGCTCTTTTACCTGCCTCTCATTTGGCTTCAGACTCATGTTGACAGGCTCCAGAAAATAGGTGCTTGCTTTGACATCATTCTGGAAACAGAAGTATACCTCCACCGGCATGGGGGAATTGTTCAGGATTGTCAGGGTCTCCATGTTGCCTGGGAACAAGGATGATTTGTACCTGGAAATGAATGGGAATGGGGATGTGGTTGTGAGGACGACATAAGTGGCGATTCAAAGGGGCCACACCGAGGCAGTGGCACAGTGGCTGAGAACGGGACCTATAGCTGTGCAGACTTGCCTCTGAGAATACCACAGGTGACTCAGTGGAGTTCTTCAAGAGTCCACTCTTGGTCCTTCTCTAAAAAGAAATGTGTGCATTGTTTTTAGGCCATCTCTTTATCTGTGACTTTTGATGTTTTGACAGATCTCTCCTGGGTGGCCTATCCTCTGTTTTATGTGGCTTCTAGAGATAATTTTCAAGCACTTCAGACTTGATGTATTTCTAAAAGAACTCTTTACTGTACTCTACTGAAACCTAGTGCTTTCCCAGATTTTCCATCTGGAAAGGTGGCATCTGATTCATCTGGGGTTTAACTTGGGACTCCAGGACCCATTCTCCAGTCTGTAGGTTGGGGGCTGAGGCAGTGGCCATGAAAGCTACGTCTCTATAAAAACTCTACTTGGAAGACTCCTGGGCCCAACTCAGGAATCTTAAGTGTGCTTTTAACTAGCAGAACACTTACTTGTCTCTTGATTTTCCACAAAGCAGTGGCCCAAAGAAAAACCTCTCCATGCTCATAACATACTTCTTAAAGATGACCTCATTTTCTTTCATGTCCAGCTTCCGATGAGGAAACACCACTCTGAACAGAGAGGAGGAAGAGGCAAGGGGAGGCTGACACATTACAAGTTCAATGCCACCATGTGGTCTGCACATAAACTCAGGTCAGCAAAGGTCCCAGTGTCTGAAGACAGAGTGACTCAATCTGAGGAACTTTGCTGAACGAGGCTTTATTCCAACCTAAGAAGAGATACAATGGTTTGAACTTGAGGAAATGTCTCCTAGGGGTATTTCTCACAATAAGAGCTGATTGGATGTTCTGTTCTAGTGTACCCAGCTAGAAAAATTCCCAATAACTACTATGGAAAATGAGTTCTGTTGGATATTCATTAGCTTCTGAGTTCCTTGGAACAATGAGGTTGTTTAGTGAGAACGGCAAAAATACTCCTTTTGATAGACAAGCTATAAAAGGCCCCTTCCTCCAGGGATTGCTCAGTGAGATGCCTTTATGTGGTGCATGAACTGAACTGCCCAGGGGTATTAGAAGCTCAGAAAAAAAAGTCACACATGAAGATTCACACACATTCACATTAAAGCATAAAGTCTTAGGGTATGAAATTAGTTTAAATCTGCATAATAATTAAATTAGCAAACTAACTTGTCAAGTTAACTTTTTTCTCCCTCACAATTTTATCTGTCTCAGAATGGGACTGCCTTGGGTTATCAGGTCATTCCTGTACCTTTTAGTCAATGTCCAAGACTGAGAAGCCTCATGTAGCAAGAGCGTCTGGGATGCTGTTCCTGTTCCATGTTATTGTTATTGCTGTTATTATAGACAGGGTTTTATTATGAAGGCCAGACTGGCCTCGAACTTGTGATTCTCCTGCCTCAGTCTCTTGGGTGTTGGGATTACAGGTGTGCACCCCCACACTGGGCTCCATGTTATTATTAAGAGAGACTTTGTTCAAAGTGCCATGCAGGAAAGCCAAAATGTACCAGTTGACCTTTCCTTTTAAAATCAAATACACTTACTTTGGGTCTTGGCAAATGTATGGGTAAGTGCAGACACCTCTGCAATAAAGCTGGTATTGCCGGTGAGTTCCAAGGATCTCAAAGTTAAAAGTCTGGTCAAAGTTCCCGACATTACTAGAAGAGAAGTGGATTCGCAGTGTCACCTCTCCATTGGCTGGCACGATCCACCGAAAGTAAGTCAGCCTGAAATGACCACACAGGATTTTAAAGTGAGAGCGCATCCTTCCAACAAGAGAGGACAGGCCTGCTGTCTGGAGAGGCCCCGTCTTGCTGGGATTAGGCATGGTGGCATTCCTGTGCTGCTGTGACCACTGCACCCTTGATTTGGGGCTTCAGTGTCTGCCCCTGCGGGTGTCGAGAGGCCTACCTGACAAATTTCTCCTGGGAGGACTGCATGCCCAAGTTGTTCTGGTCTGTGTCTGCCAGGGGAGCAATGGTTCCAGCAGTTCCCCCTGGAGGGACTTTCTTGCCAAAGGTCATGCGACGTTTCTCCTTCTGAGTCTCTCGAATTGGTTCAGGTTTTTCTTTCAATTTCTGTCTGCTTGATTTTGATGAGATGGCCTGTTCCTCCTGGGCCTTAATCAAAGAATGAGCACAAAGTCTTACATACTCCTCTGATGTCTGCACCAACAAAGACAGAGATGCCTACGGCTCACAGCAGCCTGGGGTGATGGAGCTGCAGGTGTTGGACACGGGGACACAGCAAGATGCAGCCTCATGGGTTGGCAACCAGACCTGTGTTTTCCTTGGCGCCCACAAACTGAAGCCCTAGAGCAAGCTGGAAGGTGACTGGGAGGGTGCAGGGCTGGGGTCTCAGCTCCTGGTAGAATCTCTCCTAGCACACAGCTCACACTGGGATGCTTGTATTGGTCTCAGGCATGTCTTTTTAGAACCATTTTTTGTTATTACACTTTCAGATCTTTTTAAGGGGTAGTGGTGCTGAAGCTCAAATCCAGGGTTTAGTGTCTTAACCTAGATCTTCTCACACCCCACCGTTCCCCTTGATTGTGTTGATTTCTTGGAGAAATCTGAATTTTATTGACTCTTCTTACAATGTCATTTAACTCATTCCTTTCCTCCCTGTTTTTCCTATACATTGAGAATAGGTTTAAGAACTTGATTTGATGCATAGGTGATGCCAAGTACTTCATACTCCAACATGAGGGACAGATGATACCAGGTTGACCCACGGTTACATTTGCAAAGCACCTCTGCCTGGCTAGGGAGGTGCCTGCCGGGGCTGTGTGTTGTAAAATACCCTCCTCCTTTTGCAGTTGAGCCAGTCACCAGGGGTGACGCTTCAGCTGGTGTGAGTGTCTCCTTCCCCTAACAGCCTTCACTGTCTGCTCTTTGTACCCAGTGGTGAGCCACTGGGGATACAAAACAGAGACTGTCTAATTCTACCATTGTTTTTATAATTTTAAGCTGCCATTCTACTAGACTGAAGAGCTTTTCTTCCAGCATTGGAGTTCGATGCTGGAAGGATAGGGTAGGAATAGGATAGGATAGGGAAGGGAAGGATAGGACAGGGAAGGTAGGGTAGGAATCCCTACCTCTTTGGGATTCATTCTATTACTTGTATATATATTTTCTTTTACGTGATTTTATTTTCATTACATATATTATTAATACGACTGGAATTTATTTCATTATATCACCAGGCAAGGAGATAAAAAGTGACTTTACTCAAAGTATCTAATCTTCCATTATAATTTTGTTAATAATCTACCCTTTCCCTGGTGGAAAGTATTCTTTCCATCCTTATATTCTATGCACTGTGTGGATCATCCTAGATTCACAGTATTTTCATATACATTGATTTTTTGCAGTAGCAAGGATTATAAGAACTAGTTTTACTTATTTTTTTTTCTTGCAGTAGAGCATTGTGACAAGTTTCCTAGGCCTTGCCTGGGAATGGCAAAAGTTGGAAGGGAGAAGCCCTCGCATTCAGCAGCCCCTTGGGAAAGAGGTCAGTCGGATGTGGGGAAGGCACAGTGTGAGGAGGCTTGGAGGTCCTCACAGCCAACTCAGCTGTGGCTGCGCTGGGAGGGACCTTCTTTTCTTGCCCTCTGAGGTCCTGCCAAGCCCAGGAGAAGTGGCCATACATCCCTTACCTTTGCTGACAGGGGGATGGTGGTGGACTGTTCTGATTCTGCATCCATTTCTTTTTTCTCGTCCATTAGGGAGAGGTCGTCGACCGGTGGGACCACAAACACGAAGAGTTTGAGAACTTCTGTAGGGACCAGGGGTGGCCGCTTCCCAGGGTATGAGACAATGGAGAACAAGGCAGGAGGTGGAATGGGTGGGCCAGAGGATCCCAGACCCAAGATGTCCAGGATCTAGGACAAAGACTTATGTTAATTTCCTGTGCAGAGGTTCTGATAAGTCTTCACTGCCCATGGGTATGCCAGGGTGGCTCATACGACCCCTTCCTTCAGTGTTCTTTGGGAAACTCTTGTCAGGAGCATGTTTCAGGGAAGGAAGTAAAGGCCCTTGACCCAGCTCTGCAGGGCCCTGTGGACCCTTGCATCGTAGGTGGGCTGGAGGTGTTTGCTGTGGGCTCCATGCTGTCTGCAGGCCTCAGAGCCACTCATACACTTCACTGGGACTATTGAATCATCTGTCTTTGCAAATGGACCATAAATTCCAATTAGGACAGGAGCCAGGTTGACACGACACATGGCCCTGTACTAATAAATTTGTTTTTATTTTTTGGTAGTAATGGAGTGAACTAAGACTTTTGCACTGTGCCACACTGCAAGCCTTTTTTACTTTTTATTTTGAGGCTGAGTCTTGCTAGGCACTATGTTCCCCAGACTGGGCTTGAACTTGTGATTCTCCTTCCTCAACTTCTCAGAGTGCTGGGAATACGGTATGTGGCATCATACTTAGCTTAAATCTGTTTAATTGAAACAGACCAGCTCTTAAGGTTCTGATGTCTATAGTATAGAGATTTTGCATTCATTTTCAGATTCCATGTTAATTTTTCTTTAAATGCTCTTTCAAAGGCGAAAGAAAGTTAAAAGAGCAGGTCAAATATGGCACAGAAAAAGCAAAGCACAGGTTGTGGGAACAGCCAGAGCGGATGGGAATAAAATGAGAAGTCCAAAAAGCAACTTGAGAGAAAAAATGTAACCCTGCAGGGTTCTCCTATTCTGCTCTGATACAAAACACATGCGCCATCTCCAGAGCAGATGGACGGAAAATTTAGAACAACTTCCTGCCTGGAATGCAAAGGAAATTTCCAAAGGATACCATTGACAAGCAACTGACCCAGAAGTCCAAGGCCAATGCTCTCAAAACAAGCACAATTTGCTGTATTGTCATCACACCAATAAATGCTGTAAGCCATCCAAATGCCTCTTCTGTGGACCAGGAAGTGGCCCGTTAGTATAGCAAGTTACCACCTTTATGTGCTCCTGTCTTTCTCATTCTTTGGGCCAGGGAGGTAAACCACTACTGGACTAGATGAATTTCTTGTCTGATCCCAAAGCCACCTGCTTTGCCACCCCATAGCTCTAATGGTGTCACTACTAAAGACTAACTGCACAAGTAGCTTTTCAGGAGGTTAGTTTAGGTGATTGATTAGTTTATTAACCAGTGCTGGGGATCGAACACAGGGCTGTAGGCATGCTAAGCAAGGACTCTACCATTGAGCTACATCCTCAGCCCTAGATGGAATCTTGTAGATTGGTGGAAGTCTCTATGGATTTTCTTTTGCCAAGTAATAAGAGGTGCCTCCAGCTATTATTATATTCATGGAAATATGGGAAATTAACTGGATGGAGGAGATGTAAGGAGAAGGATGCATTTTGATCATGATGAGCACAGAACCCGTGGCCTCATTTGTTAACTTCTCCACCCTGGAGAAGAACACGTACCTGGTCCACCTTGGGAAGCTTATCGCTCTCCAGGGCCTGCTTCCAGCTCGAGCCTTCGAAGTCGGGAGTCTGGATGCTGATGAAGGGCACCCCTATGTCCTTCTTCCCCTCGTGATCCTCTTCCGCTTCCCCCTCCTCGCTCCGCTCCTCCATGGCCCGCAGCTTCTCCAGGCGCTCCCTCTCGGCTTTCTCCCGCTCCAGGCGCTCCTTCTCTGCCCGCTCCTTCTCCAGGCGCTCCCTCTCCCTGTCCTTTCGGCCCCGCCGCCCGCCAGCGGAAGGAACCTGGCGCTGGTCATCCTGCTCGTGGGGCACCTCGTCCATGCCCTGGGGAGGCAGCTGAATGCCCTGCTTCCGGTCCCAGTACGCGAGGGTGGTCTGGATGTCCTTCAGAGTCAGCTCGTAGGCCTTGAACTTCTGGGTCAGTTGCTTGTCAACAATGTCCTTTTGAAAGTCCCCTTCACTGTCCTCTTGCTGCTCCTGGGCAAGAGGAGCCCCAGGTATGCTGGTATCGCCCATGGCTTTCTTTTTCTTGCCTGCTTCTTCCTTCTCAGGGGTTGCTTGCTCCCTAACAGAAACTTTCCTTTCTAACGAGTCTGTTTTGACCACAGGTTTGGTGGGTGCAGAAGCCTGGAAAGTAAAAACAGATAAACCATGTTTATAATTTATTAAAGTGAGCAAATTCCATAGGGTACACCGTGGGGACATTTTGCTTCCTAAGAAGGCTTGGTAGGAGTCAGGACCCTCTTATGCACACCAGGATTTGCCCTAAGAGTCATGCTGGAGGCTTTCATGTCTGTCCCCTGGTCCTTTGGTTGTGGATCTGGCTGGGCTCTGGCATTGTGCATAGTGACCCTCACATGCAAACCTGGCTGAGTGCTGCTATTCTGAGTGATCAATGAGAAAAGGCCAGCGAACTGGAGCTTTCTGTATCTGCTTTCAGGTGCTCTGGACTAGGTCACTGGGTGTAGCAGTTCAATCCCAGGTGCCTTGCTGTGTGACCCTGGGCAAAGACTGAGCTTCTCTGTTCCCTGTCTATATAGTGTTAGTATTAATAACTCCTCTGGAAGACCTCTGAAGATTAAATGTGTAAATACACATGAAAAACTTACACTAATACCCGCCATGGAGTTCTGTTGGTGTGAAGTTATGAAAATCACACCGGTTTTATATGTAACAGGTACTATTAGAAGCAAATGGGACTGTAAAATCCGGCCAAACCTCTGGTTCTAAAATATGGTATTTATTCAATGAAGTAGATATATAGAAGCCAACTTTATTCTTTTTTTTTTGTTGGCTTCCAAACTTGTTTGGTGGGCTTTGATTTTTCTCCTCCTTTCTGTGAATTTCTCAAGTGGGCACCATTGCTTTTTGAGTCATTCTTTGGTGACATTAAGTCCAGTACAATGTGCAGATCACTTCCTATGGTACCGCCAGTGTTGCTTTTAGCTGTGGCTCTTCTCCCCGCTAAGTTCAGCCTGGAATCCAGAGGGCCAGGGGCTGGCTTTCCCCCATTTCCTGCCCTCCTCCTGCATCAGCAATGCATGAGGGGCGGCAGCAATGCGACAGAGCTGGCCTGGTCATCTGAGGGGGTAAGAGCCCTAGTGCCTTCCTTTGGCTCTCGTGGGGAGGGCAGCGATGTGGCTCGTACTGCATGGTCTTGGTCTGGATCTGCTGCCCGGATACTGGGTGGGTGCAGGAGGGGCACCCGGGAGGGCAGGCCTTGTACTTTGGAGACTGTAGGAACTTAGTATAGAGCAGCTGGGAGCTGGCAATCAGTTACTAAGAGTATGGAAGAATCTGACAACATGACCAATGAACTTATGTGACGCAGAAAGAAAATACATATATTGTTCTAATATGTGGAGTATTTACAAAGAGCAATCACATGTGATGGCATATAGAACAGCTCAGCAAATCATGTAGAATCCTCAGTGAAGGATCAATACGATATAGAACATGTTCTCTGAAGATGGTATTCTAAAATCAGGAAGAACAAAGCCAATGAATCCGTTCCTTAGAAATTAGAAAATACACTTTGAAATAATGCACGGGTTACTGAAGCAGTTATAAAGGAGAGTAAAAAAAATACATAGAATTGAACAGCAAAGAAAATATTGAATATCGACAATTGAGGGATATACTTAGGTGTTTGGAAATTTATCTATCTTTAATGATTTTATAACTTAATAAATTGGAAAATAAAAATGATTGAACATTAATATGATGTTAGGACAAGGATTGAAGAATAATAAACAGAAAGAAGAAAATTATAAAAAAAGGAACAGAAGCTAATTATATAGAAAACAAACATGAAGATATGTAATTCAGAGAGACAACATTTGTATCTTGGAGAGACAACAAAATGACAAACTTCCAGAAAGATTAATCAGGAAGAATATGAGAGAAAGGTACAAATAACACGAGCTGATAAGGAGGTAATAATTATAGATATAGAAGAAGTTAAAAAGATCACAACACCCTGAATTACCTTCTGCTCAAAAATTTAAAAACGATAAATGGCTAGTTTTTAAGAAAACCATGAATGACCAAGAATACAGGAAACAACTACATTCTTCTTCTTATGTAGAAGAAAAAAATTAAAGTAAAAGAAAACCCACATAAACATTTACTCCTAAACTAAATTGATTCAATAGTGTAACATATAAATTGCCACGTAATGTAGTTGAATAAGAAAGACAAATCAGGTCATATAACTCAGTACTCACAAAGTAAGACTCCTTCATGTTTTTTTAAAAGTATGTGTTTATCTGAAGGCACTGGAAAGCCATAAAGACAGTAACGAGCTGTGATCTAAGGTCTGGGAAAGGAGGGGAAGAGAGAGAGGTGGCCCATTACTGGCCTGCTTTTCCTTCTTGGGCATTTGGAATGGAAAGCATGGCTGAGAAGTTGGGCAAAGTTTCCAACAGACTCATAGAGGAGGGGCTCAAAGATGAGCCCTCAGGTGAGTCAAGGGGAAGAGGTCCTGGTCTGTCCTAGGGGCTTTTGGGTTAGGACCCTGAAAGGTGCCACCTCGGGAGGAAGGCTCAACCAGCAGCAGCCTTAATTTGCCAGGGGCTGAAGCCCAGTTCTAAATCACTTCAGTACTTAAGATCTCTGCTACCCCTGCACTGTCTGTCGGCCAGACTGAAACAGCAATTCTGCCTGGGGAGAGAGAGCATCATTTGCAGCCTTGAATTATTTCTACAGTTTTTCCTGTTCAATAAGAAAAATAATCTGGCAAAAAAGGGACAAGATCATGTGACTATAAGCCAAGAACAAAAGACAGAGAACACCCTAGCGGCTGTGTATTGGTGCTGTCAGACAACGACTTTAATAAAAAAAAGTAGGCGGAATTACAAGAGAAGATGGAGAATTTTGAAGAGAACCAAAATAGTACGAATAGCTATTTTGAAGAAAACAACACAACATAAAAGCTAGTGCTGATTTAATATCATCTTGTTTTGAAGTCCCATCAAGCTGCTGTACATCTGTTTCCACTGGTTTTAACATGTTGTATCTTACTATATTTTACTATATGCGATAGTATAAACAAAATTTTTTTATAGACAAAGAGAATAGAAACCATTGTTCGTTTTCTATTAGCTGGTTCTAAATACCCTGTAATTTTTTCATTCTCTTGAATGGCTTCACACTGTCTTGATATGCTTGATGCTATAGCATACGAAGTTATACTCAAATAATTCAAGGAAAGAGGCACTATGGTGACTACTATTATGTTAGATTATCTGGTGGTGAAACACAATGATGCTTAAATTGTTCAGTTCTGACCTGCGTTGTTCTGTTATAATGTCCTCTTTTATCTCAATCTCCACCCTTTTTAAATTAATCTATTTTTCTCATTTTTTTTAATTAAGGGAAAACTAAATTAAAAAATAGCGGGATATATTATAGTAACTTTTTTGTTTTCCTATTAACCTGATTTGAACCCCAGTATTGCTCTCCCCATCTTGTTCTGTCTGATTATACTATATTCTATTTTGTTTGATAGTATCAAGTTAGAGGGTATAGGCAACCACTTTGAAGGCAATAAGATATACTATGATGCCCATTATGGTTTGACTATTATCTTTTTTTGAAGTCCTGTAAGGTCTCCAGTGTAGGTTTTATTGATCTTGTTCTGTACCATTTTGATCAATTCTATTATACCTGATGAGATGGGCAACTCAATTTAAAAATAGCAAGAAGCACTATGGTAACCACTTTTGATCACCTGGTATTCTATTTTTGCATCATGTACTATGCCCACCGTTCTATTCTAACTGACTCTGTTTTGCTTAGTCACGTTTGGTTTTATTCTCTTCAAAAAAGGTAATAAGAACTGTGGGAGTAATAAAACCCAAAAAGTGTAATTGTTATTGTAAAAAAAGAGAGGAAAGGAAGGTGGACTAAGGGATATAACCGCATGTATGTTTGAGTGTGTAGGATGGAAAACCGTATTACTGAGCTGTTGTTGGATCATTGAACGGAACTGTCTCCAATCTCACTGTATGAATGTCCACTTTATATGCTTTAATTTAGTAATATGGGCAACTGTTTCTGGGAAGATAATATGTAACCTATTAACTGGTGATTTCGTACTGTATATTTTTTTTTCTTGAAATTCTGTATTACATGTACCCTTTCACTGCTTTGTTTTTTTTATGTCCTTTCTTTTTTCTCTTTAAATAAATAAAAAAAAAGAATTGATGACTTTCTAATGCAGTAGCAAAATCAAGAACTGCAGGGAAGCTTAAACAACAGAGTAGATGTTGCTAAACCAAGAGTGAGCCAGACAACATGCCAGAGGAAAAGATCTGTGTCTAAGGTGTGGATGACTAAAAAAGAAGCATTCAAAGGATGGAACAGTCAACAGTACAAATTCCACGGAAGGAAGCCACGTGTGTCAAGGGCTGAATGGTGCACACTGGATCTGGACATGGAGGCTTCCAGGGCTTTCGATGGGAGGGAAGGATGGGGACTGAAGTCGGGCAGAGAAGGTGAAGGGTGAGCAGGAGGTGTTCAGGTGGAACTGACAGGAGGATCATTCTTGAAAAACTTTATGAAGGAAACAGGAAAACAGAGTGCTTGCTAGTCAGGGGCATGAGAGTGGATGGAGACCTTTTTCTTTTTAAAGGTGTGCGATTCTTGAACATGAGTACATCTTAAAAAAGCAAGGAGCCTGGGAGGCGGGTGGTGCCAATGGCTTCTGATGAAGAAGCAGGGAACTCTTCAGGCCGTCCTTTTGCCTGGGCACCTGGGCATCTTTTCTCACTTCTGGAGACTATAATTGGTCTTAGAAGATTTTCCTGAGATAGTGCTCTCGGAGCAGGATACTATCATAATCCCAGAAGAGTCTCAAGAAGTGCGCTCAGGGATAAGGGAATTGAGTTTCCCGTGGAGCTTGGATGACCTACAAGCTTGTTCCCAAATAGGTGACAGAGGCGGTCCCTCCTCTGCAGACCATGGTCAGCACCACACACGAAGGTAACTGGCCAGTATCTAGTAGTGGGCTGTGTGTGGTGGGGAGTACTCAAGCTGGGGTCCCTTGAGCTGAGGGTCAGAGAGGGGAAATCTACATGCTCTCTCTTAAGTGTTCCAACCAATTTCCAGTGGAGAGTGAGATGACAGTCAGGGGCATGATTTAGGGTTAACTGTGTTCCAAAAGCCTTTTCATGATGAATGAAAGGCTGCCATTTAAACACAAAATAACTGCCATACAGATTATTCTGAACTTCTTCTAAGTAAGAGATGGGCTCAGTTAATTGCAAGAATAATATCTGACCATAAAGTCACTCAAATTCTCCCTCCTGGCTTCATGAGCCACAGCAGGTAGAGAGGCAGGGATCAGTCCCTGTGATCCTCCCCTGGGTACCTCTTTACTCTCAGCCTGAGGGTCAAGCGCTTCCTTTGGGACAGCAACACCAAGCAGCTACAGTCTGTGCCCAGTTCCACATCCCGAGACCCTGCTCCCTTCCCTTAGATCTGTCTGACCAGGATTGCCCTTGTGTGTACTCGGCTGCGGTCACTTGTCATGCACTGGTTTGCATCTTGTCTGAAAGTCTGGTGTTAGCTCCACCCTTAGAAGTCAAGGTCCTAAAGCAGCAGCTGCCTACACCAGCCTGCCACACCCCTCGGTCACAGTCACCACCAGGAAGGTGGCTTTAGCTACACAGACCTTCCTGTGGTACAGTGGGTGGGGATGTGACTGCAAGCATTTCAGGCTGATAGACCTGTGGCCTTTATCTGCAAGGAGAGGCTTATGCTAGAGCATTTTGCTTGACTGTTATTAAGGAGGAGCACAGAGGCTGCACAGACTTTGTGGTTTCCTGGATGCAAACTTTTAACAATAACCTATTTAGCACCATCCGGGGACCTTCAGGGCCAGAGGAAAGAGCTGGGGCTCTGGCAGACACAATTGGGTGGGGGTCTGCAGCTGTGACTTCGCCTCTGTGCTGTGGTGGGGTTCATCTCTCTGGCCTTGCAGGGTGGGTAGGGGGCCAAGATGCTGTGGGTATCCAGCTTTCTGGAGGGACATGTGCTGGGTTGGGGGTGTGCTATTAGAGGAGCAGGGGCAGGTGTTACCGGCTTGTTTGCTGCTTGCGGTTTCTTTGCGGGAGGCTCCTCCTTTACCGGGCCTTGCTTGGGCTTCTTGATCTTTTTTTTCTGCTCATCTTCTTCCTTCTGTCGCAGAAGCTCCTGCTGTAGCTTCTTTTCTTGCATCTCTCTGGCCAGTCGCTCCAGCTCTCTGCATGGAACCAGACAGGAAACAGCATTCAGAGCTCCTGCCCAAGCCCCTGCCCACCCTCGGGGATTGGCAGGAAGAGGGGCCCTGCATAGGGCCTTCTGGGGCATGAAAAAGAATGAACAACAAAAGCTGGCTAAGTAGGAAGGAGTGAAGAAGGAAGGGGGAAAAAGAAAGAAAGGAAGAAGGAAAGAAAGAAAAGAAAGACCTCCCTCTGTCTTTAAACGTTCATTCAGTAAATCTCTGATTAAATTGCACACAACCAAGAGGAATTTTCAACTAATCTACTCCAATCTTGTCTCATAGGAGAGTAAGGCAGGGCTGGAAATAAGCTTAACCTTTGATAAACCACTTTCCAAAACTGTTCTAGTAACAGATGTGGCCCAGTCTCCTACATTGTCACGTCTGATGTTGGGACAATAAGAAGTGGTATTTTGATAGCAGTCCTCTGCTTTGCCGGTTGGGAAGGTGATGCTCTCTCCTCTCTCCTTCTTTCCCTTTCTGCTGTGCATCCAGCCATGCCTGCCCCTGCTGCTAATAGCAGAGAGGGCACCAAGCCTGGAGCTCAAGTACAAACAAGGCAGGGGACAGCACTTCTGGATTCTCTAGGCCATTTCTTCATCTCCAGAAACCTTTAGTTCTTCCTGGCTGTGGTTTTCTGGCCTGCCCAGCGAGGCTAACTCATGATCCTTCATGGTGTGTGTGTGTGTGTGTGTGTGTGTGTGTGTGTGTGTATGACTCAACTCATTTTTGAGCTCTATGGATCAAATTTGCATATCTAAGTCCACCTTGAATATCTGGAAGCAGCAGCCTGCGTGACAAAGAGTGTCTTTGGGAGTTCCAAAGCTAGGGATTGTTGTGCCTTTGGAGAACTGGACATTTCTACAATGGGTCAGGCAAGAGTTAACGAAGAGCATGTGCTGTAGGGGTAAGGGGACATAGAACTCCTTTGGGGCCAGTGGGAGGGGTCTAGAAGTAGAGAGAGAGAGAGGAGAGAAGCAAGTCCCACTGTGGGTAGGTATCTCGGCTCTGTCTCCTCCAATGCTGGTGGCCCAGGGTAGAACCAGCCAGCCCCACCATGTGTGAATATGTGAGGAGGAGAGTAGCTGTGTCCTGCTTTCTGCCTAAATCTCTGACATAGCTGAGCTGGCAGCCCCAAGTCTCCAGTGCTCTAGGTGTTGTGGAGAGATCTGGTTATTCTCATGTGATCCCCATGGGGGCAGGAAAGATGGCTGAGCTTGTTGGCTCTGGGCTTGCCTGGGGCATCGAGAGAACTGCCCAGGCCAAGGATCACATGGGAGAGGCAGGCAGGCCTCAGTGGGTGGGCAACAGCATGGCATGGAGAATGGGAGAAATGAGTTCTGGGGAGCAGAACCTATACCCTGTTAGGAGAATGGACTCTGGGTCCCAACTGTGAACATGTAGGTGCACAGGCTGATAATTCCCACCTAGAGGACAATTGCCATGGGAGACAGTGTGTGGGGGGGTGCGGAGATAGCACCCTGCCCACCAGCCCCTCCCCAGGGCCAGCCATGACATATGGAAGCTTCCTGCTGTCTCCCAAATCTCCTAGCAAGGAGGACGGAGAAGAAAGTGGGCAACACCCTGAAAGGTTACAGCGATCAGCGCCCCATTGAGGGGTCTCCTCGCTGTCCACCCTCTGCTCTCCACTCTCTGCTATCGCTGCCCTCCCCCAAGATGACCTGAGCTGAGAATGTGCCCCGTCTCCCCAGCAGCTCCTCCCAGGGGAGCAGCCTCTGTCTGGCCAGCCCTTGGTGCCCACCTCTTCTTCCTCTCTCGGAGCACCTGCTGAATCTCTCGGTCGAACCTGTTTTTCTCTTCCTCTGACAAGGCGTCATATTCCTCCTCATCCATGTTTTGGAGACGCATCTTCTCTTTCTCCAGCTCTTTCTTGCGTTTGTTTTCTGCAGGGGTGAGTTGGGGGGCAGGGGAGGGGAGGTCAAGTCCAGCAACCACTCTGCTCTCTGCTGGCACAGCCTTTGACAGTGAGCGGTGGCAGGTGGGAGGCTGGCATTCCTAGTTCCTGTTGGCGCTCCTTAATTCCCACGATGCCAAACTTAGTTTCCACCTGTGGTTGGTGAATGGTGGCCCCTAAACATGCTCACGCCCTGGTCCTTGGAACTCGCCCATCTATGACAGAAGGGGTTTTGCAGATGTGGTTAAATTAAGGATCTTGAGATTGTCCTGGGGTAGCTGGGTGGGCCCAGTCTAATCACAGGGGTCCTTGTAAGAAAGGGGCAGGAGAGTCAGGGTCAGAGAAAGTGACATGACAGCAGAAGCACAGTTCAAAGGGCTGCAAGGAAGGGAACATGAGCCAAGGGACGCAGGCGGCCTTTAGAATCCCCTACAACAGCCTCCAAAGGACCACAGCCCTGCTAAAACTTTGGTGAGAACTTTTGGACCTAGAACTGTAAGGCAATGAGTTTATGTTAAGTCACCAAGTTTGTGTTTGTTGTACCCCCAAATTCATAGGTGGAAGCCTAACCCCTAAAAGGACAGCACTAAGAGGTGGGGTTTTTAGGGAGTGATGAGGTTATGAGTGTAGGGCCTAAAAAAATGGGATCAGTGTCCTTATGAGAGAGGCCCAAGGGAGCTTGTTTGCCCCTCTGTCAGGGTGAGGGCTCATCAGGGGACACCTTCTAGGACCAAAATTGCCTTCCTCAGACACTGTATCACCAGCAACTTGATCTGGGACTTCCTTGCCTCCAGAACTGTAAGAAATAAGCTAAGTTGCCTGGGGTTGGAGTCGAACTTGTGATCCTCCCATATCAATCTCCCAGAGGACTGAGATTACAGTTGTTCACTACAATCCCCAGGAGGACTTATTCCTCTGACCCTCTTTATCCTCATCTGTAAAATGGGTACAACAATATTCATAGGGTTACTGTGAGGATTAAATGACCTAACATGTACAATTGTCTTACAGAGTGCCAGGCACACAGAAGATAATGTAGAGATTGTAGAATTTACCAGTCCCCAGGTGTGCATCCAGCACTATGATGTTTATGAGCTTTTTCTACCAGACACTTGCACTACTGAGCCAGATGCAGTGAGAACTGACAGAGTTCTAATCAGTCTACACGAGTCCAGCCCTGTTGATTTGTTCCAGCTCATTATCTCCTATATTATATCCATATTCCTTTCCCAGCTGCCTGTCTTGCAGATTTCAAGTTCCAGCAACAGACCTGAAGGTAACAATCTTGCAAGGCTATTTAGCAGCTCCTACAATGGAATAAGATTAAATTGCTATAGTGTGTGTGTATATATACATGTGTGTACTTGTATGTATACATACACGCACATATATAGACTCTCATGTAACAGCTAAGACAGACAAGTAACTGAATATAAAAACTGAGCTTAGAGAATAGTAATAGAGTGACTAGGAAAGGAAAAGAAATCATGTCATTTATGCCCTTTGAGTATTTTACCATGTGACTCGATTAGCTGTTTTTGAAAAGTAAACATTTGAAGTGAAAAAGAAAAGAAAAGAAAAAAAGGACTCTGCCAGTCTCTCCACTTATACAGGAAATACAAGTGGCCTAAACCAAGCCAGCAAACACAGGAAAGCTCTGCCATGTGGCTGTAATTAGGGAGAGGTGAGGGAAGGACAGGGAGGGACAGGGTGATCAGCTGCCGGGGAGCAGGGGTCCAGCTTTCCACACATCCTCTAAGGACTGCTCTGTCTCTGTCCCCTCTCAGCAAAGAAGCAATGAGAATCTCCGGGGCCACCTCCTAGGCTGGAGGCGCGGAGCCAATGAGACAGCAGGCGGGAAAGCTGCACACTGCATGAGAGCTGGTGGGTTATGGGTCAGGTTGAAAAGCCAAGGAAAGCAATGGCCAGTGAGGGCCCCGGAGGACAGCCCGGGAAGCTTTGGGGGCCTTGCCTTCCTGCTCCTTTCTGGCCTTCTCCTGGGCCTTCATGGCCGTGTAATCCTGGGCCATGTTGAGGACGTAGATGTGCTCCCGGCTGCCGATGGCCTTCAGCAGGCAGAGGAGGGCGGCGTGCGCGCTCCGCGCAAAGAGCGTGTCGAGGCCATCAAACACCACGCCTCGGTAGCAGTCGCTCAGCTGGAACCAGAGACAGCAAGACAGTTGGTCACCAGGGCCACAGAGAGAGCCGCTGGCGCTTCTGCTGGGCTTTTTACTGGTGCCTCAGTGGGGTTTGCACACCTAGCGGGCCGCAGTGGATGGGAACATCACGGGTTTACCTCTGCTAGCTAAACCTAGAACTGCTGTGAAACAAATAGGAAGAATAAAAATATCTAATCAGCCACAAAAGGTCTTAATGACACAACTGTGGAGCACAGGAGTTATTCCATCTCTGAAGGATAAAGGGACAGACAAAATGTGAATGTAAGGGTTTAGGAAGATTCTTGAGGTGCAGGAAAATAAGATGCAGAGCAAAGCTGCTCCCATGGGCAGACAGATCAGTAGCAGAGCCCGAGTGGAGGCGTGGTGTTTTTCTTTGTGGCCTTACTGCCCTGAAGTGTGATGACTTTGGTGATGTTAACCTTGAAGAATAGTACCCCAAGTGTGGTCCAGACTCTGGCACTACCATCCAGGAAATGATCTTTAGGTTTCTGATGAGACAAAAAGCTGGTGTCAGAATGCAGATCAGCTCTGTGAAACACCCTTTAATTCACATGGCATTGTTTTTATCTGGTAGCAAGACTTTGTCGATGAAGAAGTAATGCAAACGTGGTGTCTCACTAGAGATCAGAACTCATTGTCCCTACTCAGGGTTCTGAGCTGCTGTGTGTCACCCATGGCCTAGACTTTCAGCTCATGACATAGTGATGATGTTTAAGCGCTAAGTCCCAGGGTTCTGTGCAGGTGGACACCACGCACCTGTATCCTCTCGGTCAAGATCTGTGTCAGAAGCTCATCGGGAAACACACAGCTCGTCAGCCCCGTCTCTCCTCCGATACTGGCACTGACACTGAGCCGGCGTTGGGTCGGCCCCAGCAGAGGGCTGGAGGGGACCTGTTGAGAGGGAGAAGGACCAGGAGTCAGAATCCAGCTTTGTGTCTTCACAACGCCTACATCTATAAGTTATGTGTCTTTGAGAAAATCATATGGCCTTCCCAGGCTCCTCATCGGTAAAATGGGGACCGCCTTGTAAAATGGAAAGCTCCTGTCTTCCTTAAAGAACCACTGGAAACTTAAAGTGGGAATATGGTAGGAGGTCCTGCACATCTCTGCTCATTCATTCCATTTACCGATTACCCATCATGCCTTGTGCTTCCTCAGGGACTAGGGATTCAGCAACAGGCCAGGGTGATGATGTGTAACCTGGGCAATGTGACGGAGAGAATGAGATGAGATAAAAGAGATGGGCTTTTTTTGAGAGAGAGCTTGTGGCACAGTATGAGTGTACATGTGGAGCTTGGGGTGCTCTTGGGACCCAGCATGGCTGGAACTTGGTGAGCAGTGGGGAAGCTGGTTAGGAGTGGGTGGTGGAGACAAAGGCCTCACTGGATTTGCCGAGGAAGACAATGGGAGGGGCATGAGGATGGGGAGGCAATCAGAGGAGCAATTCCTTGGAGGAAGAATGTTGTGAAGCAAGAATGTTGGATTAAATGCTATTCAAACGATCAGGATTTCTAACATGTTTCCTGGAAAGACCTTACGTTACAGGCCATATCTTCATGAAATAAACATGACCTATTCCAACCAAAATTGTAGTTGTTAGAGCTTCAAGAAAACCAAACAGCCCTGTCCTTGAGTGAAGCACTCTGATGGGGACTCTGTGGTCTCACCATTGGAGTCCTGTCACACTGGAGCAGTGCAGGCAGCCACTTGGGAGGGGGGGTTTCATGATGATCCATTTCTACTTTGAACTTAAGTTTCCTATTTATTGAGTGGAAACTGTAGTTGGAATTGGGATCTTCAGCTACTTTGGAAATATTTTCCATAGTTCACTTCCATGTGAACAGAACCCAACCCCAGAAAACGACTCGCCATTACCCCCTATTCATAACAAATGTGAATTTTACTTTATGCATGAACACCTTTTTGGATCTTGGAAAAGAAGGTTAAAAGGTGCTCCAAAAGAAAAATAAAGTCAATGTCATTTCACTTTGCAAGGTAGTCAAAGAATGTGAAGTAGAAGCGGAGGGCAGAAATCCATCCCAATGGGATGCTTCATCCAACCTGCAGATCCCTTCTGTGGGCTTCACCTCTGCTCCACCCACTTTCCCCTCTAACATGCAGGCCTCCTTTCCTATCAGGACCTAACACTTTATACCAACCATCTTCCCAGTCCAACTCTCAGATCTCCTTTTGGGCCTACAGCTGTGACACAGCCATCTGGTCTACCCACTGCATGGGCTTCCTTTCCTACAAAGAGCTACACTGATCTCCATCCACCCCAGCAACCCTCTCTGAAGCACCCCCTCTCCAGCTACTGCTGCAGCCTTCTCCCACTGTAAGAGGCCTGGGATCCCAGACTCTACCTGCTTCCCCCACTCCCTGTCCTCTTCTTAATTCCTTCTCTACCTAAGCTGGACTCCCAGCACCGATGTCCCCTTCAGCCCCACACCCATACCCCTTTCTCTGAACTAATAGCAACTTCTTCTTTTGCTGCCTCTGACAGTGCTGCTGAGAAATCTTGCAACTGTGAAGTTATGCTTGTCAGGTTGTCACCTTCATCAACTATTTTTTTCCTTGTCCGTCACCGTTTTCTCACAGTATCCATAGTGAGACCGTTGGTGCTTTGCTGCTGTCCTCCAGCATGCTGTGCAACCCCAGCCTCCTCATGGCCTCCTGCTGAAAAGACCACGCCTCCTCACACTCACAGAGCCCTTCAACATCTTCTCCAACTCCCACTGTCCAACTTGCTTCTCTCCCCTTTAGCTGTATCTGTTTTTACTTTATTAATCCCAGAGGAAGCTATTTCCCTTGTCCTTTAACTATGCTTAATCCTATCCTTCCTTCTCCTGGGATCTTATTTTCTCTTGGATGGGTCATTGCCTCATGCTTCTCTAGGAGCTCTTTTCCTTACAGAGCTGCTTGTGCCTCTAATTCCTTTCTGAGAATGGACCTTGACCTTCGATTTGCCCCTCTAACAGCTACCCCTGTATTTTCCCCCTTTCTTTCAAACATCTTAAAGGTCTGTACTCATCTGACTTCATTTATCCACTTAGCAACTCATTACTCATCTTACCTACTATCTCTGGCTTTCGCACCTGCCGGTTTTCTGAGATGGCTCTCTAAGCCCCTCAGCATGTCAAGCAAACTCTGTGACTTCTTCATAACTTTTCATAACTCTTTCTGCAGCCCTGTCTCCACTTATATTAATGGTTTTACCCTTAATATTCCTTTAGTACTAGGGTGAACTGCAGGAAATTGCTCTGTGGAGTTCCAAAGTGCTTGAATATTGGCCATTTCCTATGGTTCAACCTATTTCCTTTTACATCCTCCCTTATCACTGATCTTATTTTATTGCAATTATTTGCAAGAGTTGTTATCTGCCTCATTACACTTTTCATCAGTGTAGCTTGTGTTCAGGGACTTCGATGTCTTTATGATCATCTCTCTTGCTCCCACCCCAGTGCTGTAACATAAAAGGCACTTGCTGGGTCCTAGCTGGTGAACTGGCCAGTGATCAGGCTGTCCTGGCAGGAACATCCTTAGAAATGAAGAGCTCCAGCCTGGTTTCAGGATCCTGAGGAGGAGGAGGAGGAGAGGAGAAGGAGGAGGAGGAGAAAGAGGAAGAGGAGGAGGAAGGATCCCAACTTCCTTCTGGAGAGCCCCAGTTGGTACCTGTGGTGTTTCAGATTGGTGCTGGTGGTGCTGCTTCTGTGACCCAGAACCATGGCTCTCTGGCTTGCTTTTGGAGAATAACATGCTCCCACGCATGCTCCTTCCAGGTTTACTGTCCGGGGTCACCAGAGTGATTTCTGAGGTGAACTTGCCCAAATTCTCACTGCTCTGTCGTGACTGCACTGTGGCACTTTGGCCCCCAGAAGCCTCCTGGGCTATAAGGAGAGGGCAAATGTTTTATTAAAAGTCACCTTGGGATAAGAAGAAAACGACAGCAGGTACAGCACTCGGAAACCTTGTGTCATTACCATACAACTGACTGAGCTAGGGTGGAAAAGAGGCTCCACCAACCAAGGGGTGAAGATGGGTCAGTGGATAGCTGAGCCCGGGGTTCTGGGATCTTTACTGCTCATCTTTCCAATAAGCACCGGCCAGTCTGCATCCACTTTCTCTTCTAGCCCAGAGGGTAATTTCTGAAACTGAGGCTACACTATGACCCTGCCTCCGAAACCCCGCACCTGACTTTTTGAGGTTTTAAGCAATGGTGAAGCCAATGAATTAGCATAGGACCTTCTCCGTCCTCAGTGGAATCATTCAAATGGATTTAAAAAAAAAGCTCGGTAATAAATGCACCATCGACAGCATGGATTTAGGATGAATTTTTTCTAATTATCTTTTAAGTTCCCCACTCACTCTGAGAAGCTCCCTTCCAAAATTCCATTTGTTTAAAAGCTGTCTGAAAAAACCACTGCTCTAGTGCCTTTTGCCTTATGGTGAACTCCTGTCACCTTCTAGTCTTTGAGTGTGCTAGCAGAACCCCTTACACTGGCCCTGTCTCTTCCTGTCCCCTGGGGCTCCAAGGATGGGATGTGTGCCCCAGTAGGAGAACAGGAGCGTAGCCGATGTTCTTGATCCTCCCGAAATGGTGCAATGCAGCTGCATGCCAGGCAGCATCAGTGCCTTTCTAGTTTTCACAGAGATTCATGAATATTCATTGCTTCTGGTGACCATTTCAGCAAACAAGCCCTTAGAATGATCTCGAGAGTTGTCACTACAACTTACCCTGCCCTATCCTTTAGTGACTTCCTCTTTCCCTCCCCCAGGAGCTGATTACAGGTATGAATACTTGGTCCTGCACCTGGTAGGAGGTTACAGAGGATGAATCCCTTAGCCCCTGCTGGAATGATTGCATTGGCCATGCTCACCCATGCGCCATGTCCACAAATCCCTCCAGGTTCTGCCTGCCTCTATCACAAGCATTTGCCACCTGTGATCTTGCCTTGCCAATGCCTGCCCAGCCTGGTGCCTACCCACTTCACTGTGGATCCTGCTTCTCCTGTCCAGCCTTGACCTTCACTGACCACCATGGAATCTCTCCTATGATTTCCATAAGCTTCTGGCCTTTCCCTGTGCATAGCACCCTCTTCTGACTATTTATATAAAAAGAATCTAGCTCTGAGCAGGCACTCTGCTTTGCATACAGTGTTTTTCCACTGATCAAATGCTTCCCTGCTCTATAGTAGTTCAGATGATCTGAAGAAGCCAAGATTCTTGACGTCTTGTGGGGCAGCCACACCAGGACTCATTCACTACTGTGAGATGCAAAAACTCAACTCATTTCCTCTGCAACAAACTTCCTCTACCTCTTGCTTTCCCTACTTGGGAAAATGATACCATTCTCCTCTTAATTTTTGTGACTATAAATCTTTCTTTGACCTTGAATGCCTGCCACTTCTTTAGTTCTTTGATATGCAGGTACATTTGGGGTCAGCTGGTCCAGACCCAGCCATCTTCAGTTTTATTGTTACTTCCTTTAACAAGACATTACAAGAGCTACGTATCTACAACAACTTTCTGACTGCTGGGAAACCACAGTGTGAAATCTACTCCAATTCCTCTTTCAATAAAACCCCAATTCCGAATGAAGGTCAATTATGATTGAGCTCAACTTGCAAATCCCTATTCCTGATACACAGTGCTAGCAACTTCTTGCATTCTTGGTCTGGAATGTCTTCTCTGATTTCTGCTTATTAATATTCTCCTGCTCCTTCAAAAGCCCATTTCTGTAGCAGCTTCCCCAAACTGCCTTGTTCGAACCCACTCATCCCAAATTTGCTCTTTCACAGAAAGCGGATCTTCTGCTGCAACATTATTCGCCTTCATGCTGAAAAAGCCCCGTGTTCACTCTCCTCCAGGTGTCAGCCTGCTCAGTGTCTTTTCATTCATTGTCCTGTTTGTGTTCACTAAAGTGCCAAGAGCACATCTGCATCAGGCAGGGCCGGAGACCTGCCCATGCTTGGGGGAGAAAGTTCTTCTTTGGACCAGCTGTGGGAGGAAGCTCAGTGGGGCACAGAGAAGACGAGTGAGATCTGCAGGGGTGCTGGTCCCTTGACAACAAGAAGTCAGGGCAAATGTGGACTTACTAGAGTCCTCTCCTTCCTTTATGGACTGCTCTATGGTGGCTCTGATGCACAGCTCACGGGCCCGGATCCCAGGGATACTGCTGCTGTCAGATATGGCTTCCAGGACAACAGAGTCAATGCTCAAGCAGGCTGCATTGTAGTACTTGGCTATGCTGACAGCGTTGGCCGTCTTTCCTATAGAAAAGACCAGGGCAGAGAATTGCACAGTTCTCATTTGCTCAGTGTCCTAGACGAAGTCTCTAGAACAAGCCCCTATAAAGTGGGCCAGAGGAGGTGGCAGCATACAGAAGACAGATCTGAGCCCAGCGTCAGGGCCCTGAACCTCGTCCTAATCCTATCACTCATGTGCTTGTGCACCACAACCCCATCCTCGCTCGCTCTTCAGTTTTAAAGACAGATTTTATCACATAGTCTTGAAAACCTTGGAGGTGCTGGGATTTAGCTCAGTGGCATAAGCACCTGCCTGGTAAATGTAACGTCATGACCTTCGGTACCAAAAGAAAAACAAAAACAACAAACAAACAAGCAACCCCCCTAAAACACCCTAAAAAACCAAAAAGAAAACCTTGGAGATCCTATTGTCTCTGATTCTAACAGGAAGACTTCTTTAAAGAATAACCTATGTTGATTTCTCCCCCTCATTACAAAGCACTTTCATTTTAAAACAGATCTATGATGTACTCATATAGAGAGATCATAGCTAGCCGAGGCTTATCAAATTTATATACATAACTAAGTTAGTTATATTTCATATAAAATAAATGGGTTATGAAAAACAGCCCCCAAAGACGTCCATGTTTTAATTCCTGGAACTTGCAAATATATTATCTTGAATAGAAAATACAGACTTTGCAGAGGGAATCAATTTACAGCTCTTAATGTAGATATCCTGTATTATCTGGGTGGGCTCAACCTAATCACAAACATCCTTAGAAGCTGGAAGCAGAAGGGCTAGAGTTGGAGCAGGTGATTTGGCAGCACAAGCAGCAAAAGACAGAATGATGCTACACCACTGGTTTGAAGGAGGAAGGATTCTGAACCAGGATAGGGCATTATTTCTAGAAGCCAGAAAAGCCAAGGAAATGGATTGTGCCCTGGAGTTTCCAGAAGGAGCACAGCCCTGCTTGACCCATTTTAGACTTCTGACCTCCAGCACTGTAAAAGTGTAAATTTGTTTAGTTTTAAGCCACTAGGTTTGTGGCTATTTGTTATAGAAGCAATATCAAACTAATATAGATTACAAATAAGTATGGCTTTTTCTTGTATGAAATGATATATCATAAATATCTTTCTATTCATTTAATACAGCTGTGTGACACTTTTAGGAGATTGTGGTAAGAGATATATGACATAAAACACTATTTTAATGATGTACTGCAACCATCACTTCCATTTCCCTCTAGCACTTTTTCACGTGTCCAAGCTGAAACTCCGTGAGCTAACTCCTAACTCCCCATTTCCCCCTCCTCCCATCTCCTGGCAACTCCTACTCTACCCACCTTTTCTATGGCCAAGACCATTCTTGGCACTTTATATAAATGGACTTATGTGTTTTTCCTTCTGTGTTTCACTTAGCATAATGACTTCAAGATTCATCCAGGGCATGTGTCAGAACTACATTCCTTTTCAAGGCTGAATAGCCCATTTTCTGCAGTTTATCTGTTCATCCATCAATGGATTATTGGATTTTTTTCTGCCTTTTGGCTATTGTGAAGCATGCTGCTATCAGTGAGCACAAGCATCTTGTTTTCAACGGCAATTAATTCACTACATGAGTGTATTACGGCTTATTAACCAGTTACCCATATTGGATGCTTCAATTGCTTTCAAGTTTTTATTATTATAAACAGTGCTGCAGTGAACATTCATGCAGATAATCTGTCCATATTGTTAATTGTCTTCCTACGAAACTTTATAAAGGAACATTGTCAAAGGATTTGCATATATTCTTCCCTTTCTTTTGAAATAGTCTAATGTCTTAGATTTTTCTTTAATATTTAAATGTTTTAAATTATTAAAAGAATAGATGCTCAGATAATTCAGAGATATATTAATTCACCATGAAATGTCTTTTGTTTTTCTTAACCCCACATCTCTGAGGCTAGCAATTTGACAGTTTGGGGATAACCCTTCAGTATATAAATTATAAATGAGAGTCTTTCTCTTAAAAAATTACAGTCTAACGTCTTTATAATCCCAAACAGGGAAAAATCCCCCACAATGAACAACTTGGGACTATTAATTATTACTTGATTCTTTGAAAACTACAAGGCTCCATGAAGATGCCAGGACTGTTACTGCCATAGCTGACTTTCAGTTTTATGATACTTGTTGTCCCTGGGTGAAATGCAAGTTGGCCCCTTCCCTAAGCAGAGCTAGTAGCTCCCTCAGGCTGGTGCATTTTCAGGATTAACTCTCTAACTGTCTTAAATTTCTATTGGTCCACAGACCACTTCTCCAGCCCTTCATTCATTTCTCCAATGATCATAAGCTTCTTTGGACAGTGTGGATCCTCAACATGTTTGATTACAACCTTAATTGCTTTGTTTTAGTTGCACCTGTTGCTCCTAAATCTGGCCTTAGAACATTTAGGCTCTGGCTTATGAGCTGTCAAGAAAAGGCTCTTCAAAGAAGAGGTACGATGTTGTTACTTTTGCAGACTCTCAGAGCTTCTCAGTGATGAGAACATAGAAGATGTTTTGTAAGTGTTGTCTGAGCGACAATAATTGGGCTGGAAACAGACTGTTTGCTTTTTTTTTTTTTTCAAGGAAACTGAAGCTGAGAGAGTTTCCAGGGATCTTTCCAAGGTCCCCTGCTCTGTCATTTACTAATAGGGTTCCCTGGGGGCACACATTCTGCCATTTCTCTGAGTTTTAACAACTTATTGGTAGAGGCAAGCAACTCCCTTCTCTGCATGGCTGGGAAATTTAAACAGAGGAAGAAATGAATGAGAAAGAGCTATCTAAAGCGGAAATCACTGCTCAAGTTGAAGTCCAGTGTGGGTGACCGTGCTCCTTTGGGTTTATGGTAAAGTTGGCACATGTAAATTTGGGAGCAATAAAAGGTTCTTTGTTAAAAAATGGCTTGCCCTTTGACTGGTTTATGACTGGCAAGATGTTTCTGGGACTTTTTAGTGTGTGATTAGAGTATCTTTCAACAAGGACACAAAGCCTAGATATAGCTAAAGTCATAGACGCTAATAATCATCAATTCTTTGACTATTTAGTATATGTCAAGTGCCGGGATAAACATTTTCTACAAATGTGGCCACTCACTTCTTACAGCTACCCTGTAAAGAGATAATACTGTTAATGACACATTATAGACCAACACACTGAGCACAGAACACTTTAGTAACTTACAGAGGTGCACAGCTATAAATGGCAGAGGTAGGATCTGTTTGGCTCAGATGTACAGGCACCTTGTCACTCTGCTCTGCTGTCCCTCAAATAAAAGTGACCATTCTGACCACATGACTCATACTGCCACCCTGGAGGCCAGGGAGTTTATGGAAGAGATATGTGGCATTCTTGGTCTTGACCTCTGCTCAGAAGTGTCACGTACCTGACAAGGGTGTCCCATGGATGATAATGGCGATGCCTTTCCGGGTCTTGGCCATGCGGCCTTCTGCAGAGATGTCAATGCCCAGGTGGCGAGCGATTGCTTTGCTTACTGGGTTGTTTTCAACTTCTGCAACTTCCTCTGTAGAGTGGCTGGGGCTCCTCTGAACCTTTTCAGCAGCAACTTAAAAATATGGGTGTGAACATATTTGTGCATTTGTGACTGTACCCAGCATTTACATGGGTATGGAGAGAAATGGGAATGAAACCTTTTTTTAAACACTGGTGTTTTAGAATGGCAAAAATTTTAGCAGCCTCCACCTCTACCGTGTGATAATGTCTTTTTTGGCTAATAATTTGTCCATATTCATTAATGTTTAAAGGTAAAAATACTCTGAATTCTAATTTTAGGACTCTCTTTTGCTGAAAATAAAAAGGGCATTTTTATAAAGAAGAGAACCGTTCATAGTTAGCTGAATTTCTAACATTAAAGGAAAAGGCCAGATAAATATTGTAAGTATTAATTCTATAGTATAGAATGTATTAATGTTTTAATGAATTAATGATCTAAGTAGCAGAGGCTGGCCAAGCCTATCCTGTTCCTTGTTTTTGAAAATAAAAGGTTTTTTTCTTTTTCCCATTCTGGCCCTAGAGATTGAACCCAGGACCTTCATACTAAGTTATATTCCCAGCCTTTAAAAAAGAATTTTTTTTCTTTGAGTCTAGGCAACTAGATGATAACAAAATGAGGTTCATACTCTAAACTGTATTCTACAGTTTGCTTTTTAACATAGTACATATTGGACATCTTTCCATTGAGTTAAAGACAGATCTGGCCCTCTATTCAAATAACTGCCAAAGAAAACCACTGTGCAGATTTTTAGGGTAACTAGTCCCCTACTGATAAGCATTTACATGGTTTCCGGGTGGTTCCTTCCAAAGCCAGTAGTGCACTCTGTCTCCATAGGATGTCTGGGTGTGGCTTGGGAGAGCTCAGATGGGGAAGTGGAGGGGCCCAGGCCAGGATGTGTGGCTTGGGGAAAGGCTGCCTGGGAGGCCAGAGCCACTTAGAGGTAGGATTATAGAGTTAGGTTGGGTTGGACATGAGGGACCAAGCCAGCAACTTCTGTCTTTATTGTTTCACCACTGCATTGTCCTGCTTTAATCTATTCACCTGGTTAATTGGATGCGAGCTAAGAATGCTGATCGAAATAAACTCTTCAGACCTTATTAGTCTTGGCCGTGAGCCCTTCTGCTTGAGGTGAGTGACAAATTGGATTATGTTTTTTGCACAGTTTAAAATAACCAACAAATAGCCCCCATGAAACCAGTTTTGCTGATTCTAATTTTCTAAATATGGCTTTGCCATCCTGCATCTCTTGGGGAAAATAAACATGAGGAAATGGGCCCACAAGATTGGGAGGTGGAGTGGTGGGCTCCTTAATGGTCCCATTAAAGGGGACCTGGGAAGAAGACTCTCTACCCTCCCAGAATCCTTCTCAGTCTGTTGGAATTTTAACATGAATGATTCAGGCCTCCAAATGAATGCTTAGTCTAGTTAAAATGCAAACTGCTGTGGCAAAAAGAATCCACCCATGTGCAAAGCTGCCCTGCAGACACCCACGCTGAAGGTGCAGCAGGAGAGGGTGGAGCAGGGCTTCTTCAGAGGGCGCAGAACTGGGGGATCCAGAGGGGATATTTTATGGGGAAATGGGGACCAGGTACATTTCTACTTAGAAAGAACTGATTCCCAAACATTAAAACGCTCACTTACTTTGAAATATTAATTTTTCCAAGCTGTCTTCATCCTCATCTTCATCTGTGTAGGCTCTGGACTCTGTCAGAAGGTTGTGCCGCTCTTCAAAGTAGGATGTGACAGACATCCCTTGGCTGATTGAGGTCCTCTTTGTGCTAGTGGAGCCTCCCGACGTGTTCAGCTCTTCCGATTCTGTCAGATGGCGAAGGATGGGAATACACAGGGAAGAGGTGGGGAGGGAAAAAGGGAGGAGAGGGTTGGGAAGGAAAGACAGACAAAGAAGGAAATCGCTGTCCTGGCTGCCCTCACTCTAAATTGTCTGACCCCACCAAATAAGAACTGTAGGCAGTCGGCTGTTCGGCAAGTTTCTACAGTTTTGACATTTGTTTGTACAACAAAATTATATATTGGCTCCGAAATTTAGAAAACTCAGAATGGCCCTAGATGATAAAGTTCAGTTCTATAAACAGAGATTGAGACAGACAAAGAGACAGACAGGAATTGCCCATGAGTTCTATACCAAGACAAGAGAGCTACGTGGCTCAGATTTTTAGTTTTTAAATTTTCAGAACCTCTCAGAGCCGTATCTGGGACGGCAGGGTTCCTATCAGTGTGCAGCCCGCTCCCCCAATCTTCTCATCACGTTTCCCACACTGTTGTTAAGCACTGCCAGGGGCAGCCCAGCACCCTCCTCATCGTCCTTTCTTCTATAGCCTCTGGGGGGAGGGAGAGGCACTGGGCTGGGGCAGGACATGGTGACCGCCTCCCCTCAACCTGTGGGAGGCATCTCTTTGATTAGAATTTGGATTTGAGCCTGAGAGGTTGTAGCTTTCTCACAAGCAGAGTGATGTAAAGACAGAGGAGGAAAGGACCGTCTACAGGACGAGGCTCTGAGAAGAAATCGCCCCTACCGATCCTTGATTTTGGACTTCTAGCCTCTCGAGTTATGAGAAAATACATCTCTCTTGGTCTAACTACCTGGTCTGTGGTATTTGTTGTGGTAGGCCTAGCAAACCAACACCATGCCCAACAAGCATGACGAGGAGACTAGTGGGGAGGCAGCCTTCTTTCCTGCCAAACTAACACTCTCTGCCATGTGTCTTTCCTTGAGAGGCTGAGAGTCAGCCAGGGGTAGGAGGAGAGGGTTCCATGGTTCTTTCTCTCACATGGCACCGCTGGTTGGGCACTGTCAGGTGTGGGCTGCTGTTTCCCACACTGGGTTTAGAAGGAGGAATATGTGACTACTGCCTTTAAGAAGGATTCTTGCTTAGCGGCAAGGGACAGGCGTGGAGAAAATAATTACGTGAGTGATGACTGTTGCATGGAAGAGAGCAAGCCAGACCAGGGACATTTCCAGGTGGAGGGACAGAGAAGCAGGAAGGAGGAGCACAGCAACATCACCTGCACAGTCCTGAAAGAGGCCCTTCTGCTAAGTACACAAGAGAGGCCCTGGGCAGATGATGGGATGATACGAGTGTGCTGGTCCATGAGGGACACGATTACGAGCGTGCAGACCAGCTTTGCAGCTGGCCTGGGGAACCATGGAGGGGATGGCTTTTTTTGTCATGTGAGCTTCCACTTCTCTCTGTTAGGTAACAATTTCTGCCTTGCAGGATGCATTACTTTGCATGACCTAGGCACACCCTTCGAGGCCATACAGTATAGTGGTTGCTATCAGTTAGGGCCCTTGAGTCAGGGAGGCTTGTGCTGGAATTTTGTTTTTGCCACTTCAAATTGTGGTCCTGTCCTTTTTGTGCTCATTTCTCATATGTGGGTGCAGAGCCCTCAAAACCATGTCTAGCAAGTCTTCTTCTGTCTATGTTAGTTGTTTTTAAATCCCAATGTCCATTGGACTCTAGAGACAGTGGAATGTGGCCCAGTCTCTGCATCCATACCATGAGGGTGATGGGACCCACTATGGAAGGATTAGACATAAAATGCGTGCAGCACTTGGTACCTAGTCCTACCAGCAAACGGGAGTTCCCACAGCAGAGGACACTCACAGAGGGCAGGGCAGTGGCTGGCGCCACGGGTTCTCACCATTATCCTGTCCCAGATTCTCCAGGTATTTTGCCTTCATCTGCTCTTCTTTAGACTTCTTCAGCTCTCTAAAGTACTCATACAATTCTGGGGGCAGCTTCTCCCCTGGGTTGCGAGGTGGCAGCAGCAGGGTATTGACGGAGTCATAGCCTTTCAGCTGTCGCAAAATCTGGTCAAGGGGAAAACAGAAACTGCTACTCATCTCAGTGTGAGTTTCCTTTCTACTTTTTATTCTTGGGAAATCCCTGCTCCTACCTGAGGGTGAGATTTGTAGAAATACTTTCTGGGCACCACTGGGTCTTTGGAGAGGTCTAAAAAGTACGATTGGACCCTGAACATATGGGGATCAAGATCTTTATTTTGTTTCTTGTCTGTCTGGGCATTTCACAAGTGGGAAAGAGAAGCCAGTGGAACACACATGTAAGATATTCAAGTGGTAAAAGTGTGAACTAAAGGCCCTGTATACATATAGATCTTCTACTGCGAGACCATGACAAAAATTCTAACTGTAAGGTACCATAGGAGTCTTGGAAGAAGAATAGAAAGAATTTGGAGCTAAAACAACCCTCAAATAAATAATGGCCAAATGTTTTTAACATGGAAAAAAGAAAGAAAATTCTGTAGATTTAAGAAACTGAGCAAGTCCCAAACTCAATAAATTGTAAGAAATATATGCTATAATACAAGAAGGTGAATGTTTTATAAACTAAGACAAAGAAAAAGTCTTGAAGGTAGTGACAGAGAAATGAAACTTTATAGACAAAATAAAAGACAATTCAAATGACACTGAGTTACTCCATCCAATCCGGCCATGGAGGCCAGAAAAAGTGGTGTATTTATCAAGAGTTAGAACTGACCCAGAATTCTAGATTCAGCCAAAAATAAAACTCTTCAACCAACACCTTCTTAAATGAGGAAAAAATAAGATATTTTCACTAATAGATCTACCTTAAAAGACCAGCTAAATGTGGCTCTAGAACCAGAAAGGAAATAATAAAAGAAAAAATTTTGGAATAGTAGAAAGAAAGAAATTTATGTTTTCCAGGTGAAATAAATTGTAATTCTAATATAAGGAAATATCAAGACAGTTCTACTAAAAATGAAGATGCTAAAAGGAAATAAAGGGAGGAAAGGTTTCCAGCATAAATTTAGACATTGGTTATGCTACACATATGTGTAATGTAATGTATACAACAATAACTAAGGAAGCTATATAAAGGTAGACACTCAAAAATATTCTAAGTAAATAAAAATGAAATTCCAAATAATGTTGAAGCAACTAAGAGGAAGGCTAGAAAAGTAAACAGAGAACAAACAACAAAACAATAAAATGGCAGACTTAAGCCCTAACATATCAATGCTCACATTAAATGTAAACGATCTAAATATACCCATTAAGGACAGAGATGGTTAGAATATACTTTTAAAAACTTGCCAATTGCAGCCTGTCTGTAAGGAAGTCACTGCAAACACGATATAGGCCCAAGTTCTTTACTTTCTGAATTTTAACCATGAACATGCATTTATTTTTTCAATTTGTTTTTAAACATATCTATTGCAACTACAAAAAGGCAAAGAATTCCGCTCTGGGCAAGAGAAATAGAGCAAGAAGGCTAAGAAGAAGTGATCAATAAGAAAGATAAAGAAAGGATCAAGAGGAAAAGGCCAATAGGAATTGATCCCATGCAGACAAAAGAACACAAGTACATGGTAGGGCCCAGCTTGCGTAGGGAAAGGGAGTTTGGCTCTGACTTCCGCTCACCTTCTCCTCTAAGAGATATTGCTGATCAAATTCTAAGGAGTAAAACTCAATTGGAAAGTTGCAGGGATTCTTCACTATCACCTCGGCCTCATCTCCAGTGGCAAGAGGAAGCAATGGTCCCAGTTCCAGAACCGAAGGATTAAATTCCAGGCGTGGCTCCAGACCTTGCCCATGTACCTGCAGTGTGAGCTTTTGAGGGCTCTGGGAAATCTGGAATGTCAGGGTTTGGCTGTAGAATTTCTAGAAAAAATGAAAACAAAACAATGTTTATACTTGTTCTTGTTATATGCCATGTGAAACTGAACATCAGTAAGAGGCAAAAGCTTATCCCATTTAGTTAAGGGAGAATAAAAGCTTTTCTTACAAAACAGCATGTGAGCAATTGCTATCCCTGGATATTTAGATGCTGGGTATCTAGCACCCTACCAAGAGCTTCATCACTTGTAGCAGGCCTTCTGAGTGTGGTCCTCAGGTCGCTTGGACTTCTTGTGTGCTTAGACTCCTGTTACCTTCTGTACCTCTCATCTCATGGCCCGCGTTGCCCACCAGCACAGAAGAGCTGAAGTAACACCTCCTGGGAGCAACAGTGACTTGCAGGAGTCTCTGTAAGTATCTTAGTTCACTTGTTCACTGGGAGAGGTGATTCTGCAATAAGCACTTTTATATTTCTTCCCCAAATCTGGCAGAATGCAGAGCTAGGGCATTTAGTCCCTCTGATATAGTCAGATGCTAATAGATAGTGCTATATAACTTTCACAGAGTTTCTCAAAATGGTACAGAAGTCTACTTTCCACTTGGTGGTTCCTAATCTGATTTCACTTGGAATCCTGCTAAATAGCAAGTCATAGGCCTCATCCCTAGAAAATCTGGCTCCTTCAGGGGCAAAGAAAGGCTGGGTTTCTGCATTTTAAACTAAATGATCAGGTCATTCTGATATAGTTTGGCTTGAGTTGGAGGTTTCAGTGACTTCCCAATTTGAAGAGCTTCCAAGCTGTCTTAGCTGAGGGGAAAATATCCGATGGATCTGTGTATGGATGTGCCTACACATACAGAAAAATACCTATTTCTGGAGATAACAGGAGACTGAATTAGTTCTCCCCTCCCATGAGCCAGCAGAAGCCATGCTGGATCTGAGAGGAGGACAAGAAGAAGCCAATTTGCTCTTCCTCTAAGCTGCACAAACCATGGGGCTCAGGAAGAGAGGAGCCAGTGAGCCACCTGGGGTGCAGGCTGAGAATCAAGACCCCTAACCCCACCTCCATAAGCAATCAGCTGGTTCAGAGGACAGGCTGAGTTGATAGCAACTGAGGTACACAAACAACTAAATGACTGTATTGTTGGATGGACTTTGCAGGTCTAAAGCTGGTAGTCTGAGCATCTATTGGGAGGATAACAGTATGCAGTGTAGCAAATATGGGGCATTTCCTTCTGTCTTGCTTTTGAAATCCAACATGGTTCTCAATGTTTCATTTTGTTCCAATTTATTGTTTTGTTTTATTTAATGTTCTGTTTTGATTGGTTTTATTCTGTTTGTTTTATTTGATTTTTCTATGTCTGATGGAATGGACAACTATTGTGAAGATAACAAGATATATTACAGTAACCATTGTTGATTTCCTATTATCCTGTTTTGAAGTTTTATACCACTTTCACTGCTTTATTTTGATTGACTTTATTCTGTTTTATTTTGCTAGATTTTATTCGCTTTAAAAATAAAAAAAAGAATGAATTATTGGTTAAGGCAATGTAGTTATGGGCTCAGCACTTTAGGACTCAAAGGTCTTATATTTTGTCTGCTATTTGTAACAATCTCCTTGTTTTCCAACCCAGAGTATTCCGTATGGATGTCCTGATGTCTAGGAGTTGCTTGTGTAATGACTGGTGATATTTCTGTGCTGCTGATGCTGATAAATACACAGATGTGGGCTGTATTGGTTTCAGGGCCAACCCATTCCTTCCATACAGCCAGTAAGTTCCCCCGAGTGGTGGAAACATTTTATTAACTTTGACCAATTCCAATTCAAGATTTGTGGAACAATCAGAACAAATAAATTTTGGGGGGCTACATTTGCTGATATTTCCCTCATTTAGTAATGGGAAGAAAATCCAAACTCTTGACTATACCCTTTTACAGTTCAAGACTCTTTAGGAATGGCAAATATATTAGATTTTCTTGTAAAAGTGTTGGGGAATTTTGATAATGATGGGAACAGGGGTTTTCTTGTAGAATGAGATAAGTCATTCATGTTTCCTTTTTTTCTCACTGAAGATTCTGAAGCATTCCCTCAAAGTATTACCAGGAAAACAGACATTCGCCATAGGTGTTCTATAAAATTCACATGAATTTTTCATTCATTTATTTATCTTTTTGAGACAGGGTTTCATTATGAAGTTCAGGTTGGCCTTGAACTCATGTTGTAGCCCAGGCTGGCCTCAAACTCACAGTGATCCTCTCATCTCCATCTCCCAAGTGCTGGGATTACATGTGTGACCCACGTATTTTTCTTTCAAAAGAACAGAATAGAGGAAAAGGTCTCTCAAATGTTAGGCTTTGAATAAACTTCTTTACAGTTTAACTTCCTGAGATCCTGTCTCTAGGATTTTATTGTTTTTGCTGTGTTGCTGGTCAGTGGTGGTTTTGTGCTCACAGTGTTTATAAAAGAAATGTTTATGAGGCTCAGGAATACGGTCCCCCAGGATGTGCTTAACAGCGTGACTCTTGATGGTAAGGATTAATAGTTATTGAGATACTTGCTACACACAGAGCAGCATGCTGTGTATTTTATTTAATGCTGTTAATCTTTAAAATGATCCAGAGGTAGCTGCTACAGGTCAACAACAATTTATCTGAAACCACAGGGGTCAAATTCAGATTTTTTAAAAAGGCAAACACCATGCATATGCTGTATGTTACCTGATGCCCCCTGCTGAGTCTCGGGAAGGCCTTTTGTAATCAAATGCATTAGTATTTCTGCAGCTGCAGTGTTCAACTCTGAAAACTAAGCAGGATAAGTAAAGGCGAAATGGTCTTCTGTCAGCTCAGATAAGAATTTTTTGCCAAGTAAGTTTTGATTTAAAATTTATGAAATCCCCCCTCTGCCCACTTAAGGAAGCTTATTTGATTTCATAATTGCAATAAGGGGTTTTTGATGTGTGATATTATTACTTTTTTATCTATGAGCAAACTGAAGCTTAGGGAGCCTAAGTAATTTGTTCAAACACACAGCCTGTAAGTGCAGATCAGAAGGCCACTCACCCACAGGTGCTGATAAAACGTGATGTGTTAGTGAGATCTGCTGACCTGCCCGCCAGGGCGCTTAGCACTTGCATGAAGCAGAAGCACTGGAAACACCATCACCGCACACACAAAGGTTCTCTTGAGACTCATGCTAGCATGGGCCGAGTAAAGCTTAAAGAGATTCAGAGAATTTTCACAAAGCCACATTGCTTTCAAGCTTACCTCTTCTTTTGGCATGAATTTCACTTGCACATTGACCATCTCAGCAGGATCCAAGATTCCAGACATGGGCTGGATCTCAAAGATCTGAGACTTTGGCTTTATTTCAGCACAGAGTTTCCGTCTTAGGTACTTTGGTATGTGTATCTGCGACTGGTTTATAAATTTTAGACAATTAGATTATCATCGCTGGAGAATGGACACATTCCATTCTACACTCACAGGGCTACATTTCTTGAGTATCTCTCAGGTGTCAGGGATGGTGTATGTACTAGGGGTATAAAGGTGACTGTGACATTTTACCCAACAGCATGGCCTGGCAGAGTCTTGGAAGAGTCTTGCATAGGGCTAAAGGCCTATGCAATGGTCACCCCAGAAATTCTTTGAGCAGAAGACAAGTGATCAGAGGAATGGCTGAAAAGGGGACAGATAGGTAACACCTTGTTTACCTTTTTAACAGGCTTTGGAGTGTGGACAAACCATTCACAAGGGACTTGGAGATGATTGGAAAGCTGAATCGTTTCCACCATGCACTGTCCACACTGAATTGTAGCAAATTCCACTGTTCCACAAGACAGTGTCATAGTAGGGACGATCACCTTAGCTCGGAGACAGAGGTGAACCGTTGGGCCTCCAACCACCTGGAGTGGGCATAACACCGCTGTTATTATGTGGCACAGGGTTGAAGAAGAATCATGGCTCTAACATAATAAAGGGACCATTACAGGTGTGATTGGTTAGCAGGGCTGCAGACCCGGAAGGCCAAGTGGGCCTGGTGGTGCATCTCACCTTGATGGGCAGTAAGACTTCTTTATTTCCCACAGGAAGATTAGCTCCTTGTGGATCAAATCTCACTTCAAATGTTTCTGTTTCACAGTAAGGCAGATTCTTTACACGATCTAGCTCAATACTGAAGCCTGGATCAAGGCAAAAAACATTTCCCTGTGAGGAAGGCAGCAGCAAACAGGAGCTGCTCTGCATAGCTCCCTCCTCCGGGGCAGGATGACCAGTCAATGCGTCACTGAACAGCTAGACAAGTTCTTTAGCTGATCCCTGCTTTGCAGGGTTGGAACAGACAGGTGGCTTTCTTGTTGGAAATGGCAAATTACAACAGGAAAGAGTTTCCCACCCTGGTTACCTGTGTCATGAAGGACATGCCTTTCTGCATGGAAGGACACTGGAAACTGACTGGTGTTGGTAATCTTGATGATGTGAGTGGGCACCTCTCCAGGGATAATGTAGCCGAAGTCCAGGATGTACTCTGGCAGATGGACTCTGAAACCGTGAGCAGTATCTCCTTACTAATCACTTTCAAGCCTGGAAGGCTACCTTTCCCAAAGTGAGAGAGTGAGATTCTTTCCCATCACCTGTGTACAATTTTGTTCTCTAGACTGCAGCACAGCCAAAGGCCACTAGGACAGACATCAGAAACAACAGACTTTCTTCAGAAGTCCACGGGTCTGTCTTAGCCATTAATTCAGAACACAGTGTGGACCCTCATGGACCTGAATCAGGGCCTGATCATTAGATACAATGGGAGTCTTCTGACTTTAATAGACAGAGACCTGTCTGCTTGGCTCAGTGCTAGATGATGGCAGATAATGTGAGTCTGTGGACTTTATTCCTAGATGATCAATCATTATTTCAGGGGACACTCTGCCACACTCTGAAACACACATGACACAGAAGGGCGCTCACTTGGTTAGTTTGCGACGACTCCAGTAGCTGAAGCAGGTGTTCTCTGTGGGATCGGGGTTATTTGTTTTCTGTTGTTCTAGAGCATAGGCTTGGACTATAAGTTGGTCTACTTCCATCTGGAGGTAAGCACATAACTGGAGAAAGACAGAAAAGCAATTCAGCACATTGTTCTAGAACATGAATTCCCAATGGGAAAATATGACTACTCAGTGATCAAAATTGGTTCTTGTGGGGAGTAAACAAACAAACAAACAAACAAACAATAAACTTAGATATTTACAATGGATTGGGTCCTCCAAAAGTGTCAGAAGCTAAATGCATGTATAGTATATTTAGTGTATCAATAAGTCCATGAGGGCGGGGACTGTGGCATACTCACTATTCAGCATCATGTATGAACAAGTTGGATCAATCTCAAGAGTGTTATGCTGAGTTAAAAAAAAGCCCATCTCAAAAGGTTACCTACTATGCGCTTCCATTTATATGACATTTTGAAACAATAAAAGTATAGTGATGAAGAACAGATTAGTGGTTTCCAGGGGTAAAGGCTGTGGGGATACAGCTATACAGATATAGCGCAAACACAAACAATGATGCATCACTCTTGTTGAAAATTAGGGCATTACTTCTTGTTTTTTTTAGGGCATTTCCCTTAGAAAAGTAATTTTTAGAAAATGTAATTTATTTTTATCTCTTTGAAGGCCCTGAAATGTCTTTCTCAGTGACTTTCATGAGTACATGGGAGTCAGCTCCTGGAAGTGTGGTCACTGAGGAAGATGGAGTCTCTGTTTCCCAGTTTTTGTGGGAGAACAGGCACCTAACTTTCATGAGGGCTGGATAAAAGAAGTTTGTTTTTCCTCAGGATAAAGTTAGCTAACACAAGAGGATCATCGTAATTATCACGTGAGTTTAGGATAAACGATTTGGGGAAAATGACATTGTCCAGTCCCCTTGCTTGAGGATTAGATATTGTCCTTTTTTTGGGGGGAGGGAGATTTTCTTAAGTTGGAAGGAGATTTTGGTTTTAATTCTATTTCTCTAGAAAGTATATGAAGTCTGTGTGGGATGGAATGGTTCTATATTTTAACTGTGGTGGTGGCTGAATACATCTACACAAGTGATATAATTGCTCAGAACTATACACACATGTGAATGTAACTGGTGAAGTCTAAGTAAGCTTTATGTCTTATTCCAAAGTCAATTTCCTGGTTTTGATAACATATTAGATATTACCACTGGAAAAACATTCATTTGCAATTTCCTCTATTGCGATTTCCTCTATAGATTCCTGAATCTATAATTATTTAAAAATAAAAAGTTAAAAAAACTTCAAGGTATTTAAAGAGTATTTCATTTGGTATCTAATAAAAATATTTTATAGATGAATTTAGGAAAAGATATCTGAAAGTGATTTTAAGGTGGTGTTTGGGTTCCATAGCGAAAAAGTTTGAAAAATATTCTTTGAGAAGGACTAAGCCTTAATCAGGGATCCCACAGGGAAGGTTAACATGTGACATGGTGCATGATGGGAAAACAGGAAGTGAAGGCCAGAGCTGTGTCCAGCGCCTTGGGGGTGGTGCTTGGCTCCTGAGTCAGGAGTGGTAGACTTGAGCCTCATGCAGGAGGACAGCTCAGTTCTGCAGGTGCCATCAAATTCCCAGAAACCTAAATCCAGGCTGGGGTCACTGTCAGAGATAGCTATTTTAAGGATCCAATGGGAAGCATCCTGGGAATCTGGTGCTTCTCAAGGACAGCCAGAATAAACCTCTCCTTCTTTAACTCGCAGGCGTCAGGTACTGTGTTTCAGTGATGGAAAAGCTGACTAATACATTCCTCATTTTAGAACCTCCTTTTGACCAGTCCAAGGACTCTTAAGCTACGTATATCATTCTCCCTTGGATAATAGTCCCACACATTTGCATTTTAAAAGCAGAGCACAAGGAGTGAGAAGCCTTCCAGATTAGGAACTGACTATTGGAAAAGAACTCCAGGGGATGGTGATGGAGCACATTTTGGGACTTGCTTTCTTGCTCTGCCCCATCGCCTTTGTTTACAAGCTGACCCGTGTTCGCCACATTTTGGCATGGCTCCCACTTCGTGGCACCATGTGATACCAAGTTTTCCTGAACCTCTTTGGCTGCCCTTCATCCCCACTCAAGGGTTGATGTACTGGGGGGCTCCACTGGATGCAATCTCACTTGTCTATTTTAAGAGCGCTCCCTTCTAAGCCTACGCTTGTCCCATTCTAATCCTACTTACTCTCCTCAGTGCTCACTCCATATACAACCTAGGAAATCTCACCATGTCCTGTGATGACAGTGACCACCAATGAGTCTCAATTACTTTATCCAACCGATCTCTCTCCCCAAATCTCCTCGGAATGTCTCTAACTTCCTAGTGGCTGATGCACGGAAATTCCATGTTCAATGATAGACCATTTGAACTCATTTGCCTTCTCCTCCACCCACAAAATTGTGCTTCTTTTAAGTTTCTTATCTCTTCCCCTCATCATCTGAGTGAGATCTCGAGGTCACCCCTGCCTCACACCATATCCATTCAATCCCTATTCCTGATCAGTCCAACTCTTGAGTACATCCAATTGTACCCACCCCCATCGTCAATACCATTATTTTAAGTACTCCGTCTCTTTCCTAGAGTTATTCCATCAGCTTTCTAAAAAACTCATTTCCTCAAACCCTGTCCCCTCAAAGCTCCATAAAGCAGCTAGAGGGATCTTTTATAGGTGCAAATGTGATTTTGCCATCTTTTCTGGTTGAAAAATTCTCTCAGGAAAAAACTCTAAAACCCTTAATAGGTTCTCCGGGGCTTCTCAGCTTTTAGGCTCATCTGGCCTCCCTCACATCCCCCTTCTTTGTCTTCGTTACATCTTTCTCTTCCTCTTCATGTCCTTCTTGCCCCCGGACCTTGGCACACCCCCTCCTTCCCCGCACATTCGTGCAGAAGGAAGCTAGACTTACCTCGGAAGATTCATCCTCAGGCACTTCCTCAATTACCATCTCAGACTGCTCTTGGGTTTCATTTTTGTTGTTCTCTTTATCTATATTTTTTCTGGCCAGATCCAAGAAGGCTTTATATTTTTCATTGCCTGTGGTTGGAAGAAGGGAATCAGGGTTGGAAAACTATGCCCCAAACACAGCCTCTCAGCTCAGGGTAAAGTGAGGACGGAAGTGGACTTTCCCATGCTTTACCTGCCGTGTTTCCCGCTTCTGCTTAGAGAGAGAGGATATTTATATCTGAGACCTCACCGAGTCTCATGAGATTGAACTTGAGTGAACCAGCCGACTTTCAAAGACTTGAAGAATGGGGCTGGTGGGGACTGTTGCGGCTCCAGCACTGAATCCTCTACATCCTGGGATCCCCCAGCCCAGTGTTGGTCAAACTGGGGCACCTGGTACTCTTTAAGTCAGTTTCCATGTTTCTTAAGTTTCAGTTAACAAATAATATATTTGGGCTTCATCGCTTTAACTAAATCTAAATAAGCCAGGAAGGGAATCGGCGGAGAGATTTCAGATACTCAAATTTACATTAAGCCAGAGCAAATTCAGATGTTTTGGGGGCAAGTTAGGCAAAGTGATTACAATGCCTACCGTAAAACAAAAGGAAAAGCTGAGTCTGTGGCAGACTGTAGCAATAAGACAAGCTAATGATATTCAAGATTAAATTATTTTAAAGTCGTTACTGGTCAAGCTTTGTCTACTGCCCTGGTCAGACCAGCTGGGAATCTGGTTTACAAAGTCTGTGGCCAAGGATTTCCTTCTGACAGTTATAGTTGGTTCTTTGTTATCTGTAGCTTGGTGTCTGCACACTTAACCATGATTCAAAAATATTTAGAAAAATTGTGTCTGTAGTGGACACGTACAGCTTTTTTTCTTGATATCTCTAACAATCCAGTGCCACAAAGTACACTATAGTGGTAGCACGACTATGGTTCTTGCATTGTTTTAGTAATTATAAGAAAGGCTGGGGGATAAAGCTCAGCCTTACAGCCTGGCTAGCAAGGGTAACGTCCAGAGTTTGAGCCAGTAGCCACTCCCTAAAAAAAAAACCCAAAAAACTTTATCTAGATATTATAAGAAACCTACAGATGATTTAAAGGACATAGGAAGATGTACCTAGGATACACGCAAACATGATGCCATTTTATATAAGGAACTTGAGCATCAGTGGATTTTGGTATCTAAGGAAGGCCCTGGAGCCAGTGGGAGTCACCCTTCCCTGGCTGTAACTCTAGATATTCGAGTACAACGTGGTCTTAGTTTTATTGACATTTATATTCAGGTCTTCAGAGAGCAAACATGTAGGATTTCACAAATATAATCACCAGCAGATAAGTTAGTGACTTGCAGGAATGGGACAGGAAGAAGGCTGGGGAATGAGGGCTTAGCCAAAGGTTTTTAGGGAAAGCAGATTCTGAGAAACTCCAAGAAGGAAGCATGGAGAGATGCAAGGATTTTCTTGACTCTTGGTCCTGTGCCGCATGTCAGGAAGCAAAAGCAAGAGGGTCTAGGGCTGAGTTTGAGGATCTACCAAGGCAGAAATATCAGCCTGGTATAGAAGGGTGGCACTGGAGGCCGTACATGACTAGAAAGGCCTTGCTGAGGCATGTGGCAGGTGACTAATAATGTCTCATTTGACTTTCAGAGTATGTGATTCCAAAATAAGGGACCTTTCTGTGCAGTTGGATTTTGAGAATTCTACCCCTGGCAGTATGTCAGCCCTCACCTTGTCAATCAAAAAGACAACTATGAGTGCAATATTAAGGAAGGGGACTTGGGGAGAATTGTGATTGAGAGGAACATGCACTGGACCCAAAGGCCTTTGGAGGTGAAATTTTCTGCTCCCTCTATACATAATTCAGTGATGTCAATATTGACCGGGGATCTTAGTTTGATATTACCATAAGCTACTGCTTATCTCATCACAATCAGTCAAATTCAGCTCTTGCTCCCTACTTCTTTTCTAGCAATTGAGAAGTAACACAGAAGGGAAGTAGAGGGCATTGCTAGGTAGATAAATAAATCTTCAATGAAGCAAAGCCAAAATGTATTGTTAGACCTCGTGAGAAAAGACTAAGGGCAGTGGTACCTTTGAGGTTCCTGGGGAGATCCAGGCAGATCCGGGGAAAGATTCCCTCTCCTCTCAGAGTAATATTTTCTGGGTCCAGGTGGGCGATCTGTATCTGGAAGCTCCTTTGAAAGACCTCAGGTATGCCAGGTAAATAGTAAACTTTCAATACTTGCTCTTTATATGAGCTGATAAAACCCTGTGCAGAAGAAAGACCAAGAGAACATGGGATTTATAAAAGGACTTCCACTGCTGGGAATGTGACGGACTGGACAACCCCAGAGGTTAATTTTCCGGCTTATTCTCTACTTACACACCTCCCCAAAGATCTGTTACTATGACACTATAAGGAACTGTTAAGAAAGCATTAACAAGATAGGCAAAGTACCTGCCCCTCATCTCATAGAGGAGGAAACAGGAAGAGCAAACAAAAGAGTAAAATAAGCTCATCTTCATAATTCACCAGGAAACTCAAATGAAGATCATGGTAGGAATTTTTAGAACTATAAGATTGGTAAAATGTATTCAGTGTTGGTGAAAATCTGTATCACAGGAAATGCTCTGGTGGGAATGTCAGTGGGATAGGCACCGAGAAGAACACTTTAACATCATTTTATAAAGCTGAACACACACAGCCCATGACCCAGCAATTCCACTCCTGGGAGAAATCTTAGGAAAACTTGTACTTGTGGACCAGGAGACACACAGGGGAAATTCGTAGGAGGATTTTTTTTTTCTGCCAGCAAACTGTTGGTGAGGGCGCAGGGGAAACAAATGTGCTTTGACAAGAAAGCAGAAATTTGCTTTCAGTGTAGTTAGCAAAGGAATATTACTCAGCTGTAGAAGCAGATGACCAATAGCTACTGTGGGTGAGTGCTAGAAACACAATATTGGGTGAAAAAATCAAATAGTACCAGATTATATTTAATCATCTCTTTTAAAAAATAAAGCTCAAGATAAAGAAAAAGGTCATAGAACAAGGTCTCTAGGAGGACAAATATATTTTTTGATTTGTTTATTTATTTCCAGCACTAGAAAAATGCTAGAGAAAAATCTACTAGGTGCTTAAAAATTTGGAGAATCAATGAAGTCAAGCATTTTTAGGATGCATATATAAGTAATAAAACTGCTGTTAAAAAGGAAACGATAAAAACAAAATTCAGATTAATGGTTGCTGGTTACAAGGAAGCAAGAGCAGGAGACAGGAAATAAGCCAAGGTAGATTTCAATATGTAGATTATATGCATACCAACACATAAACAGATGTAAAAACATTACTAATCTAGATTTAAAGACGCTAGCAGGTTCATGATATTATGCTTTATGTGTCAAACAGGTTACATAGATTTCATTTTGCATACATAAAATATTATATAGTAAAACCTTAAAAATGGTGAATAAAGTAACAATACAGCCGTTAGGTCAGTAATCTGAAAATAAAAAGGCAGAAGAATTGCATGATTATAAATGACCAAATCTGACTGGACTCTGAACTTGGGAAAATAATACTAAGTTCCAGTTACACAAAAGTGTTTCCGAAGTCATTTTTGATAGGAATTTTTATAATTTCTGAACATTTTTGATGGCCTTTGTGTTTTACCAACAAAACCAGTTCTATTATGGAATTCTAGAAGGGAAACTTTTCTCTCCTTTGTGCATAAGATTGAAGAAAACATGAATCTGGGTAAATAATGGTAATGATAACATGTTGGTATATACCTATATATTTTTCATTTAAACACATATATGCACACACACACACACACACACACACACACACACACACACACATACAAGCTGGGTTTAATCTACAAGTAGGGTAAATAGAGTTACTTTCACCCCACACCTGGCCATGACAGTTAAATGTCACTGGTAGGATTCCTATGTGTCATGGTTTATGTCGGTGGCCCCCAGGCCTCATGTGTTTGCATTCTGCATTTGTGATTTGTTCATTGTCTAGTGCCTGGATTGATGGTGTCAGTGCTACACCCACCTCAAGGTGGAGCCAGAATACAATGTAATGGCAGGAAGAAGGTGTGTCTCTCTCTTGCTGGTGTCAGTTTTGTTGTTTGTAACCACCATGAACTGCGGCCCTGCCATGCCACCCTGCCTTGGAGCCAACTGAGTGTGGACTGAAACCTCCAAAAACTGTAAGAAATGAACCTTTCCTTTCCCAACTTTGGGCGTCAGGTATTTTGTCTCAGCGATGAGCATAAAGTAACTAAGACACTATAAGAAGCTGTGCTTCCCTCTGCCTCTACTCTCGATTGTGGAGATGTTGTTTAAACACTTTCCTTAATGTTTTCTATTTCATTGCAGAGAACTGACCAGGTCACAAGACAATCACTCACATGAAGCATTGTATGAAATTTTACATGTGTCATGGAGTGTGTGTGTATGTGTGCATGAGTGTGTGTGCACACACATGTATCAGGGATCACATTGTGCAGTCAAATTGCAAAACGTGCTCCGTTTCACATCTCTGGTATTGGCCCCACTTGTGCCTTCTCTCTTCTCACCCCTCCTTGGGGCAATGTACGGCACTCAGCGATGTGTGTTCCCAACAAAACCAGTTCTCTCGTGGAATTCTAGAGAGGAAACTTTGCTCTATTTATTATGCATTCAAATGTGTGTATACTGTTGAGTTCTGTCAATATTTGTTTTCATTTATGGGAATTTTTACTTTGTAATAGGAAAGTTGGCATATAGAAAAGGAAAAAAAAAAAAAAAAACCAAGCAGAAGGGAAAAATTCCATTGGACGCATAAAAAGCCCTGGTTCAAAAATCAAGGCACTGTGTGGGCGAAGGTTAGCACAGTGGGTCCAGGGCCTCCGTGCTTAGAAAGGCCAGCTGGCATCTGGGAACTGAGATGCTGGCATCTGGGAAAAAATGTTCTCACCACCCCCAATCAGACGGCTGCACCTGAACTGTGCAATCGATATGATTTAGTTGAGCACCTCTTTTGCCCTGGTGTCTGGAACTCTTGTGTGTGCCGGGCAGAGCGTACTAATGCAGCAGGCTCCCAATAAAAACCCTGGGCACTAATGAGCCCCGAGAAGCTGTCACATTATTGTCACAACTTGGTGCTGGGGGACCAAAGGTCCCGTGTTGACTTCACAGGGAGAGGACCCTTGGCAGCTCATCCTGATTTCTTTTGACTCCATCCCATCTGACTTTTCCCTTTGTTGATTTTACTTTGCATTTTTTGTAATAGAATATACAGTAATATAGTATAATAAATCTTAATTGTAAATACAACTTACTGCTGCATTCTATAAAGCTTCCTAGAGAAAATGGAACATGCAACATTAGAACAAGTTCTGCCAACCTTTCAATAAACAAATATTAACTTAGGTTACACACCATTCTAGGGAATAGACAGATAAAAAGTTCTAATTTTTCCTGTAATATTCAATCTGTCAAACAGCATGAATAAAGAAATTTATGGACCAATATTTGCTAATTAACAAAGATGCAAACATAGTAAACATTAGCTTATGAGTCCAGATTACATATATGCATATGTATTTAAAAGTGCAGATGGTTGGCTTTCGGGAGAACATGGCGGACAGATAGCAGCAGCTATGGAGGCTCTCTGAAAGACTCGGCTTAGAATTCAGGAATGGTGTGGAGCAAGGAGTCATAAGCAGGTGGAGATATGCTCTGCTGACCCAGGAACGAACTGGGCTGAGAGAAACCAACTTGGAATGCAGTCCTGGTGCTAGAACAGGAACAGAGGGGCCTCAGTGTGGAGGCTGGAGCCCGCGCCATTGGAAGCTGCGATTTGGGTTTCCTGCCACACGGCGGCTGCGTCTAACATCGGCTCGGCAGGGAGAGAGACCTGAGAATGGGAATCAGCGAACAGAGTTGAAAACAGGACGGGTGGGGAGCTGTGCATTGACTTGTGGTGAGGTGAGTGAGAGAAACTGACACTCTCCCACAGTTTAATGAGACTCCAGCGGAAGACATTCTGGGACTGGGCAGACTTGCGGGAGCGGGGCGCTGCAGCGACTTCAGCCACGTATCCCCCTCTCAAGCGGGACTGGTGAGAAGTGCCTAGCCTACGTGACGCTGCTGGTGGAGACCCAGTAGGCTAGTACAACCCAGATCTCAGAGCCTGAGGGTGGCCTGGAGGAGCGGGCCCCGTGTAGGCTGCCTGGTCTACAATTTCCCTACGTGACGCTGCTGGCGGAGACCCAGTAGGCTAGCACAACCCAGATCCCAGAACCTGAGGGTGGCCTGGAGGGGCGGGCCCCATGTAGGCTGCCTGGACTACAATTTCCTGGTGTGCTGCGGTGGGCGGGAACACCTAGCCGGCACAATTCAATCAGACTGTGGCTGACAGGAAATGAAGCTGGGCCTCCTATATATGCTTGCATATAAGGAACAAAGAAGAGGCAGCAACAAGAAAGGCTCCTCGACCCCCAATCCTGAGAAACAGGCAATAGCGGACACCGCACCAATAGACATAAAGTGCCATCTAGAGAGCCTCATAGATCAGTTCAGGAATGAAGTTATTAATGACCTGAAGCTAGAAATAAGTAGAATAGTTAGAGAAATGCTAAGCACCACCCAAGAAAAAACAGATGGTGGAATGGAAGAACAGAAAAAGAGGGGAGAATTGTTTGATGGAGAAAATAGAGAAAGCATAGAATACGTGAAGCAGGTTCAAAGAGATTACCAGCAAACTAAAAACTCAATCGAAAACTGGCATAACAGCTTGAAAGAAACTAAGGACAGACTATCTGAACTGGAGGGAAGATTTGTAATATGGGAGAATGAAATGAAAAACTTCTTAAAAGTAACAAAGAAACAAACAGCAATAATATAAAGACTAGAAGATGATAAGAGGACCCATAACTTAAGAATTAAGAACATAAAAGAAGAAGTAGGGACACAAACAAATGAGCTACAAAAGCTACTCACAGAAATAATCCAGGAGAATTTTCCTAATTTAGCAAAAGGTAAGGATAGTCAGATGTATGAGGCATACAGGACCCCAGCCACCTACAACCCAAACAGAGCAACACCCAGGCATATAATAATAAAAATTCCCAAAATTCAATACAAGAACAGAATATTAAAAGCTGTCAGAGACAAGAAACAGACCACTTACAAGGGAACACCCATCAGAATTACAGCAGATTTCTCAGCACAAACCATCAAATCACGAAGAGTGTGGGGGGAAATAATTCAAGCTTTGAAAGATAATAACCTCCAGCCAAGATTGATATATCCTGCACAACTATCCCTGGAAATTGATGGAAAAACAAGGTGCTTCCAGGATAAAGAGGAACTAGGGGAATTTGCAACCATCAATTCAACTCTACAGAGAATACTTCAGGATATTCTAAAAAAGAAAAATACAAAGAATCCAGAAATAGTGGCAGAGAGGCCACAATGAATGGAGCAGAAAACAAAATGAAGAAGACAAACTGACAACTAATGACAGAAAAAGAGCTCAACAGAAATGAGGCAGAGAAGATTGGATGATAGGAACAGTTATTTTGGAGAAAATGACGTCTTAATAGGTAATACTGATTTAGTATCATCTTGTTTTGAAGTCTCATCAAGCTTTTGTTCTTCTGTCTCCATTGGTCTAAACAGGTTGTATCTTATTGGATTTTATTATGTACGATAGTATAAGCAAAAACTTTTAAAGACAAGGAGATTATACAGAAACCATTGTTCATTTTCTGTTAGTTGATTCTAAATACCCTGTAATGCTGTCATTCTCTTAAATGGTTTTACATTGTTTTGATATATTTGATGCTACAGTATACGAAGTTATACTCAAAGATTTCAAGGAAAGAGACGATATGGTAACTACTTTTATGTCAGGATTATCTTGTGGTGAAACACTATTCTGCTTAAATGGTTATGTTTTGATCTGCGCTGTTTTGCTGTTATGCCCTGTTTTATCTCAATCTCCACTTCATTATTTTTTATTTTTATCCTTTTAATTAAGGGAAAAATAAATAAAAAATAGCAGGATATATTATAGTAACCCACTTTGACTTTCCATTATCTTGATTTAAAGCCCTGTATTACTCTCACCATCTTGTTTTTGACTGATGTCCACCTATTCTGTTTTGCTTGATAGTACCAGGTTCGAAAGTTTAGGCAACAGCTGTGAAGTTAGTGAGATTCATTATGACGCCCATTCTCATTGACTTTTATCTACTTTTGAAGACCTATAATGTCTCCAATGTTTTGGTTTTGTCAATTTTTTTCTTTACTGTTTTGTTCAATTTTATTATAACTGATGATATAGGCAATTCTATTAGAGATAGCAGGAGGCATTATGGTAACCATTATTGATCACCTTGTATTATGCTTTTACATTATCTATTATGTCCACCCTTTTGATTTGATTGACTCTGTTCTGTTAGGTCACATTTGGTTCTTCTGCCTTCCAAAAAAGTAATAAGAACTGTGGGAGCAACAAAACCCAAAATGTGTAATTGTCATTGTACAAAAGAGAGGAAAAGAAAGTGCTCTAAATGATATAATTGCATGCATATTTAAGTTTATAAGATAGAAAATGATATCACTGAGTTTTATTGGATCATTGAACAGAACTGTTTGCAGTCTCACTGTTGGAATGTCCACTTTACAAGCTTTAATTTTGTGACTTGAACAAGTATTTCTAAGATGACAATATGTAATCCATTAACTAGTGATTTCCTACTGTTCATTTTTTTCTGTAAATCTGCATAACTTGTACCCTTTCTCTGCTTTTTTTTCCTCCTTAAATAAAATTTTAAAAAAGTGCAGATGTTTGCCAATAACATACTATGTTTTTTTGTATTTTCTTTTTATGTAACTGTATTTTAGAATTAACTTGATGTTAGTACATTTAGAGCTGCCTCATCACTTTTGACTGTTGCATATTATTCCATTACATAGTATAAATACATTTTTAAAAACTAGATCCCTGATGCTGACATTTACTTTTAGTATATGTGCTGTCAAAGTGAGCACAATGGCATTTGGTTTTGTTTCTGTTATTTTTGTTATAGTCCTTATAGGGTATGTAGAAAATAATATATGTATCATTTTAAAAATGAGGACATTTAAATATGATGATCAGAAATAAAATTTCTGGCTGAAAGAGTAACTTCAATAAACATTGCCAAATTGTTCTCTATAAAGTTATATTAATTTACATAGACAACAGCAAGATAAATTAAAATGAATGCTACAGAAAAAAAGGAAGAAAAATATAGCAATGTGATAAAAGATGTAATAGAAAAATGTTAAGAAAAATAGGAGACAGTGAAAAAAATAATAATCATTTCAATCATAGTAATGATAAGAATATGTTAAATCTCTTTGTTGAAACATAAGACTTTTACAGAGGTTAAAAAAGATTCAACTGTGTATATTTTATGAATGATAGACTTAAAATAGATGATGGGCAAATGATGTAAGGCAAAAAGAAAGCAGAAACCACAATACTGAGACAAAGTGTAATTTAATGCAAAAAGCATTAAGAGGGAACACAAAGAGGGAACATTTAAAATAGATTAAAAAAATGCCATCCACTTCATTGTCATAAACTGCCATCAACACTGAAACAAAAATGTCTAAGCCAAAATTTCCACATATTTATAGAAAATAGATGGAAAATGCACAAATCTTTTAATTACCACTCAGTCTTAGGAAAGTTAAGCAGAAAATATATAAAAGACTTAGATGTTATTATAATTATTCAGTTTAATGTTATATTCATGATATTCTGGATTTTATAGACTTGAAAACATTGTTTTCAGGTATTCATGAGATTAAAAAAATCATTTTAGGCCACTAAAATATACAAATTCACAAAGTAGGAATTGAGAGGGCCACATTATCTGATCATGATAGAACAAACTCCCTCAATAGTAATATTAATAAGAGCTTATGTAACAAAAACAAAAATCTTAATGATTTAGAAATAATAATATATTTTACAATTATACTTGAAATGAAATTAATTCTAGACAATTTTTTAGGAAACAATGAAAATTATGGTAAATATTCATACATATTTAAAGGTAGCTTCTACTGTTTTTTGTTTGGTATCAGGGATCAAACTCGTGACCTTGCATTTGCCAGTTAGGGGATTACACCACTGAGCTAAATCCCCAGCCCAATTTTTGCTTTTTTATTCATCATTTTCCTAAAATTTATGGGGTTAGGTATGATCAGGCAAATAGTCTTACATTTTTCAGTATTAATTAAGAAAGAAGTAAAAGTAAGCATTCATTTCAGGAGGTTAGAGAAACCAAACAGAAGAGTAAATTCAAAAGAATAGCTAAGACAAATTGGAAAAAGAAGAAGAGAAAGAAGCAGACCTAACAGAGATTAAGATGTATTTTAAAGCCACAACAATTAAAATAGTACAGTGTTCATACAGGGACAGACAAGTAGGTCAAAAAGGACTAGAGAGACTAGCAATAACCTAAATATATGTGATAATTTAGGGGAAGAACAGATTTTATCATTACAGATGATAACATGCATTATTTTTGGATTATAATATTATAAATTATTATAAATGTATTCTTTATTTGTTTTAATATTTTTCAGTTTCCTTATAGCAATTATATGCCATTTTCATGATGAGAAAATTTCATTAGAAATCCCTCAACACTGGCACGGCAACATAACACAAACAAGGAACCAGTTGCACATTTGCTTTTAAAAAACAAACACTGTAGTCTGTTGGTGTTTTCACAATCTGCTAGTAAAAAAGGCTCTTGTTTGGTGTAGTTAGTGGAGAGGAAAACTTTGGGAATTACAAGGGAAGTGCAAAGATATTAGTGGAAATAAAATTAATTTTTTTATTACCATGCAAAAAAATCCATAGGTTGCATCTGTCTGGTTTACTGATGTCTCCCCCAGTGCGTAGGAACTGGTTAAACTAGGACTTAATTAATTCTTGTTTAATAAATAAGTAGTCTGACTTTATGTATTTTTCATTATTCTGAGTTCTTTAGTTTTAATAATAATCTTTGAAAAGTTACTCCCATAGTCCTGGCAGAATAGCACTCACCGACCTTGGGGACGTGGCCCCTCCTACTGTCTACTCACCGACATGGGCACAATCCGTGGCACCCCAGGGAGAAGGCTGACTGGGAAATACTGGTAGTCAGCCAGCACCTTGAACTCGAAGCCAACTTTTCCAGTGTTCTTCAGTGTAATCTCACGCTCTGTGACTTGGTCGAACAGCTTGAGGGGAGAAGAAGAAAGGGTGACTCTTCTGCTACCCACCTTTGGGATGCTGCTGTCACCAGGATGAAGGGAGATCAACACACATGCCTCACAGTTACAGCCTCTGCTCTTTGTGAGAGACACACATGGCAGTCCACATTTCAGAATCACAAAAAGGCGCCTCCTGGATCAGGAAGGCCTCTGGCCTCTGGACACCTTGCTCTTGCATTGGTGCTTCTGATCACTGGTTTACTTTACAAATGGCCTTGGGGGTGAATATCTAACTCTCACACCTCAGGAACTTGTATTAGAGAATCTTAGGGTGAGTTTTCAAAACTAAGAAAGTTTGCCTTCTGGATTCTGTTCTATAAGAAAAATATAAGATTTAAGTTCAGAATGTTCTGCAATGAATTTTTCCACTTACTTGGAAACCATGGGTGAGATTGGCTGGTTGCGTTCTTTTTTTAGTGTTTGCTAATATAATTCAACAGTTAATATACGAGGCCTAATAATAATAACTGAGATCACTTTAAAAGTCCTTAGGACAAGGTAGGGCAAAACTAGCTGCTTCAAAGAATAAGCAAAGAATAAGATAAGCCTGAGATAGATAATGAAGGAAAGAGAATCTACTTGATTAGCACAGTGGAGACAGTTTCAATCCGTGTTAGGTGCATTGGATTTTAGGTACAGTCTTTAATCTAAAAACATACATAATTCTATAATTATACAGGCACTATCTATTAATGGAGATTGAATCCTCATTAAATTTGGTAGGACATATGGTCTCTGAGTATGTACACAAAATCTAATTGCAGAGAGAAGGCGTTCAGACAGAACTGACTGACAATTATCCCCAAACAAAAACCAGAAAACACATTCTATTATGGCCTAAATAAAACCCTAATTGCCAAGGGGATAGAAAAATAAAAGACGGTAACTGGGGAAGGAGCTGGGTTGGGTCTTGTAGGATGTAAAGGTTGGGGTTTGGCAGAGGAGAGGATGGCAGGGATAATACAAGAGCAAGTGTGGAGGTAGGGAAGGACTGGGGTGAATTAAGCTCAGTGGGTCAACTGGCTTGGCCACAATCAAATGAATGGGGCCTAAGTGGGAATTATTGGTAATGAAATTTCTGTGTAAGGGGCACCAGTTAATAGAGAGACTTAAGATATCCTCATCCCGGTGGAGGAATGTGTCCCTGAGCTACTGTGTGACACAGAAAACAACTCATAGCCATTGAAGGTTTACATGACACAGCATTAACCAGATACTTAAGTAGCTGCAACTTCCTGGTGGAGGAGCAAGTGTCCTGCCTGTTTCCATCTTCTAGATGAAAGATACCCAGGCTTGGAGAGCTTATGTGGTCCCACAGTAACACAGTAGGGAGCAAAACAGGATATAAAACTGTGCTCTTTTCTCAGTACTACATTGCTTTCCCCAATCCTTCTGGGATTAATTGGTCATAGGCCGATGAGATGAAAGATGAAAGGTAGCTTTGGGAAACCTCATCTGGCAGTGATGTTTGGCGGGTTAGAGGAAGAAGCAGTGAGTGTGTTGTAACTCCTGCTTACAGTGGGTCTTAAGGAGCTTGTTATAAATTCAGATTCTCAGGCCATGCAGACTGATAGAACCAGAATCTGCACATTCATATGCACACAGCATGAGAGGAACTCAGGCATGGCTCGATGAGGCCCTGCGATGTCTTATTAGAGGCCAGGAGATGAGAAAACTGATCAGAGCAGGACCTGGTAGATGGAGTAGCAGGCACTGGACATTGAAAGAATGAAGGATAGGAGGGAGAGTGCAGGGGAAAAGGCTTGCAGACTGTGCACCGAGGTGTGAGGAAATGGCAGTGCTAATGTAAGAGCCAGAGAGGCTGCAGCAGGCTTCTGGGTGGACATCTGAGCATCCAACATGCTGAGCTCCAGGAGCTGCTGCTGAGGAGGATGATCAGGGTCAGAAGAGCAGATTAGGAATCCCGGGCAGGGATGAGCGTGAGACTGAGCTGACTGGGATTCAGGAGAGATTTGGGGATGAGGATTAGCATTCATGTTTAAAGCAAAACCAGAAAATCTCCTCACACTGGTTTGCAGTACCTGTGGCCCGTAGTTAATTTCCTTGGTGTCAAAGGAATAGTTGATCATGGAAGCCTGTCCCCTCAGTGTTATTTCATAGGTGGGCCCGCCTTCCACTTCACACAGAGCTTTGGCCTTTGCAGTGATGTCACAGTGTCCATAGAAGGTGAAAGATATTTGGTGGCTGCTGTATGGCCGGAGGGTTCCATAGAGGGGCAAAATGTCAAACACCTGCAGAGAGAGTCATCCCATGTGAGAACAGCTGCCAGGATGATGCAGCTGCAAAGGTAAGTTAAAGTCCTGGTGACTGACGAGTGTACTCCTAGCTCTTGTTTGATTCTGTAAAAGGTGACAAGCTCAGCACCCTGGCACTCTGAACACATAGGATGGGAAGGGTGCTAACAGTGCCCTGGAGAGATGGAAGTTTCTAATGCAGGGCAGGAGCTTAGTTAGAAAAGTCGCACCAGAAGATCTCAGGACCCAGGAGTATTACTCACTTCTTCGATCCCCATGGAAACCAACTCCTCTTGAAAGATCCATAGGGGTTCCTCAAACTCCAGCTGGCTTTGGCTGCTTTCTGTTGAAGAAGAGTTAGGTTTTCTTTCCTAGAAGTGAAAGATATGAACAACAGCTAGCAGGCATTATAATGGATCGTTGAAATGCACCTTCCCCATATAAAAAGGAAGTGTGTTACATATGATCATGAAACAGTATATTTTTTCCCCCAGGGTGATAATAGAACAATGCCCCAAATGTATATATAAGGGTGTTTACTGAAGTGTCATTTATAATATGAAGTCTGGAAGCAAACTAACTGCTCCAGCAGTAAGGGTCACTTTATATGAAGTGCATGTGGTACATGTATCTATGGAAGACCATGCGATGTGTCCATATGGGCTGCAACAGATGCAGAGTCACAGAATTGACTTAGAAAGCAGTTCCATTCCTATGAAGTTCCACAGGCCTCCTTAGTCTGACCGTGTGAATGGGTTAAATTCATTCTGAGATTTGCATACACAAACAGATATCTGGGAAGTTACTGTTCCAATGGTATTTTTCTGTAAATGATGGATTTTGAGGATTTTTGTTTTACTTTTTCTGTACTGTTGAATTTTCTATGACAAGCATCTTTGGAAACAAAAAAAAGGGAACACTATAAAAAAGTATTTTATATGCTTACATACTTATTCTAAAAAAAATTGAGAAATATTTGAAAATTGAAAAAAGTTCCAAAGGGGAAAAAAAAAACAGTCAATAGTTATACTACAAATATATGTCCATATGTCCATATTGTGTATACATGCATTTATATTTTGAATTCTGATTTTTCAGTTGACATGAGTGTCACCCTCTCGTGTAACCGAATATTCTGCACAAGTGTCATTTCAAATATTAAAAAGTAGTTGATACATATATATGCTATAAGTTTAAAATATTCGCCATCCCTTCTCCCCAATTCTTCAGCTCCCTTCACCGGATGACCATCATCCATTCATATACCATCTGATATGTTCTACTTTGTTGTTTTCTTTATTTGACCAGTAGTTTATGAGGGCTTATTGAGAACCAAATCTAGATACAAGGATATAATAGTGAACAAGACAGAATAAAATTCCTGTCCTCCTAAAGTTTGCATTCTAGAGACATTCTATGCATAAGCAAATGTGTCTGTGCACTTATTTGAGAAATAAAATATATATACTTGGCCTAACTGCCAAGTATTGCAGCTCCACAGCTTGATGGATATGTCTCCTCATTGAAAAAATTGGAAAAGGTAATAGTACACATTTAATAAAGCTGTAGGAGAAATGAAAGGGTTAATACAAAAAATACTTAGGGTAGGGCAAAAGCATTTAAGTGCTCAGCAAATGTTAGCTGTTTTTATACTGGGTAGCACATTATGCATCCCGTTTCACAACTAGCATTTTGACTAGATATAATCAAAGATTGCCGAAATCAGTATATAGAAAACTTCCTCATTTTTTAAAAAAAGGATCTCATTGTATTGCGGTATTGCAGTATGTGATTCATTCATTTGGCCTCCTATTGGTGGAGCTGTTTCCACCTTTTCTTGCTCTCACAAACAAAGCGACACTATACAGGCATAGTCACATGTCTTAATGTAAACATAAAAGTCTATCTGGAAAATACCTTTCTAGAAGAGGAACTATGCATTTTACATTTTGATATGCTCTCCACATTGTATGTCATAGAGGTTATGCCAGTTCACACCGTTCCTTACCAAGAATGAAAATGCTGGCTCGTGCCTCTGCATTGATGCAATTGATATGAATACTATTTAAAAAATATTGCATGTCATCATAGACACACAGGCATTTTTTCATTATTTTTCAATATTTTGCTATTGAACAGTGTAACAAGCATTTTTGCAATCTTTGTGTGATGCTCTCCTTCAGGTATCATTTTAGAAAGAGAATTTAAGGCTATGCATTATTAAAGTCTCTCGAGATCTCATTTTTATTATGGAAAGACTGAGAAACACCACTCTCTGTCTTAGTAGCCTCTGTCTAGGGGGTTGCAAGAAGATTAGGCGATCCAGGTTTGGATCATGTAACTGGTTTTTCCATCATGGCGAAGATCTGGGTCTTGCGCTCAGGTTAAGGTCCGGACTCTGGGAAGGTTTAGTTGGGATGTGATCTGGTTAAAGCTGTGCAGCCTCTTTTCAGCTCAACCTCTGCACTGCACTTGCCTCTCTGCTGCTGAATCTGCCTTTGTTTTGGGAGAGACCCTGCCCTTGTTAACCCCCCCCCCCCCGGGCAAAGAACCGTACGTCTGAGATCAGGGTGGATGCTCTGAATTTTTCCAGTTCTTTTTCTTCAGGCCCAACATCTTCATTCATCAGGGAATTCCTGAGGAATTGAATGAAACACAGTCACTCATGTGATATCCACAGTTGCATAGTCTCAGTTTTGTCTCCCACACCCGCAAAGGAAGGGAAGGTCGCCTTTCTCAAGAGATCAACTGGCAGTGTATGGTTGCCCTCTGCCCCAGAGGGGAAGTCTAGGCCACCAAAGTGGTCAACTTTCTGTAAGGTCTACCCCTTCTTTTGCTGTAGGATCAAGGGTATGTCCAATTTACAAAAAAAAATCTTAGGAAGCTCTACCAATTCTTCAGATGACTTGGATGGTTCCTCAGTGCTCCATGTTAAATTTCATAATTTACTGGAGCATTTTATCATGAGGATTTAATGTTTGGTGGGTTATCATATCTGGTCCTGCTTGTCCTATGGATTTGATCCCAGCTGTAGACCTTGACCTTATGAAGAGGGCCATGGGAAGTTCTATCCCCAGGATTCAGAATTCTATAATCTCCTGAAGGCACAGAGAGGATAATCCAGGGCTTACATATAGAAGACACTCACAAACTGTTAACTGTGCAATGGTTGAATGAATAATGAGGATGTAAATCAGGTTAGAGAAAAGAGTGCTATTAAAGAAACATCCATGCTGGTTTTTCATTTTCACTTACTTAATAGAATCACTTAAATACGTATCTGCAGACTTGAGCATAGCTGGGATTGATGGCAAGCTGGCAGGCCTTGAGCCTGGGGAGACAGACTCTGTCTGGGATGTGGGGGCAGTGGAGAGCTTCTTCGGCCACGTCAAGAATCTACAAATCCTTGGGGGAGGGGGGACAAAGGGTGACACAGGTGCACATTAGCTTTTGTAAATTGGTGCCCAGTGGCATCTTACTTTCAAAAGTCAAACTCTACATCTTAGACCAGGGAGAACTAGAAGACCACCCTGTAATCTCCTTTGGACTTGTTTTCTTCAAGTCTTAGCTAAGGTTTCATTTGTCCCTAAAGTTTTCTGGCGATCTGTTCCTCCTGGGTCAGGTATCTCTCCTCTGAGTAGCTACAGGTCTCTGGGTTCCTCATGTTTACACACTCATCTTTCCCGTGCCTGCTAGACTGTGAGATCAGTGAGGAATTGAACCAAATAGGGTACCTGACACAGATAACAGAAAGCAGGGCCACGGCTAGGGTGAAGCACGTAAAGGACGTCTTGTCAAGGTCCTGGACGTGCAGGCTCAGGCTTTTCACATGATGTTGGCCTTCTTATAATGTGTCACATTGCTTCCTCAGCCTAGTCTTATCCAACTGTTACCCTATGCTGCCACTCAAGTTCTCTGAGCAGAGGACACCACAGGGGAAAACTGGTGTACCAGCTGGTGCTGAAGTTTGTCTGTCCAGGTTTCACTGATTACAAAGGCCTTTGGATGCCACAAAGGCCAAGGTGGTTGGGTTGCCCCTATCCTTCACGTTGGGGGGCTCTTCTCTTCCCCTTCCCCATACTTCTCAAGCCCCTGATATCAATTTCAACCAAATTTCACTTGTATATTCATCCTGGCCTCATATGGACTCTGAGGCTCAGTACAAATATCATGTACTGTATGAATCTCCCGCCACTGTCAAGCTTCCCCTTGCAGGAAATTCTTTCTTCCTCTGAAATGTCACAGAATTCCACCTGCACTTCTTTTAGGATACTATCAACCTTCCATGATGTCCTGGAATTTCACTTCCTGGACCTCAGGTGCTCCACTACCATCCAGGGTTTTTGCCATGTTAAGTGTTACTTAATAAAGCAAATTTATTGAGGAATAATTTACATAGAAAATTCACGCATAACCATACACTCTGATGAAGTTTTAAACACACGTGTACCAATATATTGATAGAACATTTATGTCATCCTAAAAAGTGTCACATGCTTTATGTTTTTACAGATTTGCTACAGTTTCATAAAATGGAATATATTCTTACATGTCTGACTTCTTTTGTTCAGCATAATGTTTTTGAGATTTATTGTGTCACATTGAGAAGCAGTCTTTTTCCCTTATTAACTGAGTAGCATTTTATAACATGGATGGCTTATCTATCTTGTTGATAGACACCTAGGCCATTTCCAGCTTTTGGATACTATTGATAAAATTGCATTTGTGTGCAAATCTTTGTGTGTTCATTTGTTTTCATTCTTTGCTATAGTTTGGACCTGAAATGTTCCTTAAAGGGCCCAGTGTTTAATGTTTGGACTCCAGCTTGGTACCATGGGGACATGGTGGTGGAACTCAGGAGTGGGGCCTACTGGGAAGTCGTTAGATTGCTGAGGAATGCTCTCAAAAGGGATAGTGGGACACTCTGGTTCCATTCTCGTCCCATTTTTGCTCCCTAGCTGATGATGAGGTTAGTGATTTTGCTTTGCCATAGGCCCCTGCCATGACAACCTGCATTGCCCACTACATGCTCCAACAGAACAGGGCCAATTAATTGGTCATGGCTGAAAATTCTAAAACTGTGAGCCAAATTAAAATGTTTTCTTTCTAATTGAGTATCATAGGTATTTGTTACACTAATGGAAAACTAACATATTGTTCTTGGGCAAATTCATAGGAGGGGAACTATTGGGTTATATAGTGTATGTATATTTAGCAATATAGGAAACACCAAAGAATTTTCCACAGTGGATGCACCATTTTACACCACCACCCAGAGTGTGTGAGAGTTTTGGATGGTTACATCCTCATCCATGTATGGTAGTCAGTCTATTTAATTTTAGCCATTCAATGATTTTACAGTGATACTATACTGTGAGTTTATTAATAGCTTATTTTAAAGGACATTCTTATAACATTTTCTATAAGTGAAAACCCAGTATTTAATTGAAAAATCAATTAAAAATATCAATATTATTTTCTTAACTGGTGAGGGCTCTAAGCTGAACCTTGCTTGCTCTATTTAACAAGGAATATCTGTTCATTTTCCCGTTAGGAAAACATAGGGCTAGAACTATCTATAGCTGAGATTATTACTCTACAGAAGTGTGAACTTTTGGAGCGCAGGATCCAGGGTATTTCTTTTTTGTGACTTCAGAACACAGGGTCTAATACACAGAGCGTGAGCTCAATAGATGTTTGATTCAATAGAGAGGTAGATGGTGGATGGATGAATGGGTGGATGAGGGATGGTTGGATGGATGGACAGGTAGTTGGATGGCGGGGTAAATGGCTAAATGAGAACAGATGAACAGCATGCAGGGTGGTAGGGCTATTCTGTAGCACATTCCCATCTCCATGGCTTTGGAGAAGTGAGGGAAAAGTTCTTTCTTAAGCTTCCACTTGGCTTGTTCCAGACCAGCTGTCTCTAGTTGACTGTGCCTTAGGATGAAGCCACATCATTCTAGCCAGAGGATTCATGTTGGGCAGGATGCAAGAAAAATCTCTTGGGAAGCTTCTAAAAATAAAAACTCTTGAACCCCATCTTTTGGGTAGATTTTGATTCAGCAGGTCTCAGGTAGGAGCTAGGTGTTAGAATATTTTAGTCTTCTCAGGTGCTTCTAATGGACACCCAGATTGAAGAGTCACTGTGGGTGGGAATGGCAACGTGATAGCTCAGGACAGAGCTGATAATTAACGTGGGGTTAGCACTGACGCCTTACCAGCTAGGGACTTTGAAAGTCAGCAAAGGACAATTCTGAGCACTTATTAAATCACTCGAGGTCAGCAGAGATGTCTGGCCCCACCAGGGGAGACTTCTGCTGATTGCTGCACATATAATAGCACTGTTGTATCCAACATTTGCAACCCCTGGGATGCTGTGCTGAATGAAAAGAGTGTGTGTGGGCGTATCTGTAAGGCAAAAATAGGAAGCTGCAGAGCGCCTGCCTACCTGAAAAGAAACAACACCTCAGCTGACAATGGTACCTGGACAACTAGGAAGTGAGAGATTTCTTTGGAAACAAAGAGAGGAGATGGGCTCAACCCCAGGAGACAGCGAAACCTGTATCAGAATCAAGGCTACCACTTATTAAAATAGGAAAAACTGCTCCAAAAAATGGAAACGGAACACTGGTAGAGTTGTTTTTCTTTCTTTCTTTTTTTGGCGGGGGAGGAATCAGACCTCACTTTATTCTCAAGTATAGATGATTACTTTCCTGCTATGCTGACCCAAACAGGATTAGATTCACTTATTTTCAGAAAAGAATGCATAGCAAACAAGGAAAATCAATACCGCTCCAATTCCAGAGCTGCCCATATCAGAATTGCTGGAGAAGCCAGGAAAGGGACAGCCCCTCTGGCCAGGGCAGAATCATGTGAATGTCAAACACTTGCTGATCAGCAGCACTGGCTTGGGATCAGCAGTTTCCCTCCTCATGTTTTATTTTGAACTCTTGGGTGAGGATCAATACACTGTTTTGTGCTGCAAATTATATAAAAATATCCCACCATGCTCATTTCCTGTTTTCCCTTCACTGGAAGCAGGATTGTGCCAAAATAAAGCCCCAAAGAAAGAGTGTGTTCCAGTTAATATTCTGCAGTGGAATTCACATGGATGCAGATGGGAGATTGCATGTGAGACACCCACTGAAGTCTGTGCCGTGCAGCTGGGTCTGGGGAGAAAGGTGGCAGGAGGGGTAGCCTTGGAGTAGACAGTGACTTCTAATTCACTGATTCCTTAGACCTGCCTTCTCAGAGCACTGCTGCCGAAGGTGAACAGAGCCCCAGGCTGTATGGAAAGGGCTGCAGGTGTGTTTTGTTTCTCTGGATAAAGAGGACCTGTGCATGCTGTTTTTCAAACTAATAACTGTGACAGAGGCTGTTGGCACACTGTCTAGCTCCCCTTCGGAGATGCGCCCATCACCTGGGTGCTGTGAACGTGGGTTGCAATCTTCTCTAGAGCATTGTCCTGCCTGCTGGGAGCTGCCTCACCAGCCCTCAGCTGCCCAGGAGAGCACATCTTCCCTCCCATGGGCTCAGCTTGTAGGAAAAGGCCTGACTGAGGGGGGTGATGCTGTAAAGGTCCAGCCTCCTTTGCTCTGGATGGAACAAACACTGTGATACACTCTATTGTCCAGAGTCCCCCTTGGCATCAGGCAGAGGTTAGACTTCTTCTGAAATCACATCTGTCTTTCTTTCCTTCTTCCCACTCTAGCCTCTCTTAGCTTTCACAATTTCTCCCAAGAGCCCGCCCTAAAAAACTGAGCCTAAGAGCCACAGTCTCAAGCTCTGCATTGTATGGTTCCAAAGATGAGTGACCCTTGCTTTAGGAACTCAGAGGCCAGTGAGTCAGTCAGACACACAGGAGCAGGTATGACCGAGGGCACAGGCACTCCCACAGAGATGCACAGAGTGGGCTGGAGCCAGGTGATTGGCTAATGTGGCCTGAGTTTGAATTTTGACTTCCCCACTTCCGCCACTATGGGACCCGAGTGTACTGTGATAGATCCTCCTTATTTGCTTGTTGCAATACTTCGTTCATGTTAAAAAACCTTGGTCCTGTTTCTAGGTCACATCCAGTGTCCAGTGGTGGGGAGCTGTTCTGGTGCTGGGCTTGGTGGGGATTAGAGCCATGCCTGGGACTGAACAGGCCCGGAATGACTCCTCCTGGATACATGAGGAAGTTCAGGAAGGAGCGTAGAGTCTCACTGTATTTAAAATGAAGAACAGTGCTTTTCGGGGAAGCGTGGGAAAGACATAGGAACTTAGGAAATTTACCTGTAAAGGAAAAAGGACAGAGAGAGCTTGGCCTCCTTAGGGACGACCGAGAAGCTTGTTGAAGGAGCAGAGGGTGTGTGGGTGCCAAATGCAAGGAGATGATGATGATGATGATCATGATGTCAATG